GCTATGAATAGTGGGCAGTTATTTGAATTTCGGCTAACAGGAGAAGAATCTTGACAGGAAGGTCAATGAAGATATACTTTTTTTTTTTTCGGGCACACTTTAAGATTAAAGGGGATCAGTGCCAGGAAAACAAACCTGCGATGCCACCCTCCCTCCCACCACTGGCAGATCCCCCAATGCCAGCCCTGCAATGTGCTTGCGGACCAGGGGGGGAAATCTTCCTCCCCGGTCCGCATGCACTATGCTGGCAGCTAAAAGGGGAGGGAGGGAGAGAGGACCCGGGAGCTCAGCCTGCAGCTCCTCTGGGTCCTACTCTCGCGAGCACGGAGCGTTGCCGCGGTTAACAAATCCCGCGAGAGTGAACTCTAGCCCTGGAGCTACAGGCTAGAGTTCACTCCTACCACTGGGACCACCAGGGATGGAGAAATGTACCCCCTCCTTCCAGTAAAGGTAAGAAGGGAGGGGGGACATAAATGTATTAAGTTTTATAATTTTTTATTTTTTTTATAAAGAAGCTCCTGTCCCTCCCCCCCCCACACATCCCCTACATTACACCACTGCTCCTATGCCATATCCCAGCAGATGCCAGGTAAGTTGTCAAACTGTTGTTAAACAGTTTGACTAATTACTCTGGGAGGGGGTCCCGGCACCATAACCACTACACAGAGCTGTAGTGGTTATTGTGCATGGATTATTTCTTTAAATAATATAAAAGTGCCCCTACCGAGATCAGTCTCTGGATCCGCCACTGCCTCCCACCCCACGTCCTATGTTGCTGACCCCTTCAGTAACGTACCCAAATACAGCGCCGATTTCCCTTGGCGCTGGGTCAAGCTACGTCCATGCTGACATCTGCGGGAGAGACCGAATGCACTTGTGCGACAGTGACCGCACGCGCATTAGACCTCCCCCCTATTAAAGCATTATTCAGTGCTTTCCTATGGTTTAAAACACCTTTTGTGTTTTAAGAAGCCGGAAGTCCCTCTAGTGGCTGTTTGATAGACAGCCACTAGACGAGGACTTAACCCTGTAAGGTAATTATTCCAGTTCATAAAAAACCCTGCAATAATTACACTTGCAGGATTAAGGGTGATGGAAGTTGGCACCCAGACCACTCCAATGGGCAGAAGTGGTCTGGGTGCCTGGAGTGTCCCTTTAACCGTGACAGATTCAATCACTAAAGCACGAATTGTTAGAAGTTATATTTATATGTAATGTTGGCGGCCAAGGCAGCCGAACTAGAGAGGTTTTTCAAATCGACTTTATTTCCAGTTCTGCTGCTCTGAGCCAACATGTGCCATGCAATGCGAATTCCTGCTAATTCCCCTTATAGCCGATACCCCAGTGCGGGAATGCAGGCGCATGGTGCAGGCAGGAGCGGTACCTTTTTTGATACATTTGTAGATTTTCTTGGTGAGTTTGCGGCCGGCCAGCGGCTTGGCGATGGAGTTCAGATTAGCCAGGAGATCGGAGTAACTCCTCTCCGGGATCTCGAGTGTCTCGTCCGCGTCTTCGGTCTTTATCTTCGTCATCGTTCACTCAGCTTGGAGACCCGCACTGCCAACCACGTGTACTGAGAGCACGCTCACTGCCACACACTTCCGGATCCGGCGGAAGAGACCAACAAGGGGGCGGGGCGGGGCTCCAGCTCTCAGGGGTTCTGTCCATGTGACCACTGTGTGTGTTCATAGACCCCAGCCTTGGTCAGTGTCTTAAGGTAGCCGACGAGGATGATGGGAATTGTAGTAGTTTAGCAGGAGTAGCTAATGAATGCATTAAGAGGATCTGTCAGGAATGTGGAATAAAAAGAAACCTGAAAATCAACCATATCTTCTCGTTACCTTTCTATGAGATGCTGGATTTTATTTTAAATTAAAGGAACACTGTAAGCACCATAACCACTTCAACACCATGATTTGTAGTACACCCTGCAAAAAAAACCAAACATTTACTTACCCGGAATTCGCTGAGCGCGTACGTCTGTGCCCATACCCACGTCACAGGGTCCTTACACAGTTCCACAGTTTAAAAAATTCTAAAATGATACATACCTACAGAGTGTAACGGAGGGAGCTCGCAGTGCGACAGAGAAAAGCAATCTTCCACATGCCGGCTTAAGATGATCACATCTGTCGCCAGCACACAAAATATGCATGTAATTGATACTGGCAGCCGATAACAGAGTTCTGGGCTGTGAGTGTCACGTGTGCTGGGTGTGCAATTAGCCCCAGCACACAATTACAAATATCTTCACAACCAGACTCCTACGACCACTTCAATTCACTGAAGTGGTCATGGTGGTTGGAGTAACCCTTTAAATTATCCAAGTGCCAAATTCCATGCCTCACTTTTCCTCATTAATGGGTCACATAGGGTGGGTGACAGCACCCCATGCAAAATTGAGCCCTATGCTTAAACAGTCACTACTACTGGGTGGGAGCAATGAACCATGGTTTGCCTATTAACCCCTTAGTGACCAGACCATTTTTTCAATTTTCTTACCGTTACCGGACCAGGGCTCTTTATACATTTCTGCAGTGTTTGTACCCACACACATTATATACTGTTTTTCTCGCCATTAAATGGTCTTTCTAAAGATACCATTATTTTCATCATATCATTTAATAAAAAAAAAACAATATATAATATATAAAATGATTTTTTTTTTTTTAAAAGCCCACATTTTCTAACTTTGACCCCCAAAATCTGCTACGCATCTACAACCGCCAAAAAACACCCGTGCTAAATAGTTTCTAAATTTTGTCCTGAGTTTAGAAATACCCAATGTTAACATGTTCTTAAGTACAAGCAGCACTTTGCTATTTCCCAAAAATATTTTCTAAATTAACGCAAGTTACATTGTAACACTGATATCTGTCAGGAATCCCTGAATAACCCCTCACATGTATATATTTTTTAAAAGAAGACAACCTTAAACTTGGGATATTTTGACTCTTTTCATGCAACCATTTTACCACCAATCTATGCCAAATAAAAAAAATTAAATAATCATTAGTGATTTTTCTGACACACATAGCAATTTAAGAATACATGTACTCAGAACTTTAAGGTATACTGCCAAAGAACACCCCAATATGTGTTCAGCATGATCTCCCGAGTACAGTGATACCACCCATGTATAGGTGTGTGGGGTTCTCTGGGGGCTAAAAGACCGTATTTGGAGGCAGCGCATTCCAGTTTTTGTAACTTGGAATTTTCACAGCTGGTCATCATGCACCCCTGTCCTGTTGGGGACATTTTTGAAGCCGGCCAATGTAATTTACCCTTATCAAACCATATATTTTTAAAAAGTAGACACCCTAGGGTTTTTCAAATGGTGGTGGTATTTTAACACTTTCCATGCACTAATTCTACCACCAGTCTTTGTCAACCTTTTGGGTAGTCATTTTTTTGTGTTATTTTTCACAAACATTGTACTTTAGGCATGGATTCTCAACTCCTGTTATGTGTTACTGACAAAGAACACCCCAATATGTATTCAGCAACATCTCCCGAGTGCCCCCAATGTACAGGTTTTATGGGATTTTGCAAACTTACAGGGATCAAATGTAGGGCTTTCCCCTTTTTCATGTTTGCACATTGAAATTTGACAGATTGGTTTGCTGGGTCTGTGCTGCCTTTGAGACCGTATAGCAGCCCAGGAATGAAAATTAACCCCATCATGGCATACCATTTGTAAAAGTAGATAACCCACGGTATTCAAAATGGAGTATGTCCAGTCTTTTGTAGTAGCCACTTAGTCACAAACGCTTGCCAAAGTTAGCGTTTTTCTTTGTTTTTTTATAAAAAAAAAATTTCAATTCATATTATATATATATAATACATGTAGGTGTTAATTATTATTTTTTTTGGTACATATACTGAGTGCCTCAACCCCTCGAGGCACTCAGTAGAGACAGAGCATCGGAAGCCTGTCTGAAGGCTTCCGACGCTCTAACTGCCGGGCTCCACGTGGAGCAACCCGGAAGTGATCGCAGTGAGAAGACGCCAGCGTCCATAGGAAAGCATTATGAATGCTTTCCTATGAGACTGGCTGAATGCGCGTGCAGCTTCTGCCGCGCATGCACATTCAGCCGAGGAGGCGGAGAGCTCCCCGCCCGGCGCTGGAGAAAGAGTTAAGTTTAACCTCTTCCTCTCCCCAGAGCCTGGCGGGAGGGGGACCCTGAGGGTGGGGGCACCCTCAGGGCACTATAGTGCCAGGAAAACGAGTATGCTTTCCTGGCACTATAGTGGTCCTTTAAGGACCGTTTTTTGTCGGATGTACCTGATGCGTCCATGGTCGGGAAGGGGTTAAGAAGAAGGGTTTTAGAAAAACACCACTCTGTCTCAGAGATTTTGCTTTGATGTGGTAAGTGAGCTTACACTTAAATGGCCATTGGAGTGATACTAAAAACCCTCCAGTTATTTAAATGTACATAGGGATTTGGGAAAGTGCTCAAGTAACTTTATTTTGGCACACCTAGCCATTATCACTAACAGTGACATACTAAACAAGGCAATAGACAATCATTACATATTACATAAATTAAATATCAGTCAAGATGAGTGATGCTGATCCTATTTCAACTAGGTGATTACTTTCTGCAAAAAACATTTGATGGAGGGACAGTGATTATCCTAATATGGCAACATATTCAAAAGTGTCAGTGTGTACCACAGTCATCTTCATGTTAATAAAACTATACTAAGGAAAAGAAGCAAAATAACTATTTATTTTTATCAAAAACAATATTTTAACATTGTACAGAAGTAAAGCTAGAAACTTGAGAAAAGAATGTGTAAAAAAATATTCACAACCAACCAGGAATTTAAAACTACATTATACTGGAGGGAAGCCCGGGATGTCTTTATCACCATGTATACGTATTGCGTTTTCTCCGGTGTTATTCAGAGGGCTATTAAATGGCAGATTGGTACCATTGTAGAACCTTAATCCTATTAGAAAACTTATTGGTGATGAGTTGACACGTTAGTACGTTCTAATGCAAGTTTAGAACCTGTGGTAAAAGAAAGCATAACAATGAGTTATCGATGATCAGTTTTCTTACATTTTTGTGCATTGGATCTATGATGATCACACTTCTTTTCTATCACAAAAAAAATTTAAACTTTTTAAACTCAGTTTAAATGCACCTTAATAATCTAAAAATGAAAAACCAGTGTGGACCTGACCCTGGTCGTATGTGGTGCTCCCCAAGGCTCCATACTCGGTCCCTACTATTCACATTATTCATACATGACTTTCCTAACGTCTGCAAAGTCTCAACTGTACACATGTACACACACTACAACGTACCGTAATCTACGCTAGCAAACCACATCTACCGCAGCCTGATGCTGTACACCAAGACCAGTTTACAAAGATAGAAAAGTGGATGGCAGATAAACTCTTCCAAACCACTGATACAACAGTCACAATTATCTTTAGTACAGTACCTAAAGTACAACATTCCCACCTATGCATCAAAACAAATTCATTTAGCAAGCTGACCTCCTACAGAACACCCTTAATTATGGAATAACCTTACAGACAAGATCATATCTTCCTCCAGCCTAAAATCCTTTAAAAGATCCCTACCAACATATTTCAACACAAATTGCACCTGTAATCATGGTTGATTATTTTTCTTACCTGTTCTGTGTTAAGTTATATGTGTATTTTAACATTATTTGGTATTTTTAATATTCCATTGTACCCTGTTGTAACAGTGGAATGTTTGTGGGCCTAGGATATACTTGTAAACGTGAGAAATCTCCATCCTGGTAAAATATTTTTTAAATACATAAATTAAAACTCCCAGAAACCCCTGTTGTGCAACAGTACAAGTAATTTTATAGACAGAAGAAAGCAAGTGACACACTTGAGCAAGAGGGTGGACTGACAGCTGAGGTGATTTTTGAAAATAGCAGCAGTTTTATGTGTGCTGTGTGCATGGAAACAGGCTCTATGGTGTATAGAGCGCATATTTAATGTTTTAAAAACATGCTAGTCACTGAAATTAACTCACCTGCAGCAATTCCACAGTGTCATGCTGCATCTCAATGGCTTTGTGGTAGATAACATGATTGGAGCTGTTGTACATGATGGCGTTCTGGAACACTAACATGACATTCTGCTGGAACTCAACAATGCTTTTAATCCTCCCTTTTGACACTCCTCGCTTTACTGTAACAAGGTCCATAGGCCTGAAGGGGCAAGTCACATCATCAATCATATCTGTGCTTTAATTTATTTACAGTGTGATGGACATGTATTAAAGACAGTGCTACCTTTATCTACCCATGTATAATACACCACTCAGGGCTCTGTACTTCAGTGGTCAAGATCAAGAAGTCATCAGTACTACAGCTTGTGTATGTATAGATACGTAATTCAAAACACATTAACTTTGAGCAAAGAAAATGTGGTTTAATCTTTAACTAGTCAACTGTGTCAAAAAAATGAAATCTGATATGCAAAATGTAGGTTAAAAGAACGGTGATGGACAAATTCTCCGACTCATTAAAGTGGGAGTCAAAGATTTCAAAGAACATTTAACCTTTTAGGCCAAAACAGAGGAATTGAAACCATAGCTAACATGAACAATTTTTCCTTGAATAAGAGCAATAGCTTGAGAGGTTACAAGAGTTGGAGAATTTAATAAACTGTGAGTGAATCCAGACAATTAAGTTTCTAAGACCTACCACAAAAAATCAGTAGTGGGTCAACTTAAAGCTAGTCACTCAGATCACTTTAATTCAATGAACTGGTCTGTGTTCAGTGGTCCTGACCGTTTAACATTGCAATGTAAAATACTGTAGTTTTTTTAAGAGGTTACATTCTCCTGTAGAGTGAAACTGGGTCACGTGACACAAAAGCCCCCATAGGAAAGAAACAATTGAATGCTTTCCTATAGGGAAGCTTGGATGCACGCAGCATTCTATTAGACCAACTCAGGAGGACGCCATGCCTCCTCCATTATGTCATATAAGGGGGAGAAAGAAGCAGTACCAAGGGAGCCTTTTTGGAAGGAAGAGAGGGTTTTATACAATTGAGGTCAAACTCCATTTGTTATTTTTTTGTTCCAGATGTTGGATCTGGGTGGTTTGTCTATGAATTGCTGTTCCTGTCTCTACACATGTAACACAAGTAATTGGTCACTTCTAAAACGTGTTTTCTGTAACAAGGTTCTAGAACAGTGATGGCAAACTTTTTTGAGCCAGAGTGCCCAAACCGCAATACATGCCAACTTTTTTTTCCTTAAAGTGCCAACACGGCAATTAAACCTCAATACTGAGGTTTAAGTTTAGAAAAAACAACTCGTACTGTTGTCCGAACTAATTAACAACTTTTGTTTTAAAATAACACAACAGAGAGTTCAATGATACAAATTTTAAATAATGATATACATAAATAAAATTAAGCTTATATTTATTAGTATCTCCAACAAATGCAATACATACACACACAGACTGCTGAATACACACACAGTCCGCTGAGTACACACACAGTCCGCTGAATACACACACAGTCCGCTGAATACACACACAGTCCGCTGAATACACACACACACAGACTGTTGAATACACGCACACACACAGACTGCTGAATACACACACATACTGCATTGAGGGGTGTAGTGTATGTGTTTGTGTGTGGGGTTCTGTGTGTGTGTATAAGGGGTGCTGTGTGTGTGATCTATGTGAGGGGTGCTGTGTGTGAGAGAGGGGTGCTGTGTGGGGGTAGGGGTAAGGGTGCTGTGCTGTGGGGGGTAGGGGTGCTGTGTGTGTTGTGGGGGTGCTGTGTGTGGGGGGTAGGGGTGGGGAGGGATGCTGGGTGTAGGGAGGGAGGGAAGCTGGGTGTGGGGAGGGGGGGTAGGCTACTGTGTGTGTGTGAGGGGTAGGGGTGCTGTATGTGTGGGGATGGGGTAAAGGGGTTTAAAAAAAGTATGCTAAATCAGTATCCCCCCCCTCCCTCCTTCTTACCTTTAATGAAGGAGGGGGGGGGACACAGCCATCCCTGGTGGTCCGGTGGTGGCAAGCACTGCTTCCGGGTCGGGAGGCAGGGATCTGTGAAGCAGCTCCCCTGTCCTCCGGTGCGATGCTGTGTGGAGCGTTGCCATGGTAATGCGCGGCAAACACTCCACACAGCTTGCTCGCGGGAGAACAGGGGAGCTGCTTCACAGATCCCTGCCTCCCGACACGGAAGCAGAGTAGGCGCCTGCCGTTTTGGGCAGGCAGGTGCCTACTCTGCATTGATGGCGAACCTATGGCCGCGTGCCCACAGAAAGGGCCCGGCGTGTCACGCGTGCCATAGGTTCGCCATCACTGTTCTAGAACGATGTTTGCACTTGCAATGATATTACTCCATATGGAATCTTGTTTTCTCATAGTAAAATGCTGTGAACATCAGCGCTTACAATGTTTTTGCAGTATGATGTGTATTTCATAAGAAATAGTTTATGCTTCTAGTGAACCCGTCATGAATTTAGCCTAAATCTTCCCCAAACGCATTGACTACATAATTTATCACAGAGATATATGATGTATTCAGTATAAAATGAAGGGATATAAACTCACCTCACCTCCAATTTAGTGCTGCCAATTTCTCAGCTTCATAGAATGTGACGGCAGATAAGAACCATTTGGCCCATCTAGTCTGCCCAATATTTCAAAATACTTTTAATTAGCCTTATGCCTATCCCATGCATGCTTAAACTCCTTCACTGTGTTAACCTCTACCACTTCAGCTGGAAGACTATTCCATGCATCCACTACCACTACCCTCTCAGTAAAGTAATACTTCCTGATATTATTTTTAAACCTTTGCACCTCTAATTTAAGACTATGTCCTCTTGTTTTGGTACTTTTTCTTCTTTTAAATGGTTCTCTACTACCCACCGACGGGCCACCAGTATTCTCCCTGTTTTCACCTTTGATTTGACCTGCTTAGGACAACTTCCCCAAGCAAAACAAATCTCCTCCGTGACGCTGACATGCTGGCTTCACTGGCAGCATCCTGCGTCTGAATAGAATGATGTGACTCTTTCCTATACCTCTACCCAGCGCTAACAGTGTCAGCTACAAAGCAACGCCATGGTAGGATGAGCTACGGTTGCTATGCTTGGTGAGTAGGAGGACCGCATGTGGGAGATCTCTCATGCTTTCTATTACTTGGTTCTGCGGCACAGGAGTCCATGCCAAATGATTGATTGGCTGGTGGGAAAAAGTCCTATTTTTAAACAATTTTTCCCCCTTTAAATATATGCTAACATTTCTGCGAGTACAATGTATAAATAGACTTTTAAGCTCTTTAAAGAGATTCGTTGGGTCTACCATTAAAGGTAAACCTTAAGTTTCTTATTTTCTTTTTATTATGTGAATGTCTCTCTTGGGTTACAAAAGTAAGTATTCTTTATCTAATAGTGATATAAAACTCAACTGTATATTGTATAATGTGTAACTCAATGTAAATTCAATTGTAATTTTTTATTCAGATGTTAATATGTGTACCTAAATTTTGCCATTCTCTCTTGACAGAAGACATCAACCGTGATTAAGACTTGCATGTAAATATGTTGATCTGTGGCACCCAGGCTTGACAAAGACCTTAGAGTTTTGGCTAAAAATGCTACCAGGTCCACACCTTGGTGGCATAGTCTCTCCATCTGCATAAGTCTGTTGTTGCAGGTCCATTATCCATGTTATTACATTCTCCTACCTTGCAGTTGAGATCTGTTTAGCCAATATAAAATAATCTAAATAAAATCTTTACTCTACATTATTGGCATTAATGTTAAATTGTCAAAATATTTTTGGTGTCCTAAAATAGTGTGTGCTGGGGTACAGAGCCAACACATCAAAATTTGTGTAATGTTTTGAATATGCAATTGCACGGTACATCGGTTCAATATCACACAAAGAGGAACAGCCTACTTGTTTAATGAATTGCAGAAATAGGGTTAGTTATTTTATTGTGCTTAAAAGACAACTTTGGGAAATACGTTTTGGGGATCAGACATGACATGCAGTCAACTCACTGTCCTGGCATTTATTGTAAAAATCATGATGGGGATCTGTGGAGAGTGTGCCCTCCTTGAGGGTAAAAGATGAACAAGTACTAAAACAGGTCATTTATTTGCGTGATGAGATGGGTTTACATTGGCAGCATGTTTTGCATATTGCTGCAAATGTATGAAATGGGAGAAAGGGACAAGGTATCTTCTTGAACCATAACCTATGAACATATGCAAGGTGCTAAACTGTTATTGTGCGATGATTGTTCCATTAAGGAAAACAAGACTTGTAGTAAGATTTTTTTTTTTTGTTATTGAGGAGAAAAATATGACATTGTTAACTATAGCTCTATTTCCTGGTTCAGTTTCCAAAGACACATCATGGGTGTCAGGAACTTGTCTAATGGAACTTTCATAAAATTGGTTGAAACAGCCTATGCTAGAGGACCTAGGGAGAAAGAGCATTTTACCTGCTTTAGGATGGAAGAAAACCAATACCTTAGAGAGCTAACAGTAATAAATATTACTCGAAGGATAAGGAGAGGCAGAGATGCGCAATACTGAAGAATCTAGCTAGATTTAGGATAGCAGAAGTCAAAAGCAATGAAATACAAGTTAGGTCAAACATGGACTCAATGTGTAACAATATAACATATTAAAGGACAAGAAACCAAAATACAGACATTGCTATCCTATGGAATGGGATTTAAATAGTGTATAGTCCTCCCATGTCACTGCATTAATAGTGCATTGCAATAAGATATTGGGACGCATTTGTGGAAATGAAGCTACAATTCTTGGTCCCGACACGGCTGGTGTCAGAGTGAGATGGAAAAGATGTCACAGCAGGGCGGGCAGAAGGCTGGACACAGATACTATGAAACTAGGAATGTAAATCTAGCAATGCACTTATCTTGAAAACTCTACTCTGTACTGACCGTTTTACTATCTTTTGATATCCAGGAGCCTGCTTGTCTGATACTGGTTTCATGAAGGGTCCAGAAAATCTGCAACATTATAAAAAAACAAACAAACAAAAGAAGACAACAATCATCAATGCTAATTACAGAGTCAGTGCAAGTATTATTACTGCCCAAGACAAAAACCAGTTAGCTACTTCATGGTGTTTCCCACATCACCCTTCTTTCTTATTTCCCATATTTTAATTAGTTTCTCCCTCTGCCAATCTCTATCCTTTCTTTCTCTCGCTCTTTAAGTTTCTGTCACATGGTGTGTCTTTGTCTTCTGTCATTTTTACCTAGCTAGGATTTCCCACTGTGTGTCCACAAGTGTGTGTGGAAGGCTGCACATTAGGGTTTTCCGTGATAATGAATACTGTGTGTGTGTGTGTGTGTGTGTGTTAGAAGATGCTGTATATGTGTGGGAGACTTTATGGTGATCACTGTGAGTGGAGTGTGTTGGTTGTGTGTGGTGTATGTGTTTTGTTTAATGTGGCGACTAGAGAGTGGCTAAAAGTAGTGTGGAGGCTGACTGAACGTGCAAGTGTTTTTTTTTGTGTTGTTTTTTGCTGCCTTCTGTTTACCTTTGAGCAGGGGAGCGGGAGTGATGCCAGGTGTTTTGGAGGAGGGCAGGCTCCCTGGTGGTCCAGTGGAGCAGCATGTGGTCTGCATCTTGATGTGTACATATTACAATCCATGCCTTCTGTTCAGGCACCTGCACTCTAAGTAATTTTTTTAAGAGCTTGGACCACAAGAAAGCGGACAGCAATTTGCCCTTCCCAAAAGTGCTCCCCTGCAGCACCGAGTGGAAAAAAAAGTCTGCTAAGGGGGATCTTTGTCCATGATTGTCCTAATGGAAGCACCAACTCTGGTTAAGCAGATTCATGTTGGTCTCATGCTAAAACCTTACTCTGTAGTTATACTTCCTGTTTCACTTTATTTATTCATTCTACGTATTCTCAGGAGAAACATACCTGTGGCTCACTATAGTTTTCCAGACCGTTGTTAAACTCTTTTTGAACTGGACAAGGTATTGGGATGTTTCACTGGTTCTTAAATTCAGCCTGTAAGACATTTACAGAATGTTATAGAAGAGATTATTATCCAGCCTATTATATAGCTTCCTTCATGAAATGCAATTAATTAGAGGAAGTCTGTGACATTCTCAAGATGCACCAACAGTCAGGATTTAGGCATTTTACCAAATGTGTTCCAGTGAGGATAAGGACAAAACCTGGATCATTGTGTGCCATGGGAACCATGCTGGAGTACTCAATGCAATATAAGAGATAAGAGTAACAGTATTTGTAAAGACAAATCTGTTGGATCTGACCGTAACAGATTGATAATAAATAGACATAAAATTACAAAGCAAAAAATAAAATTGCATTGTCCAAGTTCTGAACCAAAACAAAACCTAGAATTTGAGCTATACTGTATGTACTCGAGTATAAGTCGAGTATTTCAGCACATTTTTTGTGCTGAAAACCCCCCACTCGACTTATACTCGAGTCAATGTCTGTATTATGGCAACTTACATTGCCATAATACAGACCAGGACCGCCAGGCTCATTAGTAGCCCGGCAGTCCTGTTGGGGGCTAGCAGAGAGCTGTTACCTTTCCTGCAGCTCCTGCATTCCGGTCAGCTCCCCTGTCAGCTCCCACTGTAAATCTCACGAGAGCCGCGGGGTCAGAGCTTTGCCACGGATTACCGTGGCAACGCTCCGCGCGGCACTCAGACCGCGAGACTTACAGTGGGGAGCTGACCGGAACGCAGGAGAAGGGAGCTGACAGGAGCTGCCAGCCCCACTCCTACACAGCCCATCCACTGGACCACCAGGGAATGAGAGCCTCCCTACCTGGCCAGCTAACAAGCAGGGAGGGGGGATGAAAATAAATAAATCAAAATTTAAATAAAATAAAAATATTAATATTTTTAAAAAATAATAATTTTAAAAAATAATAAAAATACCCACCAAGGCTCTGCATCACATACATACACTGCACTCATACACACACACACACTGTATTCATACACACACACACTGCATTCATTATATACACACACTGTAAATAAATATTCAATTAATATAATTTTGGGGGATCTAATTTTATTTATAAATTTACCAGTAGCTGCTGCATTTCCCACCCTAGTCTTATACTCGAGTCAATACGTTTTCCCAGTTTTTTGGGGTAAAATTAGGGGTCTCGACTTATAATCGGTCGACTTATACTCGAGTATATACGGTATGTCTGTTCAACCATAATTTACCTCTTTCTTATTAAGTTCACTCACACTTATTATATATCATTTTGTTCAGGAGAAAGAGGGTTTTTATTTCACATCAAATATTTATATATGGAACTAATTTAATCTTAATAATATCTAAAAAATAATTTAAAAAAATAATTTAATTTCTCAAGTTCTGCATGGCATTTAACTGTGAATGTCATGACTGCAATAAAATACAAATTTTTATGCTGTGATGTCCCACGAGTACAATGATGCCCGCCATGTACACATTTTACTGTGCTTTGGAAAGTTACAATGTCAAATAAAAAGTTTGAAAATTTCAGTTTTTACACATTGAAATTTGCCAGATTGGTTACGTTGCTTTTAGGACAGTATGGCAGCCCAGGAATGAGAATTACCCCCATCAAAGCATACCATTTGCAAAACATAGCAACCCAAGGTATTTAAAACGGGGTATGTCCAGTGTTTTTTAATAGTCACAAATCCACAAACCCAGGCCAAGGCTACCCTTCCTAGTTGTTTTGTTGTTGCATTTTTCACACACTAACTGAACTTTCACTGATGATATCATTGTTCTCAAACGTCTACTGCTCTAAAACATACGTATTTGTGTTCAGCAATTTACCTCCCCCCCTTCCCTCCCCCTCGTACAGGTTTTAGAGGCGTTTTGGAAAGTTACATGGTCAAACAATTTATTTTATATATTAGTTTTACATAATTATGTTATATTATTAGTTATATATTGATGGGTCCGTCTGAAAACCCAGGCAGTCCTGCTGCAGCCAAGCTGATGTTCTCAGACAATCAGTGACTCCCATTCACTAAACTGGTTTGGTGACCACTTCATTGTCTTTAATATGTAACATGCAGAATATAACTTACATAGTTAACAATGGAGGCTCATGCTGATGATTACAGTTTGAGAAATCACTCTCACTTCCAATCACTGAAAAGCTGATCTCTGACCCCCATGGGGACCAGCTGACAGTAGGGTTGTAATCTTTATCTAAAGCCATTGGGCTCATACATAATTTTTTCTCTTTGTGGTAAAGAATCTGAAAAGTAGAAGGAGAAAGCAGAAACTTAAATAATCTCTGAAAATGTGTTTCAACTGTCAATTAAATTCTATTTTAATTGGTTAGATGAAGGGCTAAATTTAACCTATATTGCGAATATGTCATTTTTAAAGTTAGTTTTTGCGTGTATTCATTCTTGTGATGTGAAAAGCAGTCAAGAAGTGGAATTCTGATCATGTAACAAATACTAACCTCCCTTGGGTAAGGCAAAAAAACCTGATAGGGATTTTTCTCATAGTATTTCACTTTTTATTTTTCTGGTGATCTGTAATGTATATATTTAATTTAGTTCTATTTATAGACATGTAATGTATGAACATGTAAATGACCTGGTAATATCATTTTCATGCATACTACTCTAATGGGGTTAATCATGTAAGTCCCAGTGGGTTGCATGTGGGGCCATTTGGACTGCAAAATACAAACATTGTTCATGCCATTTAATGCCAGGTTTTCAGCCAAATATTGCCAGATATCGGACCAAAATGCTTTAAACATGGGCCTGGGTTTACAAATAAAAAACTATTTGACTGCTGGCAGTCAGCTCTGTGGTACGAGGGTTAATTATGTGGCGGGTGGCCAGCATTGCTTGCCAGACGCCACATTAAATAGTAAAAAAAAAGAAAAAAAGATATAAAAAGGCTATTTGGTTCATATTATTATAAGGGAAGTTTATGCTCCAACCTGCCATATATACTAAATATTTAATACTAGCAACTGGACTGCCATTGGTACCCAGTGACTAGAAAGGCTCCATCCCATGGGGATGAGGCCTGAGAAATAATAGGGGTAACAGTCAGTAAAAGGGGGCTGTTATTATATTATGGGGAAGTATCTAGTGTAGTCGTCCCCTGTTCCCTTTCAATGGCAGCAGGTGGGAACGCTTATCACTATAATCAGGGGGGGAGGGCTCTCATTCATTGGTGGTGGCTGGGTGCCCTAATTATAATAAACAGGGGGGGAAGAACCTCAAGTCCTTTCCCAAGCCTACATCCATTGTCAGTGGATGGGGGCAAGTGAACAATAATTTGTAAATGTGAATCCTGGTGGGTGCATTTGTCCCAATTCAGTTTAAAATTGGTGCTTTGTGAATCCTCCGAATGCTATACTTTGTATAGGATTCGGCTGTGAAAGCACCGATTTTAATTGTGACACCGAATGTGTCCAGGCACTTGCTGCAGATTTACTCAGACTGACCGAATTTTAGACCATAATTGGCTTAAGAAAATATGAAAGTTTTGTGTTCAGAATTCGCTCATTTTCATTTGGTGTTGAGTGAATAATTCTGCATATTGTCTCTATGCTTTAGATTGATTTAGTTTGTTTTGGTTAACCTTTTAAGCCGATCTACTGTTCTAAAATAAATGATAAATTAATGTGTCCAGGTATAATACTTCATACCTCGTAACATTCATTTTGGCCAATCCTGATCAAAAATCCTTCACATTCATAATGGCTAAATTTCCCCAATGCTTTGATGATCTTTCGGATGTAAGTGATTAAACTTATTTACACACAAAAACTAAAAATAATAAACGTTTTGGAGTATTGGTTTAATATTCAATGTATAAACATAATGGTGCATCATTTCTACTTGCACAATGAAGGGCTCTATGCACTGGAGTATAGGCAGTTTCAGTTGCTCTGAATTGCTATATTTGAAACTGACAAATTACCACTGACTCTTTCAGTTCTACTTAACTGAAATAGGGAGCACTTTAAATTTAGTTGTGTGAATGGTCACTGATGATTCAGCAGTGCCAAAAGAACTGAATGTGGCGAAAACCTGCTGTGTACCAATGATTAGAGCCCTTTATACATAGTATCCACCTCTTAACTGGGACTGGTTCTTTATACCACACAGTTAACCAATTCAATTTACTCTATTTGTCCTATGCTGTGAGAGGATTGCACATTGGTGGTAGCAACACTAACATATTCACGTCTTAATCACCATTGTAAGTGCCTGTATACACAATATCCATATTGTCACATACATAGTAAAGGCATGCTGGACAATCCTTGGGATTGAGAACAGTCTGATCAAAACTCGATGGACTGTACTCATCGTCTTCTACCACAATAACTATGTTAATCTGTAATGGTGCCTTGAGTTTACTTAAGTATTTTCCCACTTTGGTGGTCTCAATAAGTGCCAATATTAAAGGAACACTGAAGTCACTGTCCTAGACCACATCGTCTTAATGTGTGCAGTGCCCCTAGCGTTCCTTCCATAGTGTAAAACATTGCTATTTTAGACAAGCAACAATGTTTACACTGCGGTGCTGTTATACTGACAGCCACTAGATGGTGCTTCCGAAATGAGAACGGAGTCCAAGTTAGTTCTTGACATTCAACATCATCACGCACTGCATGTCGAACATTATCCCAATTTGTTTAATTGACCGGCTTCTCTGTGAGAAAATATTTTTTTCAAGTCTGATGACCTCAGCAGATGCAAAAAAAATAGGCTGTCTCCATGCAGGAGTCTAGGTATTTATACACTAAAAAGGGGGTCCCTGGAATCCAAAAGATGCCTAACAATTTGGGGCAATAACATTTTTTTTTTATGGAGCATTACATAGTGTTCCATTAAATACAAACCACTCTTCATTAATGCTCAGGTGGCTGAACGTGATATAGTATTGCTTAATGTGGATATCTCTTTTCTGCCTCAATATAAAATTGCTTCATACAAGGACTTCTAAAACATATGTAGACTTGTTGGATTAACTAGTCAATGTTTACCTGGTAAAGGATAGGAAGTAAAACCTTTTGAGCCTCTGCATGCAATAGTACACCAGCAATCTCCAACTGTCTATCAAATGGTACATCTTCACCCAAAACAAAGAAGCCTCCTTTTTGATCTACACTGGTATCACAAAAATCAGTAATGGAAGTAGACCATGATCTCACTAGTTTGTCCCAGTCCTCTCCAGACAAATGATGCAATTCACGTCCCATCTTCCCAGGGTAATACAAGAGAAAGAGTAGAGATATTTATGCATATTTGATTTACACTTCATACCAGTCAACTTTTAGTTTATAATTCATGATTAAAGGCATCAACCCATGATGTATTTGCTTTATATTGTCATAAAAACATTAAATTTAAAATATATCTACAAAATAAATAACAAATAATGAATAAACGCATTAAACAAACACTCACGCGAATACATTAATTTATAACAGTGGTGTATCTCCTGTTCTCTCTTTCCATCACAATACCAATAAAATAAAGGCTTAACTTACCTTTAATCCAGCGTCGTTAACAGTCCCTAGCCAGCACTCCACTCCAATATCAATGATCTCCTGGCCAACGGAACGCATCTTAGAGAAAAACATTGTTGTTGGGTGCATGCAATGCAATCACCGTGCTACACTTACAATTCCTCTCTATGAGGTGCATTGCAAATCCCTTTGTTTTCAGGCTCAAACCACTTAGGAAGAGCACCTTCTAGCTGACTGATTGACAGCAATGAGGATGCAACATGGCACGGTTATAAAAGTGCCAATTTTTCTTGATTTTTCACTTTTATAAAGTGCGGAAGAAGGGAAACATTATTAAAACCAAAAGCACTTCAGCACGCACATACAACATGGACCTATTATTATCATATAGTGCCAACAAATTCTGTAGCGCTTTACAATGGGTGGACTAACAAACATGTAGTTATAATCAGACAAGTTTGACAAACAGAAACAGAGGGGTTGAGGGCCCTGCTCAATGAGCTTACATGCTAGAGGGAGTGGGGTAAAGTGACACAAAAGGTAAGGGAAGTAGATAGGTAGAATAGAATTCAATGAAGACTTAGTGTGATTTTTTTTTTTTTGGAGCCATTAACAGTTTAATGGATATGCCTTTGTGAAAAAGTGGGTTTTTAATTTTTTTTTTTTAAGGAGTGGAGACTGGGTGAGCGTCTAACAGAAAAGGGAAGGGAGTTCTATAGGAAAGGTGCAGCCCTAGAGAAGTCTTGGATACACGCATCAGAGGTAGGAGTACGAACAGAGGATAGACGCAGGTCTTTGGCAGAGCGTAGGGGCCTAGACAGGACATACTTGTGTATTAGAGAGGATAGATAGGTGGGAGTATGTAGAGATTTGAAAGCAAGAACCAGAATTTTATATTGAGCCCTATATATCTTACGGGAAACCAATGCAGGGACTGACAGAGGGGAGAGGTGTGGGAGGTGTGGGCAGACAGGAAGATGAGCCTCACCGCCACATACATTATAGACTGCAATGGGGCAAGTTGGGAGCAAGTAAGACCAGTGAAAAGTGGATTGCAGTAGTCAAGGCTAGAGAGGACAGTGGCATGGACCAACACCTTAACCACATCTGGCGTTAAGTAGGGGCAGATGCGTGCAATGTTTTTGAAATGGAAGTGGCAGGATTTGACGATAGGCTGGATAAGGGGAAGACAGATTTGCGTGTCATCTGCATAGACGTGATACTGGAAGCCAAAGGACCTCATGAGTTTACCAAGGGAGGCAGTATAGATCGAGAACAGTAGGTGACCAAGGACTGAACCTTGGGGGACACCATCAGAGAGGTTGTGAGGTAGAGGCAGAGCCAGATAAAGAAATGCTAAAAGTGCGCTGGGTGAGGTAGGAGGAGCACCGAGAGCAATATCTCGTAGACCAAGATTACGGAGGATGAGAAAAGGCGGTTGATGATCAACAGTATCAAAAGCAGCGGAAAGGTCAAGATGAATTAGGATAGAGTAGTGACCATGAGATTTTGCAGCAAGTAGATCGTTTGATACTTTGGTCCGAGCCGTTTCCACAGAGTGCTGAGCGCGGAAACCAGACTGAAGTAGGTAGAGCCTAGAACTGAACTCGAGGAAGACTGTCAATCTCACATACACAAGTCTTTCAAGGATCATGGACGCAAAAGGCAGTAGCGAGATAGGGCGGTAGTTGGATGGGGAGTTAGGGTCAAGGTAGGGCTTTTTTGGAATCGGGGTTACAGTTGCATGTTTGAAGGGCGATGGAAATATGCCAGAGGAGAGGGAGAGATTGCGAATTTTAGTGAGAGGCAAAGCAAGCGAAGGAGACAGAGTACGGATAAAATGCGAGGAAATAGGATCAAGGGAGCAGGTGGTGAGGCGGGAGGACCAGAGCAGATCAGAAACCTCTTTCGCCATAGTGGGTGCAAATGAGCATAGAACAGCAGAGGTGGTGAGGTTGAGGGAAATATTGTAAGGGGAAGGAGAGAGATCTCTTCCCTGATTGTAGAGATTTTGTCAGTGAAGTGAGTTGCAAAGTCTGAGGCGGTCAAGTTAGTAGGTTGAGGAGGAATAATAGGGCGAAGAAGATAGTTAAAAGTGTGAAATGGTCGTTTGGGTTTGCTGGAGAGTGAGGTTATGAGGGTATTGAAGAAATTTACTTTTGCAGAGCCAAGCTACAAGAGCGCAGCATAAATGTATAGTGGAGAAAGTCAGATGGGGAGTGAGACTTCCTCCAGCAGCGTTCAGCAGTTCTTGAGCATTTTTGGAGGTATCGAGTCAACTTTGTGTGCCAAGGTTGTAGTTGGGGGTGCTTGCTTTGTTTAAGTGTAGGAGGTGCCATGATGTCTAGTTGAGAGGAGAGGGTGGAATTGTAGAAGGAGATTGCAGAGCTAAGACAGGTGAGGTTTGAGATAGGTAAAAGGAGAGTTTAGAGGTTAGTTGAGAAGTTCTCTAGGTCAAGACATTGGAGTTTTCTGTGATATTGATGTGCAGAGGGTGGTGTCAGTTTGGTCCTGAGTGTGCGGATGTCAAAAGTCAGCAGATGGTGGTCAGATAGAGGAAAAGGAATATTGGAGAGATTACAGGTGGTACAGAGGTTGGTGAAGGCGAAGAGTGTTTCCCGCTGTATGGGTTGATGAATTAGACCATTGCATGAGGCCAAAGGAGGAGGTTACAGAATGTTATGCATGTGCTTTAATGTCCATATAGTTGGGCAAAAATGGTAGGGTATGTCCCTCATGGTTTTGTTCCTAATTTTCGGTAATTTTTTAATTACTAACCTTTCAATGGGAATCAAAAGTTGTGTCAGTGTTAGTAAATGACACAAAATTAGGTAACAAAATAGAATGAGTGCAGCATATCATTTCTCTGCAAAGGAATTTGGATACATTAGGGGCCTCTAATGTATTCATAAAAAGGGCTGTTGCTTCACAAGATGAAAATTATATTATGGAACTTGCTAAATGCAAAATATTGAGAATGGGAAATGTAAGACGTGAAGAAATGCTAGAAAGTTTACCAAAAAAAACAAAAAACAGTCTCAGAGAATATGTGATAACATTATACGAATATATACAGGGCCAGTAGAAATATGTAGTAGGACACAGGTCTTAACAAGTCATAGATAAAATCAATGTTGATTTGAAGAATACATTTCTGATCCAAACTGCCATTTCGAGAAATTTCCCATTTTGTAGCAAAGTTATTTTGAAATCATTTCAGATTATTTTTTTATTTTTTTTTGGAAAAGCAGAATCAGAAAAAAAAAAAAACCTTCCGCCTATATTACTATTTAATCATGAGGCATTTGTTTAGGTATGCAGCCACTGAAATTTCAAAGTTACAACTGAAAGTTGTTAGAGTACTTTGCACAATGATGAATATCAGAAATGTTGTTGCCAAATGAAAAAGGTCATTATAAATGGCTATTATACTGGTCATAACTTATGGTAGTTAAATACGGCAAATAATTCTAAATGTATGGGCAGTGAAGTTATGGTTTGCTTAACTCTTCCCTACACTTAACGCAAATGTTGATTTCCCTACTTCTTTTTGTCGCCATCCAATGCTCTCCTCGACCCTCTCCTGGCTTCCGCAGAACTAATCAGAGCTAAATCCAAATGCTGCTCTTCCATATAAATATTTCTTGACCTCTCTGCGGTCTTTGACACGGGCGATCATGTTCTCCTTCTCCAAACTCTTCAATCCCTCTGTCTCTGTGACATTGTCTTCTCATGGTTCTCCCAACATTCATTCAGTGTCTCCTTTTCCAATGACACTTCCTCCCCTCATCCTGTCTCAGTTGCAGTCCACCAAATAACAGATTTATACTGCATCTCTTGGCAAACTCAAATTCCTTTGGATTTCGCTACCACCTATACGCCAATGACACCCAGATATATCTCTCTGCTGCTGTCTTACAATGTGTCACAGCTTGCCTTTCTTCAATCTCTGACTGGATGTCCTCCCGCTTTCTGAAATGCAATCTCTCTAAAATGGAGCTTCTTAATTTTCCTTCTCATAAATCTGATCCTCCTCTTTCGGTTTCCATGCACATTGATAGAACCTGGATCAGTCTGTCCTTGCAAGCTAACTGTCTTAGTGTTATATTTCAGCCTGACTTCACCTTTGCACCTCATATCCAGTATGTTGCTAAAATCTGTTGATTCCAACTTAAAAGCATTGCCCGCATCCGGCCCTTTCTTACTCAAGATGTTGTTAAGGAGCTTTTTCGTGCTCTTGTAATCTCTCCTTGTTGGTCACCCCAGAAGCCATACTGCCCCGCCATAATGTGTAGTGAATGCTGCCGCAAGGCTGATCTTTCTCAACTGTTCCTGCTCCCTTAACACGCCCATCGGTCGGTCCTTACACTGGCTTCCTGTATCCTTTAGGTGTAATTTCAAAATACTAATCCTTAACTATAAAGCTCTAAAAAACTCTAGCCCCTGTTACATTCCTTCACTGATTCGTAGGTATGTCCCTTCTCGAAGTCTCCGCTCTGCTGGTGACCTTCTCCTGTCCGCTGCTTGAACCTTTACAGCTAATTCACGCTTGGAGGACTTTTCAAGGGCGGCTCCCTTCCTTTGGAACAGCCAGCCTACCCTCATCAGACTCTACCCTAGTCTTCAATCGTTTAAGAAGTCCCTCAAAACCCATCTGTTTAGAAATGCTTCCAGATAACTTCTACATCACATACCTGTCTCTTGCTCTCTCCTAAAGAGTCACACTCCACTCTCACCTCCACTTCTGCTACTTTTCTACCTTGTTTGTTTGCTGTCCCCTTTGATTTCTACTGTGTCTTTATACTCCACTCCTCTAGAATTCAAGCTTGTTTGAGCACGGTTCTCATCTACCTGTTGTTTCTGTATCAATGTGTAATTGTCTCATTTGTTGTTAGTTTCACGCCTTTCATAAAATTGTAAAGCACTGTGGAATAAGTTGGCGCTACATAAATATCAATAACAATACTGAGCACAACACCTGAAAAACAATTTGGTAAATGAACAGCTAAAAATCAGTGTTGATCCAACTTCGATATTTCCAAACACATAGCCAAACCATCCCTAAGGGATTCCAAAATGCGAGGAAGTTTAAAAGGCTTCCAATGGTATTCATGAAAAGAACAAGTCAAGAATGTACGCAACATCCTGTGGCAAATGTGACCGATAACAGCCTTGCAAGCCTGAAGTAAAATTAAAATGGTTTTATCTGAAAAACATCTGATGTGCAGATCATATGTTCTATTTCCATGCCATCAAAGGTGGGGGTCAAAGATTTCTATGATGAAAAGGACCTCGGAGAAGGGTCTGCCACAGAGGCTGTCTTTGCTGTAATGTCCTGAGTAATGCTGTAATGTGTTTGACATCCAGTTAGTTATATATAAAATACATGATAGACATTTATCACATTTAACAATTCAAGTCTGTAACTATCTGCGGAGATGCAACACAGGAGTATCTTCTAGCCGAATCGGTTATCTTAGCGGTGTGTGAAATTGCAGTTGGTAATGCTGTATGTCCTGCGGAGACCCACAGTTTTCAGGCAGTAACAGACAACCTGATGGTCAGCAATCTATGTCTGTCGCAGACGTCCCGAAGAGTTAAGTTATGGAGCTGAAAATATTTTATATGGAGCAATGGGAGCTATGTTAGCTTCCAGGTCAGACTCAGCCATTCCATAATACGAGATAGAAGTTATAGATGGAACGAAACTAGCATTATTTAAACCATACTAAGGCAAGCATTAAAAAAAACAAAAAAAAACAAAGGAGTTAACTTCTCTGCAAGTAAAACAGCTCTTGCTTTATAGTCAATAAAAGAATGCATAACAGATGTTGTAAGTAAAGAAATAAATGAGACATTCCAACCCAGCAGATGTTCCCCAGATGAAGGATCCTTAAAAGGCTGCAGCAGTTAAGTGATTAGGGAGAGATATCAGCATATTGGTTCCATCTTCAAGTGCCAGGGCAGGTATTCATCTTTGAAATATCCTCATGGCCTCTGTTTTTCAATGGAGAGCATACATAGTTACATAGCTGAAAAGAGAATTGCGTCCATCAAGTTCAGCCTTCGTCACATTTGTTTTTTGCTGTTGATCCAAAAGAAGGCAAAAAAAACAGTTTGTAGCCCTTCCAATTTTGCAACAAGCTAGGAACAAAAAATTCCTTCTTGACCACAGAATGGCAGTCAGATTTATCCTCGGATCAAGCAGTTATTACTCTACATTGAAAGATTATATCCTTGAATATTATTTTTTTGCAAGTATGCATCTAGCTGCTGTTTGAAAATCTGTATGGACTCTGATAAAACCACTTCTTCCGGCAGAGAATTCCCCATCCTTATTGTTCTTACAGTAAAAAAACCTTTCCTTTGCCTTAGACGAAATCTTCTTTCTTCCAGTCTAAAGGCATGACCGCGTGTCCTATGTAAAGTCCGGTTTGTGAATAGATTTCCACACAATGGTTTGTATTGGCCCGAATATATTTGTATAACGTTATCATATCCCCTCTCAGGCGACGTTTTTCTAAACTAAATAGGTTTAAATTTGTTAACCTTTCTTCATAGCTGATATGTTCCATTACTTTTATTAATTTTGTAGCCCCCCTCTGCACCCTTTCCAGTGCCATAATATCCTTCTTTAGAACAGGTGCCCAAAATTGCACAGCATATTCAATATGTGGTCGTACCAGTGATTTATAAAGAGGCAAAATGATATTCTCATCCTGAGAATGAATGCCCTTTTTCATGCATGACAATACCTTACTGTCCTTAGCCACTGCTGATTGACATTGCACATTGTTGCATAGTTTGTCTATAACAATTCCCAAGTCCTTTTCGTGTGTTGTTATTCCTAATTCGCTTCCATTAAGGGTATACATTGCTTGTGTATTCTTTATGCCGAAGTGTATAACTTTGCATTTTTCAACATTAAATTTCATTTGCCATTTGAGTGCCCAGTTCCCTAATCTATCTAAATCCCTCTGCAGCAGTGTAATATCTTGCTCACATTGTATTATTTTACATATTTTCCGCTATATACTGGGCAGTGAACAAAATAGAAGTAAGGGCTCCGCCAATTCTTAAATCACAATATAATGAGCAGTAAAAATCACAACACATAAAATAAGTAAAAAATCCAGATGTCAAAAAAATAAAAATAAAAATTAAATAAAAAAAAAATGGATATTACTTAGATCAAATATAGACTAAAGTGCTTGCTCTGGAGTAATATCCTTAGTTTCCTTATCTGGATGAATCCACTTATATGAAAGACAAAAACCAGATAAAAAGAACCAATATTGCAATATGATCGGTCCAAAATATATGTAGATGAAACAAATGGGAATATACTCACATTTAATAGAGCTATAGCCAGCTCTAGTTTGAAGGGCGTACAGTAGTATAACCCCCGCTTATGGGATATGTTGTGAGTCTCTTCCGTCTAGGGTATGGTCCACACTCAAAACAGGGTAAAAGGAGACAACTAATAGTGCTCACTGAATAAAAAGCAACAGTATATAAAATAACTAAGACAGTACTCACAAGCAAAGAGCAGGCTTACTGCTCCTTGGTAACAGTGTTGGTGGTGTGATTCCCACCTCTGATTTCTTGGATTACAGGATACTAAAAATGCCAGGTAAAAATCAAGTGTATAAAAAAAATGATAGTTGTCACAAGGGAAGTGACCAAAAAAATCTTTATTACCATACACAATTAAAATTCCACAAACGCGTTTCGCCTCAGGGCTTTATCAAAATGGAATAATACATATAAAAATTATTCTTGGTAAAACAGAAATGGAATGGGTATACAAGCTACAGACCCTTACACCCCATGGCCTCAATGTAGATTTGGATTTACATAATTTTCTGTAATATGTTCATTGGATGTATGCATGCTTATGTTGTTTTATTATTTGTTTTTATTTATATTTTACCCGGTTATATTTCCTCATTACTAAATAATTGTTTTAAATATTCATATATGTAATTTGCTATTTTATTTTGCTAAAATTGTTTTAAATATTCATATATGTAGATTTCATGTATTAAATCTGCTATTTTAATATTTGCTGTATTTTATTTTGCTATATCCTCCTATTTACTATAAGCTTTTAGCTATATAGTCTTAAAAATTGATTTTAATTATTCATATATGCAATTGATGCAGTTGAAATAATATTGCCCCTCCATAGCCATCCTTTCGGCATTTCCCTCTCTCTTCCCCTCCGATATGGCTACCCCTATTGACTTTTTGCCCCCTCCAATATGGACTTACACCAGGACTCAGCCCAGCATGCATTTAGATCATTTTGGGCGAACGCCGCCCACATAAGACTACATTTCCCAAGAGGGCATAGCGGCACGTGATTGCAAAAAAATCACTTATATTTCATGATATACACCTCGTTTTTATACGAAATTGTACATTCAAGTACTATAACTACTCCGCTTACTTCCTATATATGGTTGAGCAAATTTTAAGGTTTATTTTACTATGTAAATTGTGATTGGCTGCCCTTAGTTGGGGTGCCAATTTTAATAATTTGTACTCCTATTTAAACTCATACTGCCAGGTATTGTGTTATTCGATTTTGATAAAGCCCTGAGGCGAAACGTATTTGTGGAATTTTAATTGTGTATTGTAATAAAGATTTTTGGTCACTTCCCTTGTGACAACTATCTTTTTTTATACACTTTATTTTTACCTGCCATTTTTAGTATCCTGTAATCCAAGAAATCCGAAGTGGGGATCATCCCACCAACGCTGTTACCAAGGAGCAGTTAGCCTGCTCTTTGCTTGTGAGTACTGTATTATTTCATACACTGTTGCTTTTTATTCAGTGAGCACTATTAGTTGTCTCCTTTTACCCTCTTTTTTGAGTGTGGATCACAGCCCAGACGGAAGAGACTCACAACATATCCCATAAGCGGGGATTATACCGCTATACGCCCTTCAAACTAGAGCTAGCTATAGCTCTATTAAATGTGACTATTTCCATTTGTTTCATCTACATACATATTGGACCGATCATATTGCACTATTGGTTCTTTTATATCTGGTTTTTGTCTTTCATATAAGTGGATTCATCGGGATAAGGAAACTAAGGATATTACTCCCGAGCAAGCACTTTATTTTATGTTTGATCTGAGTAAGATCCCTTTTAATGGACTCATTTTTTTTCATGACATTTGGATTCTTTTTACTTATTATGTGTGTTGTGATTTTCACTGCTCATTATATTGTGATTTGTTTACTATCTCTGTTTTCGAAGGATCTCCCCTCTAGGGTTGCTGCCGATCTGTTAATTGGCGCTCACTCTTTTCTCCTGTTCAATATACTGGGCAGTATAGCTATGAAACCTGATGCTGTAAGTGATGTGGATGTCCTGCTGTAACAATGGTTACTATAAGAGATCTGTGCCTCAAATAAATAAATATATATATATATTAAAAAAGATTTTATTTTATTTTTTAAATGACTCCCCAAACCACATATGATCACTTAGCTAAAATTGACCAGGAATGCTCAGATCCCAAATCATTACTACACTTTGTCTTAAAATCTCATGTAACCAAGAGCATCTCTCTAGTGATTAAGTTAGTTAACAGCTCCAAAGGAATATTATCGATATACAGGCATACCCCACTTTTAAGTACACAATGGTATCAGAGCATGTATGTAAAATGAAAATGTACTTAAAGTGAAGCAATACCTTTTTTCACTTCCCAATGCATGTACTGCATTGCAATAGTAATTTACAGGCATAATATACAGGCATAACTGACACTGCAACTGCACATTTCCAGTGATTTTATTTCCAGTGATTTATTTAGTGATTTCCAGTGGGCTTTTATTCAGCTAAAACAAACAGTAAAAAGAAAAAGCTCATTCCATATTGTACCATTTATCTTTAATGTTTTACTCATCTGACAACCTTAATCTGGGAGGAAAAGTAAAATAAACCTGCCCACTGGGCCATTTTCTGTCACCACAGTGCCAATTTGTATTTGACAGCAGCTTATTCGCACACTTTGTTTAGAAACACCTCTTCATCACTTTAAGCATCTATGGTTTAACTTTGAATCCTCAGAATGTTGGCCAATGCAGCTAAGCTGCTAAGTCATAGTTATAGAAAATGGCACGGTAAACCGTTTCACTGGATGGCAGCCGATTGCAGAATATGGACAATGTAGGGGCAGAAAAAAAAATATATATGTTCACCTAGGAGTAGACATTATTAATTTGAGATGATTATAGAACCTTCCATTTCCTGTTCACTCGCGGACAGAAGAGGCGCAGGAATGTCTGTACTCGCGAGGCAACTTTAGGTACACTCACAGGTATGTCTGTACTCGCGAGTGTACTTAAAGTGAGTGTATGTAAAGCGGGGTATGCCTGTACAATAAACATTTATAAGACAGAAACACACTTTCCAAACAACAAACAACAAAATTACAAAGCTTATCACAATGATAATGAACAAACAGGCCAAAACTGCTTGCTGTTGAATAAGCCATTTTAACGACGTATATGTGTTTTGCTAAACACAGAGCTGGAAGTAACAATGCAAGATGTTAGTTGCCGTGCTACTACGCTAATAAAATATTTGATCTTACAAGGACTGCACAACATTGTGAAGCACTAAGAACAACTACGTTTGGAATAATCAAAATCAAAATCGATTTAAAAAAAAATACAACAGACATGATTATTTTTGTTCAAATGTGTGGTCTTTTCTTTACTGTATTTAGAGAACCATAATTTGACACTTTAAAATGTTTACACCTTGACTTAAATCTTTAAACGCGCTTTACTCATCATGATAAGCACAATTACATTTTAATGCCATCCTCCTCCTATACATGAGATGATTTAATACACAGATAAGCTTATTAACCAGCAAGATTTACATGATGGATAACATCACACTTTGAATTCAAGTAAGCTCACAAAATAATAAAAAATAAGACGTATACTAAAGCTTTACAGTGAGAATATGCAGAACTACAGCATAGAGACTCAAGGTATCAACTCCTAAAACGTAGTTATTGATGAGATCTTATTGATTTTGCTACATTTAATGTACTCAATAGCCATTGCTTTCTGCAACAGTTTAAACACTAAAAAATGTTCTTGATCAGGAAAGATGCATGCCATTGTGCTTATGTTAGTATTTGTAATTAATACTCAAGCAGAAAAATATATACATATAGTTAAAAATACCAATATAGTGTGACATGTACATCCTTCTGTAGGCCAAAACTATTTAAATAAATAATTAAAATAAAAAAATAAAAAAAATGCTCCTAAGCTACAATTAGACAATCACAAATGCAAAACAGGCACTGCACCACATAGATGGCTCTGACACTTGAAAGTGACAAATCAAAACAGTGAGTTGTTAATAGCCAAAACTAAAAAAAAACAAGGGGCACTCCAAACGTATCAAAACCACTTTAACTTGCTGAAATGCTTCATTTGAATGAAAAGTGTCCTCCCCCTCCCTCCCATTTTACAAAAAATAAAATAAAAAATGCAGATTTCAATAGAAATGTACACCTTTATAAATTAACCTTGTTACGCCCTTTACACTTTTGTAAATTAACCTTGTTACTCCCCTGTGGCTGTCAGACAACAGTTCAGTGGAGCTAAACTCAAAATGCAGTAATTGCCAAGAGCGCCTGACTTGCAAAGACTTCTCATTGAGCTGAATTGGAAAGCCTTTGATTGGACAGTCACCAAAATTCTGGGTGGGGTTAAAAGAGGAGGGCTTGCAAAGGCCGCAGACAAGAGATCTGCTGCTTTTACAAGCTCTTTTTACATATACCCCCAATGAAAAAGGAATAAATTAAAAGTATGCTTGTTTTCATTGGGTGTTTATCTACTAAATTGTTAGAAATAAAATGTATTTTTTTTTTCATTGGAGTGCTCCTTTAAAAGCAAAAAGTCAGGCCTATATATTTTTTTTTAAAACTAAAACAAAAACCTTTTTTTTTTTTTTTTAATTCATTGTCCTTAACATGACATTCTTGATGGACATTAGACTGTCAAGTAAACACCATATCACACAAATATGTCGTGTTCCACTTGACAGTCGTCCCAAATGGATACTCATCTCCAGATGTAATTCAACTTAATAGTATTAGTAGTTTGAACACCATATTACAAGTAATATAGGTCTAAACAACTGAAAACCAACATAGACAGAGAGATTAAGATTTACACTATACATATCTACACACTATTAACAATACTTTTTAACACCTCCAGTTAAATAAGTAGAGGGGGAAAGGTTCTCATTAACACAAATGTAATACAATTTAAAGGAACAGTTTGGGCCCTTAACTTAAAATGAAGTCATGGTGCCAGGAGCTCCCTGGCTTACCAAAATTGTTCGCAAACGGGTTTAACCCAAAAGTCTCCCCACCCTCTCCACCACTGCTTTCTTCACAACAGAAAACTGGGAGAGCCGCAGGCAGGGCAGAGGTGCCGCTGATTGGCTTAGAGCAGTTAGCTGATGCTCAAAGCCTATAAGTAGCATCCCATTCATATAAACTGCTTGAATAAAGGTACATACCTTTTGCAAGCCCTTTTTATGAACATGGTTCTACTGATTGGCTTAGAGCATCAGCAACCCTGCTCCCTGCGGTTCTTCCAGTTTTCCGTTCTGAAGATTTTGAGAAAGCGGATGTGGAGGGTACAGAGTGAAATTGTGCTGGAGAGGAGACTTTGGGGTTAAACGGTTCGTTAATGGTTTAACTCCTAAAGGTAAGCCAGGGCCAGGGACATCCTTTCACCATAACAACTTATTTTTTGATAAAGTTGTTATGGTGCCCAGATAGTTCTTTTAATTTTCTGAACTGCTGATGTTATCAACATGATGCTCAGCTTGAACCTCGAAGAACTTTCATTTCTTCATTTTCATGTCTGCTTCGATTGCGCAACGACGACCTCGAGTGCCACCATCCTGTTAAGGGTAAATGTGAGAAGTATCAGTACTGTAACATGAAATCTTGATTCTGCAGATTCTTAAAATGTCTGTGGTTCCCAAGATGGGATATTTCTAGGCCATGTTCAAGACTGATCACATACCTGACATCTTAAGCTGGGAATTGCTGTCTCAACCCTGTCTGCTTTCAGAATTCAAGGCTTTCTCAATCACTGCTCTTATTGATCAAGCTACACTGTTGTAGTACAAAATCTTCTGTTTCACACAGGGAAGACCATTTGACTTGACCCTGCTAGCTTTTGGTTTGATATTGCAGCATATGCATTGGGTGGGTTGTGGAGCAACAGACTGTAACCACCCATACAGCCATTATTTTCTATCTAGAGCATGAAGAACACAGAAATAGCTCTCTTTTTTTTTTTTTAAAGAAACAGAAAGAATGCAGGGAAAAGATAGGAAGCAGATTGTTGCACAACAGACACAGAGAAAGACTCGAGAGCAATAATCACATTTAAAAGGGTATATTATTTGCTTTGTCAAACAAGTGTGATCGTAAATAAAATAAAGACATAATAAATTATTTCCCCAACTCAATGCACCTATTCAATACTTACAAAGAGAGAGAGAAGGAAGGCAGGAGAGCCCATGGGGACACTGTCCTGTTAGACGACAAACAGAAAAACAGGTCAGATACCACGGAGACTCTCCAACGCAAGACACACTGAGAAGCGGTCACATACATGGCACAAAAAGCAGCGTAGGAGCCAGGACACTGGGATTAGAGTGGCAAGAACAAGAGTCAGACAATGGTATAGGGGACAGCTGGTACTTATTTGTTTTACGTCTACAATGCCTCAAATAAAATACAGTGCTTGCTTTTCTTGCAAATCCAAGCAAACAAAATGAACAAGTACATGCCACCCAACCCATATTTTTATTTCTCTCCCACAAGCAAGGCTCTACAGTGGATAATCGGGTCCGGTTGAGCAAAGACTAACCAGTTCCCTTCATTATAGGACATATAATACTGTAGTAAAATTTTTTACATCCTCTCTTATGATAACATGCAGGTATAATTGCCATGCATGGTATTGCTTGTACACAGTCATTTGTAAAACAGTCTTCAAACTCACAAACAGATGCTTTAATATAATGGCAAATCAGTTCATAAAACGTTCAGAGCAGCTGTAATGCATTCCCCATTGGGGAATGAAATGTTAAGCATGGTTGTACCTTCTCAGAAGCATCCTGCTTGCGTGTTGAGTCACGACCCCTTAGGCTCTTGGCACTTATGCCTGACTCTGATGTCTGCATTATTAACTGGGTGGCCAGGAATTGCTGTTTGAAGAAGATGCCAATAATATAGTTAATTGTGCCATAGCTCACATAGAGGATATAACGAGACAGCAAATATAACTTGCATGTTAAAATGTAGTCTAATATTATGATTCACTTGGAATACATTTGCATAATATGAAATATTTTTGTATAGTTAATTTGCAATTTTCTCGTAAACACGTTTTATAACAATTTTGGTGTGCGGATATTATTTAGCAACAAAGAAAACGCTTGTATTTATGCATTAGACTTTCACTGCATAGTTTGATTTATACATTGTTACTGTTCAGCATTCATTTTGTTTTTAAACAGAGATCTGAGAGTCATGAGTGGAGGAATGACCATCCACAATTTAAGAATATTTTAGCTCCAAGTAGAAAACCCAACTACACCGACTCCTGTAGCACAAAAGTCTGAAGCTATAAATATGGTTCACACATGCTGAAATATAACCCAATATTAGGTTTAATAAAAATAAAGTCTAAATAATCTAAAATGGACACTAGACACCATAACCACAGCTCATTACAATGGTCATAGTGCAAAATATTTGTAGCTGTCATCACCCTAATTTTTATCAAACCATTTGAGCAGAACTATACAAAATATCATTTAATTCAGAAGATGAATTGAAGGGAAATGAAAGGCTGAAAGAAGAGCTGTGGATGTATCAGTTCAAAGCCACCTGTGCTAAAGCAGTAATGTTGACATTTATGGAGGAACTATAATACGATTTTGGGGACTCTTTACCAGTATTCTACTGATACCTGATCTCATCTAAAGTATTCATTTTCTGAAGACATCAATTGAGACTCAAATTGGTTAAAGTGCACTTTCAGCACACTGTGTATTCGTCAGGACACATCTACAAAAGCAATATAAAGAAACAAGTACCTGGATCTGTTCTAACACATCCCTTTGCATCTCCACCGCCATGTGGTATACATCATGGTCAGAGCTATTGTACATAACAGCATTCTGGAACATTAGCATGATGTCCCTTTGAAACTCTGCTGTGCTACGAATTATACCAGTCTCAATGTTTTTCTTTATAGTAGATAGGTCCATAGGCCTGCAGGAAAACAGATCAAGTGAAGTTGACATACAGCACTGTGTCACGGCTGCTAGTGTGGTCCAACACGCAGAAACTATGTAAACATATACATAAAAAAGGAAAGGAAATAAAAGGACAGAGCGTAAACCGGACCTTAGAATGGCCGGACTAATACGCTAGAGAAGGATCAAAGGGAAAGCCGAGGTCAAGGAAGCCAGAAATACTCAGATACCGTTTAAACAAACCAAGTCAGGGGAACCAGAATTCGGAATAACCAGGGAAAAGCCAAGATCAGGATACCAGGAAGTAATATTCACAAAGATAAACACACTCTAGGGAACCAGGAACAGGAAACCACGACTGGGCAAGGTACTGGGGGGAATTAGGGATTTAAATATCCCTCTCTAGGCTCTGATTGGTCAGAGGGTGACCCCAGAACGTGCGCGTGCGTTGACGTCACGCGCACGTTCGTATAATTTTGGGGGTTGGAGCCATGGATGGACTCGACCTCCTGGTCGGCGCCATCTTGTATTTCCCCAAGCGGTGTGGAGGAGCGGTTCCCGGCTCGCCGCTGAGCAGGTAAGCTCAGTGAGTTGGTGCGGTTGTGCCGGTCGGGCACGGACGCACATGGCGGCGAGCCAGGGGCCGTGACACTGTTATGCATAAATGTGTATGTGCAGTATAAAATATACATAATATGATTTTACCTCTGTACAATGCTGTGATAGCCAGGAGCAATGTCATCTGTAACAGGCTGGAGGAATACATTTGCATACCTAAGAAATGACAAGAAATACATTTTAAGATTTATAGGAGTTATAATTTTCATCTACGGTGTAGAAAGCAAACTACTCTACTGGCTGTATATTGTTTCATAATGGTTTCTGATTATGGTTTTAAAACTACCTTATACACATATGCTAGGTGTAAAGGGGACACTATGCACCCGAAGTCTCACGGTTTCATTATCTGCCATTTAGAAGATAAATCACTTTGTTATAAGGCCTTAGTCACACCTTCCTGCATGTGACGTACACAGACTTCCTAAACACTAAGCACAGTCTGTTTAATTTAATTTCTTATCTCCTGCTCTGTTAATAGACTTCTAGATCCTGCTGAAGCCTCCAGTGTGTGAGTAAAGTTCAATTTACAGAGCAGAAGATGAAAACATATAAAGTAAGTTAACTTCTGATTGAAAATGAAACCACTTTTTCATGCAGGCTGTGAGAGTCAGAGCCAGAGAATATGTGGCTAGGGCTGCAAGGACAGAAACAAAAGTGATTTAACTCATGAATAGCAGAGAACTGAGCAGTGAAACTGTAGGGGCATGACCTATACACCAAAACTGCTTCATTAAGCTAAAGTTGTTTTGATGCCTATAGTGTGCCTTTAAATTAAAGGGATACTGTAAGAAAAAAAACAACAACTAGTGCTTGCTCTAAGCCAATCAATGCTGCTCAGGTTGGAAGAATGTGACACTGATAATACACTAACGTTGATTTTGCAATAGCAGTGCAGCAGAGGAAGGGGTGGTCTCTTATGTGAAACTGTACCTAAACGATCTCACATCAATCCAGATGATACCTCCAGGTCATTCTAGGGTAATTTACAAAACTCAGTTTTGCAAAAAATATTTGCAAAAGAATATTTCCAGTTCAGCTATTTGTGCCTCAATTTTTCCATTAAGATTTAATTTTGTAAGATGTAGAGTTTAGCAAAACGTCAATGTCTAGGCAGTGGCTCGAATATTTGTGAATTAAATTATTTTGTGTCAGGACAAGTGGGTTGTGAAGACCGATAAGTAGGTTGGGCTACCGCTTTAGTCCCTAGGACAAGTAATTATTTTTTTTGATTCCATACCCCGGCTCTCTTACAAGCCCTTTTCCTACTGCTTGCTATTGCGCTGGCAAGCGCATCTTTAACAATGATTAGCCATTTACTGAGATCTTCTGTATCCATCATGACACTGGTGGAATAAAGGTAAGTGTATATTTTGCTTCTTTGGGGGACCAATAATCCAAATAGCTTGTGCACTACTGTAGCGTTGGGAATGTGTGTTCCTTTTATATGTAAATTTTATAACAATATATTTATTGCTTAGGAGCGGATATCGGTTTTATGGAAGCAATAATAGTTATTTCACTCACACAATTCATGCTTTTTCCCCCAACATAATCTAAATCCAGCCTGAATGCAATAAGGAGGTGAATATTTTTTTTTGTACACAATGCAGAATACAAGTGCTATGTTGCTACACAGGCCTAAAAAATACTCTTCATGGCAAGGCTTGAGGTACCACGGTACCCTCACTAGCCGTGAATTTCTACTCGCCATGATGGAATTTTCAATCGCAAATGGCTAACAGGCAAGGGGGAATTTTAAGTCCTGGTATATAGCCCATATTATTATTTTTTTTAAATTTATTTATTTTTTCTAAATCCAAATAATTTTTAAAACTTATGAACTGAAAATTGTAGCTTGTGGTTTGAAGGGTAAGATTTTTTTTTCTCTTTACAGTACAAGAAAACAAAACAAAACAAAACAAGAATTGCAACGCCCCATTTACTGCTATGCTACACAGTGTGAGTCCTGCATCTCAGTTACTGACCTGTGATTGGCTGCTGCTCTCCAGACTAACATGATGGCCTTTTTCCATATTTTTTGAGCTTGGATAGCCTCCTGGTCTTCACTACAGACAGAGCTGAAATATTGGTAAATATATAAAGATTTTCTCATAATAAATGCAAATAAATTTAGTTTGATACATATATTAAAAAATGAAATAAAAAATTCACTCATTGATTTCCATGTTACTCACAATTGAGAAGATGCTGGGCTGCTAGGAATGGAATCAGCGAGTGTGTGGGATTGCAGCTGAGCATTATGGATGCTATAACCATCATCACTTTCACTAATTGGGGGCTCGTTATCCATCTCAGACAGGTATTCTTCTCCTGCCTCCTCTTCTTTGGGCTCCTCTGGACTTCCAACCTCACTTGTGACATCGTCATCTTCATCTTCTTCCTCACCTTGAGAGTCCTGAGAATGGAAATGGAAGGTGGAGAATGTTTATGTAACTTTTCCTGTCATTACTGTAAATGGTTTGGAAAACATCCTAAGCAAATCAAATGTACCTTGTTGAGGCTGCTAGACTGTGGTTCTGATTTCACTGGGTCTGGAAATGGGAGGGAGCAGGACAATGAGAACAAGTATACGTCATCACTCTATGTTTCCCCACTCCACAATAAATTTAGTTACACCCCCAAAACTAGCATATGTTTTCTACTGCTCCTAGTGCGCACCAATTAGCACAGGTCTCTGCTCCAGTTTCATTCCATTTTCATCCTCATTTGCAAAAGTCTCACTCTGGGAAGTTTCAGAATGGAGCTCCTACAAGCAATAAAAAAAAAAAGAAATGCCAAATAAGCAAAGTCTGAGTGATAAGAGTATATTACTAACAAGTTAGGTATTAAATATAACTACCTCTGTTTTCAAGTTATGATCCGTTTCCTCTTCTTTGATTGGCTCCTTTAGAGTGGTTCCTCTTAGATCTTCTGTATGTTCTGAATGGCCGACATGAAACGGTGAATGGGAATTGATGGAGCTTCCCTCTGTCTGTGACTGTTCCATGTCTTGGTCAGGTGGCTCAGTTTTTATTTCAGAAGTAAGCTCCATGATGTTCATTATAGAATCTGGCTCCTTGGCCCCTGTAAGGAGAGACTGCCCAAGTGCTTCCTGCTTTGCTGTATGCTCTTTAACAGCCTGATCCCAGGGGCCCCCAAGTGCTTGGGGGTCATCATTTTCTTCACAGAAAGACAGAGCAGCTTCAACTGCTGCCACATCCAGTACTTCTGGGTGGTCATCCACCTGATCATAAAATAAATAAAAACACGGGCTTGTACCTTGTAGTTACATGTGTTAACAAACGCACAAACTGTTTATATAAGTAAAGCTATATATTATATATTGGCCTCTATCTGGCATAACTCCAATCATTCATTGGTTTCCAAACAGTGGTATTTGTGTTTAAAGTGTCATTACTTTCTCTTCTGTTCAGAGAAGGGGAAGTTTGATATTATAAGTGACTATTTTTGGGTTTGTTTTAGTAGTCTACTCTCATTTAATATTATTTTCTAGCAAACTCTAGCTCAGTGCTTTATTTACCTTGTCCTCTATGATGGCAATGATGTCACCCACAGTCTCAAAATCCAATTCCTCTCCTGTGTATGACACAGCAATATCCATCTTTTCTGCTAGATCCAAGTCCCCTTTAACTTCAGAGACCGCATCCTTTGGTTGTCCGGTCCCTTCGCTACTTCCTAGGCACTCTTTGTTGATGGAGTCTATGATCATGGAAATATCCGTGCTGTCCATGGACACTGTGACTGTGTGTGGATCTGGAGCAGCATCACTGCCTTCCTGCTGGGTCACTATGTAAGACATAGCAAGTTTGCAAAGTAATTATTATTATTTCATCTATGATTTAGGTTTACCATTTTCATGATGTACCGGTATAACCTTTTTAGCTTGAATCTTACATTTACTATTTTGTTTCATAAAGACCAGAAGAAAATGGCTTTCTTTGTTTCTAATTGCTAGTAAAGAAATCTTGCAACATTATAAACGGTGTTAGGAGAGACACATGATGCCATGTGCCAAGTCATGAATAATAAACAGAGTAGTAGAAGAAATAGTGATCAGAGAAATGGTGCAAAGCTGTAAAGCATATATTCAGTGTTCCTGGTGTCTGCCCCACAACACAAAACTTTAATAAATTTAACTCACTGTCAATCTACAAACAGTGGTTTGTAGTGGATAGCAGTAACCACCAGGAAATGTAAAAATCTAAGAGGGAACCCAAACAATGCTCTTAAGCTAAAAAATATCACCAAAACAAAACCAACCCATTCATAAAAGTAGCATAAATATTCTGGTAGAGTAGACTGTTCTAGCTGCTTTCCAAATACTTTCCCATAGCCAATCATTTAAGAAGTCCTTTAAAATCCATTTCTTTAGGCAAGCCTGTGGTCTCACTTTGTATTTCTCGTTCCTTAACGACGAGTGACGGACAAGGTCCGTCACTCAGGGGATTGCCATAACGACGAGTGACGGACCTTGTCCGTCACCCGTTAAAACTAGCTATCGCGGCGATCGCGGGGTTAAAGGTGCTCCGGTCTGCCTCTGTATTAGCACCCGATAGTGCTGCCCCAGCACATGTGCTCGCTCTGACAGATTCTAAAATCGCTCCACATTAAAAGTTTTACTCCTTGTGCTTTGTGACCTGTAACTACCAAAAAAAAAAAAAACTTAAAATCCAAGACACATTATATATTCTGTAAATCAGAACAACTAAATGAATTTATTTTTAACTACTTTCCTTAACCTGCACTAATTATGCACACATTATTATTGCAAAAACTGTAAAAAAAAAACCCAGCATTTTTCTGTATTTTTATAATAAATAAGCATTTATATATATGTCTTACACCAAATTAAAGTCCTTTCTGTCCTTTAAAAAAACGATATATAATATGTGTCGGTGCAATAAATTAGTAAAATGCAAATTGCAGTTGAACGCAAACAGCAAAAATGAAAGAAATGCTGTTGTCATTAAGTGAAAGACTAGCTTCTGAAGCTCTGTCCTTAAGGGGTTAAAGGGCGACTGAAACCAAAAATTGTTCCTTTCATAAAACACTGTTTGGTTAGAGTGACCCTTGCTGTGTAAATATCAAGCTAAAACTTGCCTCCTTTTCCAGTGTCGAGGGTTCTCCCAACAGCTGTCACTCTCCCTTATATTATCTATGTACATAAGGTGCTGTTAAGACACACCCTCAATATATGGGAATTAAATCTCTGCATACGATGTGCATTAAAACACATCATCAGTATATGCGATTGGTATATTGTGTGTGCTAGATGGTGTTAATTAACAACCCCAATATATTCACAGCCTTCGCATTTTTAGTATAAGCAACTGATATAAGATCTGTGCTTGAGCTGAAAAAATATACCCCAGTTCCACCGAAACAAATACACTGTTGCACTGGGTAAATACCTATTACAAACTGTGGATTCTCTACTTCAGGTTTTTTTGTTTTTTTTTTAAATGAAGAGGATAAGAGAAACATGTTGCCTTCTGCTTTTGCATTAGAGTTCTCCATCCCCACTTGTGTTCCATGATAAGCAATTAACAACTTCCGATGGACTGCAGGTGTTACTGAACCTGTCTGGTTACCACTCTCACTAGAGAGGAGTCGTCCTGATTTCAAAAATGGAGACTAGTAATGCTCAATAATAGTCAATAGTGCTTTACGCGTGCACATCTATGCCGAGAAGTTACTACGAGAATATTTCTATTGCCAGGTACCATCTCCTCATTGGTCAAGACAATGAATGTTTTTACATTTAAAGGACCACTATAGTGCCAGGAAAACAAACTCGTTTTCCTGGCACTATAGGGTCTTTAGGTCCCCTCCACCCTCAGGATCAGGAAGGGGTTAATCACTTACCTTTCTCCAGCTCCGGGCTCCCAAGGCGCTGGGGAAATCTCCTCCCTCTTCTGACGTCAGTACTGAATGCACATGCGCGGCAAGAACCGCACACACATTCAATCAGTCCATAGGAAAGCATTTCTCAATGCTTTCCTATGGACGTCAGCGTCTTTTCACTGTGATTAACCCTAATGTAAGCATAGCAGTTTACAGCTGCAGGGTTAACCCTAGATGGACCTGGCACCCAGACCACTTCATTGAGCTGAAGTGGTCTGGGTGCCTATGGTGGTCCTTGAGCCTTAGTTTATATTACTGATTGCCAGTGCACAGTTTTTTTTATTTGCTCCCATGAGCATAAACGCTCGGAAGCATGTACCTGATTGACTTTTAATTTAAAAGTTATGAATACTAGCTGTTTGTATCAGCGGGTCACAATTTTAGTAACCATTTCTTAATTTTTGCAATATTCTACTCTACAAATTCACTACTCCTGGTTTGATTTATAATTTTTATTTAGGTTTCAGGCTCAGTGCACTGGAGTTGGTTTAGAAATTACTTTAGAAATGAGTGAATTTCCCTAATGCATAATCTGTATAATTGAGAGAATATGCTAGTTGTTATATTCAGTATTCTGCTATTTGATCCCTTAGGAACTTTATGGTTTGGCAGTCTTTTAATGTATGCCATGGATGCTGGTTCTTGAGGGGTTAAGAATCAGAATGTCCCAGGGATCAACCAGTTGTAAGTTTGGCGGAGGGGAGACAATATAATTTTATTTCTGCGATAAAGTTTACTGTCTTAGGATCATATTCTCCATGTACTATTGATTTGGGGGGTATTACAAGTGTCTTAATTGCCAGTGGAAAAACTCTTTAGTCCCCAGACCATTCTACCAGGTTTAATCTGTCATGCATTATTTCACATCATACCAAAACAATAAGGGAAATCACTGAAGATGAAGGACCACTACACTTCTGGCATGTTCTGATTTTTAAGGGGACTTTTCTGGGTGTCCAACTATCTGGACTTTCCAGCCAATATGTGGCATTAAGTTGGGGTGTTATCCTTATAACAGATCCGTATAAGTGACGTTAATTCCAGATGTTGCAGTGATGTAATATTTGTGAGTTATATGCTTGAACTGCTGTGAATATATTTGCACATAATCTATGCTACATAAGGATTTTACAATCACCATATGCTTCGATTTTCAAGACCATGTCTGTACGTTTTATGGAGGTTCTCCTCAAATCTATTTCATTATTCTCCAAAGAAAGACAGGTGTCTAATTTCTTACAAGAGTTTGTCTTGTATTAGTTTCTTTTATAGGTTTAGTTATAAGGACCATAATCCCTTCCTGGCACTATAATTCTCCAGGATTTTCCCTATATTTGAATACCAGGGGATTGCAGACCAACAGCCTTTGGGATACAATAACTTGTGTGAGCAGATATTATAAAAATATCCTGTTCATTATTTTTTGGGATTTTGATAAGCCTTATTAGGTTTGCACAGCTCAATAATGTTTCTTTATAACCATTCGTTGTATTTGAACTCCGTCCCTCCCACTATTAATACTGCTTGGGTATTACCCATAAGTACATGCTGCCATTTTTGATCAGGAATAAGGAAAACTGTTTCATACGTACCGTAATGGTCTTTTCCGTATAATTATGTTCCCACCCATCTACTTAGATTTGTGAAGCTAGTTACAAAGACTGCCTGGTGGGAAGGGGAGGATCTATTTATACCAATTTCAGAGTTCTGTTTCCTGTCCTTTCTGCTGTGAGGAGAGGAGCTAACCCATAATTAAATGCTGCCATGGATAATGATCAAAGCGGTTTTGAAAAATTTCTATTAAAGTTATAAAATTTATATTAATTTTATACATTAAAAATGCTAAATGCCAGTTTTTATTGCTCCCTTAATCAAAACAGCAACAGACATGGAAAAACATGCTGAGGTTTCTATTAATGACATGAATAAATTGGACACAATCTCCCCTTCCCCCTCCCCCCCCCCAAAAAAAAGACTAGCAAATACAGTTATCACAATTATGCTGTGTTTGGGTGATGCCAGTATTAAAGGGACACTATAGTCACCAAAACAACTTTAACTTACTAAAGCTGTTTTGGTGTATAGATCATGCCCCTGTAGTCTTACTGCTCAATTCTCTGCCATTTATGAGTTAAATCACTGTTTAGACAGCCCTAGTCACACATCCTTGCATGTAACTAGCACGTCCTGTAAAGAGACATCTAATGTATCTTTTTTTTTGCAATGACACATAGCAAGACTTCTTTACAGTTTGGCTTGTGCAAGAGCCCCGTGGAATTTTAGGCGTTGGTTACATAGTGTAATGAAACAAGGGGTTAAGCATGAGCCCACTGAATGGTGGCTCTCAGTTACATACGTTTGTCTTTTACCAGGTATCATTGTTTTTTAAACATGAAGCAAACGAAAAAAAAAAGAAAAAAGGTAACGAACTGTGAAACTTAAACATAACCTTGGGCCGGGGTACCGGTTATCCCGGTCCAGTGGTGGGTGGGGGAGGATGGAAGGGGGTGTCATCTTGGTCGTTGGCCTGTTTGTTGTATCCCTAGTCTGTTTATAAGTCTTTAACTGTTTAGGTAATTTTCCCAGGTCCTGGTGAAAGCTTTGGTGGAGCCTCGTACTCTGGCCGTAGGTTTGTCCATGAGATGGCATTCTTTGATCTTGTTAATCACTGTGGACACTGGGGGACTAATGTATCTTTTTATTGCACATTCTGTTTAATTTAGAATTTCTTATCCCTTTAAAAGGTCACAAAAGTGTAATTACATTAATTTTCTATGTATATGTACAATAAACAGGCATGTGACTTAAAAAAAATGGTCTTAGCCTACTAGTCCACAGTACAAGTACAAATTTACAACAAAAGAAGAAGCAGAACACCCAAGGCAAGTTACCTGGGACAGCTGCAGTGATAGGCAGTGCTGACATCATTACAATGGTGGCCTGAGACTCTATAGGGGTCAGCAAAGATTTAGACGGAGACTCACTGGTGGCAGCAGCAGAGAAGGAAGCAAGAGGTGTAGCGAAGTGTGCAGGGCCAGCTTCTAGAAGCCGGGACAGAGTGGGTGCACCTAAGAAGGCAAGAACAGAAAGGGAGAAAAGAACAGGAGAGGAGGCCAGGAACATAATACCAGAAATTAGGAGTATGAAAGAAAAGGGTAAAGGAAGGTTTGATGTGGTGGAATTCAAGAAGAAAGAGAAGGTTCCAAGAAACAGGAGGGACATGGGGATAGAAAGAAAATGCATTGAGAGAAGAGACAATATAACAGCAGACATAGCAGATAAACCTTCATACTGACACAGAGTCAACTGAAAAAACACGCAGGGAAACGTACCTGAAGCTGCAGGAGATGCTGGAATCGTGCCTTGCACAGGATGCATCTCACTTCCATGTAAAGCTGGCAAAACTCCAACATCCATAAGAACACCTGAACCAGAAATGTGACCTGATGGTAATGCTAATTCCCCTTCACTCACCTGAAAGAAAAAAAAGAAGAGGGTATGGCAAGAAACTTTGACTATTAAATTGTACGCCCTGCCTTGGACAAACTTTGGGTAGTGTGGCGACAGTCGCTGTGGGGACCAGGGGTGGGGTTCCATACCAGCCGGGGACTCGTGGGTAACAGGCTGCCTTTCTTCAGGAGTTCCGAAAGCAGAGGGGAGGGGGGCGGAGTTGCTTTCTGTCCCACCATCTTTTTCTGGGGAGAGTCGTCCATCACGGGGATCAACGGGGAGTCCAGGGGGGCAGGAGGAGGAGGGGTATCAGGTATCCCAATGAAGGAGGAGACCGGTGTACTTGGCAAAGACCCCACACTTACCTGAAAATAATTAGAACATAAAGATGAGAATAAGCGGCAGTGATATCACTTTAGCAATAAGGGCACCTCTGTCTATCATGGACATATTTTGATAGGGAAGCTTTCTGTACACACCCCTACATTTCCCTCCTCAAGATTGCTTGGTGTCAAGTCCCCTAGGCTGAACTCTCCTCCTGGAGACGACGATCCAACAGAGACACGGCCCACTGTGCTTGAAATTCTGCGAGGAATGTTCTTAGCTGCCTGTCGAGCTGAATAAACTTAATATTAGAGACGCTGAAAAGACAATCCGCTAAACTAAACTTTAAAGCAGAGGATATAGCCACGGATGTGCTGCTTATACAATAAGCTTAACAAAAAAAAAGTCAGAGATTGCAGCTATTACAAGATAAAGATAAAGTCAAGTACAGACGTACCTTGATATGCAGCATCTGTGGCCTTTCTCTTCATTTCCGCCTCCTCTTCCTCCTGTTTCTTCTTGCTAAATGCAAAAAGCGTCGTCAGAAACCCAGACTTCACAAGTTCATATAAACTGCAGCTCAAGTTTTAGATGGGTAAATGTGGAACTGAAAGAGAACTCACATCACAATGTCATTCCAGGTCTCGTCCAGCTTGCTGTCCATGTGGCCAGTTTGAATCAACTCTGCTTCTTTCTTCAATTTTCTAACAAATCAAGAATAAAAAAAAAAATAAAAAAAAAGTTTTTTATCCATCATGTCAAATTTATATACAGTATGTTTTCACCTGTTCTACTTGAGTATTTACAATCATTTAGCAATGCAACTACTTCAACACTAACAAAATGGGATGAATTGACCACTGTCCTGAAGGAGCTAGCAAATGACAAAACATGAACATTTTTAAATATTTTTTTTCTGCAAAAACGGAATAAACGCTCTCTAAGCTGAATGTTTGTTGTGAACAAGCCATGCAATACCACCAGGTCAAACACCTGTTTCCTTCCACTCAGTTCTTGGCTCCTAATTTCACACTTGGCTCAAATGTAAATAGTGATATAAACATACAAAATTAAGCCTTGCGCTCAAACTCCCACCAATCCTGGACAGCAGCAATGACTATAGTACACACCAGCACCAATACTTACAACAAAGTAAAAAAGAAAATATATATATTATATATACTTGTGCACTATCCCAAATCCCTATGCACATTTAAATAACTGGAAGTTTTTTTTAGTGTTACCCAAATGGTCATTTAAGTGTAAGTTCACCTGCCATATCAAGGCAAAACCTCTGAGGTGAGTTCTTTACTAAAAATTCACCTTGCTGATTTCAGCTAAAAGGTAAAATCTCTAATGAGACAGAGAGGGGTATACGGTATGTATAAACCCCTACATACTTATTAACCCTTAATAGAGACCACATGAAGTGGGTGGCATCACTGTAATGTGTCTGTGTAATACCATTGGAGCACCAGTTATTTAAATGTGCAAGCAACTTTTTTCATTGATTTCTATTGTAAATAGTGTTATGCTGGCTAACCAAGAGGTTTTTGAATTAGACTATTCTACTTCATCACAGTACTATTTAAAATAAGTCTTTAGTGAAACATCAGCTTGGTGCTAAAATTTTATTGGAAATCTGAATCTCTGTCAAACCTTTGCTGAACTGATGTGGGAGGTTAACCCAGCTATTGGGGGAAAAAAAGGTGGCCAAACAGCATCCCATCGGTTCCATTATGCAAAATATGTAGAGCTCCCTACCCCTTTTGTAGAGGGCTGGAATAAATACTTGCATCCTGTTCCATTCCTCACATTTTCTGAGACTACTTACTTCAAGCGCCCAGGCTCCTGCACATGACCTTTGGTAAGCCCTGCCTTCTTAGGTTCTTGGTTAATAACTTTTGTAAATGTTTTGGCTCCACTTTAAATCCCCCCACTCCCCATTTATACCCCCTTCTCCCCTCCAGCTCCAGTGAAAAACATCTGGCATTCAAGCTACCTTAATGTTATTTTAGCAGTCCTCTTGTTGTAAGGATCTCATGTAAGTGACATCAACAATGATAACATCTGAAAATTAAAACAGATGTAATAGATAGTGTTGCCCAGTCCCAATACACAAAAAGTCTGGTACATTTGGTCACTTAATGGGATACTCCAAGCATCAGAAGTCAGAACAGCTTAAAATGATGACAACTTTAGCTTAAAGCAGGGTTCTCCAAACTCTGACCCTCCAGATGTTGCTGAACTACAACTTCCATGATTCTTTGAATAAAATAGTTACCTAGAGAATAATAGGAGTTGTTGTTGAGCCACATCTGGCTGGATGGACAGAGTTAGCAAAAATCCTGGCTTAAAGGACCCCCATTTTTTCTTTTTAACCTAGTGATTAAGAAAAAAATTAAATAAATAAGACCCACAATGTGTATGCTACTAGCAGAACACTTGTGTTACTTGCAGTAATTACCAATTTCTTATCTTCTGCTCTGTTAATTGAAGGCTAAAACCTGCAAGAGCCTTGTGTATGTGATAAACATTCAATTAACAGAGCAGGAAATAAAAATATCATGTTTTCATGAAGGACCGCATAAACAGAAACAAAAGTGATTTAACTCCTAAATGGCACAGAATTGCACAGTAAGACTGCAGGGGCATGATCTTCATCAACACTATAGGCACCCAGACCACGTCATCTCATTGAAGTGGTCTGGGTGCATCGCTCCCGTAACGCTGCAATAGAAAACATGTTTTCATTGCACGGTTAAGCCTGCTTCGTGGCCTTTCACAGAGTTTGACTCCATGAAACGACACTAGATATCCTCATGCTTTGCAAAAGGATGTTTGATGTCTTCTGATCCCCCATAGGAAAGAGCTGATTCACAATTTTCCTATTGGGGAAGGCCTAATGCGAACGCACCGTACATGTGGTTCCCCTTGGCACTGACGTTGGAGACAGAGCCATTTGGAGCTGGAATCCGGTAAGTAGTTTTTAAACCCTTTAACTGTTACAGCTTTGTATTCCTAACACTATATTGTTACTTCAAGCTAAAGTTGTTTTGGTGCTTAGAGTATTCACAGAAAAAGCAACTGAGATGAAGTAGATAGTTCCCGTTGAAATTCTCGTGTGATTAAATTGGAAATAAGCTTAGTTAAGCAGATGACTTTTAAAAATATTTCCACAAATATGGGAATAAATGACCCAATATATGAAACAGGAGCCAGACTGTGAAGAAGAAAACATAACGCCTCAATCCTTTTCTGGTGAAGTGCTGTTAAGGCACAAAACACGTTAACAGTGTATTGCCCCAGTGCTCTCTCCCTGCTTGTTTCAGCAGTGCGATAGACACATTTTGTCAATAAAAGGTATGGTTTATTTGTTGTCAAAATCCAAGTGGACTGAGGTGTTTTTTCTTCATGTCAAGTCCGGCGTCTGTCTCATATTTCTATCAGCGGTGGAACCTGCAAACGCCACTTCTAGGATTCAAGGTACACACCATGTGTGTCCTTTACAGGCTGGTTGTCTGATCCAATTATCTTTGGCTGATCCCAGTAATTGTGGGTAGAGGAGGTGGCTGAGGAAACTGAAGGTGCATAGTACAGGATTAACTGTACACAAAATAAATGCCATTATTTAGCTGTAATAAAGAGAAAGCAATACATCGCAGATATGCAGTTTAAGCTATAGATATGTTCACAGACACACTTTGTTATTCACTAAACAGGAAATCACAGACAAGAAAAATGAACATTTCAGGCCAAAGTAGCTGAACGGAGATAATTCTCAAACTTGGTTATTTTTCAACTTGGCTTAAATTAATTATCATCATCTCATATGTATATTGTATTGAGAATGGTCCCTTTTGTAATCCTCACCTGTATTTTTCTTGAGTATCTTTAATAAGCTTCTTCAACTCATCAATCCTTTCAGCTGTTAGCTTTCTTACAATAACATCTTCCACAGTCTCCACAACCTCTCCTCTCTCACCACGCTTTCGTCTGAAAACAACAAAGTAATTTGTTACTTCTTAAACATACCCAATCAAATGAAAATACATTAACATTAAATAAAATGATATATACGGTATGTGCATTTTGGTGCAATAGCATATACTCACTTTGGGGTCTCGGTAGTTTCAAGAAGCTCAGAATACTGAGAGGCACAGTGCTTAGGGTGGGGGGGAAAAAAATAAAAAATTAAGGACAGTTTTGTGTAACTGAAAATAAAATCATGACATTCATCATACATACAGCTTACTCCTTTACAAGCCAGAGGATCACACCAACAATGATAAGCATGTGCTCTTAAGGCAGAAGACTGCAAGAATCACTAGATGGAGCTAACAATCCCTTCCTAATATAGCAAAGTCGCAACAAACTACTGTAGCTGTCACATATGTATTTTGCTAAATTTGCACAAGACTGTTAAAGCATCAGGATCACCTATTATGTAATAACAATTTTTGTTAAAAACCATGCAGAGAAACTAATTTCAAAATATATTTTGAAGTATGTTAGGCATTCCTGATACTAAATTCTGGAATAAAGCATTTAGTGCAGAACGGTAATTCATGGGGAACCATGACTTCTGTGAAGATCATAGCTTGAATAAAACAATGAAAATAACCTTTAAAGGACCACTATAGTGCCAGGAAAACATACTCGTTTTCCTGGCACTATAGTGCCCTGAGGGTGCCCCCACCCTCAGGGTCCCCCTCCCGCCCGGCTCTGGAAGGGGGAAAGGGGTATAAACGTACCTTTTTCCAGCGCTGGGCGGGGAGCTCTCTGCCTCCTCAGATCCGCCCCGTCGGCTGAATGCGCACGCGCGGCAAGAGTTGCGCGCGCATTCAGCCGGTCGCATAGGAAAGCATTCATAATGCTTTCCTATGGACGCTTGCGTGCTCTCACTGTGATTTTCACAGTGAGAAGCACGCAAGCGCCTGTCAATGAGACAGCCACTAGAGGATTTGGAGGAAGGCTTAACCCATTGATAAACATAGCAGTTTCTCTGAAACTGCTATGTTTATAAAAAAATGGGTTAACCCTAGAAGGACCTGGCACCCAGACCACGTCATTAAGGTGAAGTGGTCTGGGTGCCTAGAGTGGTCCTTTAACTTGTTTTACAAATGCAACCAAAATATAAGTGCACTGATTAATATCTATGAGAAATGTAAATTAAATGAGAGCTTGGTAAAAAGCTCTTTTTATCCTAAAGATAATTGTTTAACAGGTGCATTTGTCTGGTGAAAGCGATTACTGGTATTTGGAGATATTTTGTTATATAGTTTTGAATGACATGTAATACTTTAGTTCCCCCAAAGAATCATATAGAATGAATGTAGTGACATGCTGGAAACGAATGTTTACCTTTTAACATCTCCATGTAAGAAGCAGTGAAGGCATCTAACATCTCTATCACAACAAATTCCAAAAGCAGTACACTAGTGTATCTCCTTGCACATTTTTCCACTACACGGTGATACTTGAGGTACCAGCTCCATAAGTCTTTACCTATTTATTATTCCAGATTGTCTCTTACCTTTTGTGAAAACCAGTCAGGAGGACGACCAGGTTCTGAGAAGGGTTTGATGGCGCGACTCACAGACACCCTGAAAATGTTATACAAACCTAATCAAATACATATTGAGTAATCAGGAGACATTTCATTTAAGCAATGAAGGTAAAACTCGAATAAGAATAGCTCAAAGTTGCGATAAAACCAACATTTATTTAGCAACTTGCATGATAAAAATAAAGTATAGTCACTGATAATTTTCATTAGTGTAGCAGTTTGCAGAAATCAGAGTGAATAAAAATGTTATTTAAAAAAAAAATTATCTAAAAATTTTTTCTATTTAAGACATTATCCAAAAGTTATTCATAGTAAAGTAGGGACTTGTTTTTAAAGGGACACACTAGTCACCGGAACAACTAATGTAGTTGTTCTGGTGAGTATAGTCTGTCCCTGCAGGCATTTTTAATGTCAACAGGGCCCTTTCAGAGAAAAGGCAGTGTTTACATTACTGCCTAGGGACACCTCCAGTGGCAGTCACTCAGACAGCCACTAGAGCTGCTTCCTGGGTCACTGACGTTCAACGTCTTCTGACGCTGAACTTTCACCATAGAGATTATTCAATGCTTTCCTATGGGGATTCTAAGAACACGGAAGTCCCTCTAGTAGTGGCTGTCTGGTAGACAGCCACTATAGGAGGACTTAACCTTGCAAGGTAATTATTGCAGTTTATAAAAACTGCAATAATTACACTTGCAGGGTTAAAGGTGGTGGGAGTTGGCACTCAGACCACTCCAATGGGCAGAAGTGGTCTGGTGCCTGGAGCGTCCCTTTAATTCAATGCTGAACAGAGATGCTGATAGGCGCAATACTGCATTTTGCTGCGCATGCTCAATAGCCTCTCAATGCTTTCCTATGGGAAAGCATTGGATTTAATTGAGATAATCAAGTTTGATGATCTCCGCCATGGGAGCAGAGCGTGAGCAAGCCAACCACAACCAGACCCGCAGAACACTGGAAAAGGGTAAATTAACCTTTTTTAACCAGAGGCAATTTAGACCTAGAGTGTCGGGAATACACGTTTGTATGCTTGACAATATAGTGTTCCTTTAATTATGCAGCATGAGACTGTATATTCAGGCAATGTTTACACTTTATGGTAAACCCATTCCATTAAACGCACCCAGACCACATAATCTCATTGAAATTGTCTGGGTGCAGTGTTACTGTCATTTTAACCCAGCAATGTAAGACATTGCTGTTTTGTAGAAACAATGCAGGGTAAAACATGCCTGACAATGCAGAATTAAACATTCCTGACAGCCTTTAGGGGTGCTTTCACTGCAATAACCAAGTTAGACTCTGTTATTGAATCAACGCCTCTCAAAAAGAGCATTTGATGGACACAGTGTGGCAATTTGCACCACATGCGCACTAGGTTCCCAATGCTTCCCTATGGGGAAACATTGCATTTAGCGGAGATAATCTAGATTGGGGAGGCTAGGAAGCCAAAATCCATGCTGTAATTCAGAGCTAGCAAATATTCCTAAAAGCATGCGTATCTCAAAACTGGACTCTAGATAGTTTTCAGGTCTTCAGATTGTTCATATTTTTAGCAGATATTTGGTACCCCTGACCAAATAGAACTAAAGAGGACTGTCTGGAGCAACAATAAGCCATAAGATGCAAGGGAAAAAAAGGACTTAACATTTCTAGTCCTATGCTATTAGCTAGACCTTTAAAGTTCCTCAAAGGTGCAAGCCTGGAGGGTCCATGACATACTAAATAGGGGTGAATTTCTATTAGCACAGGCTAACTTTTCACTCGCCATTAATATGTTACAATATAATGCACACAAATTTAGAAAGAAATCTCTTACCAGTTCTGGTCGCCGCTGCGCATGACTGAAGATGCAAGACACAGCTTCTCCCGAATGGACCATTGCTCTGTTGGGCCAAGATTTAATAGCTTGTGCTCTTTACAACAAAACAAAAAACAAAAGATGCAACAGTTAAATACATTTAAAATCAACCACAGTCAAAATTCTCAAATTTCACATAAATATAAAACTATCTGAGGTTTGCCATTACACTGTTAAAGGACCACTCTAGGCACCCAGACCACTTCAACTTAATGAAGTGGTCTGGGTGCCAGGTCCTTCTAGGGTTAACCCATTTTTTCATAATTATAGCAGTTTCAGAGAAACTGCTATAATTATGAATGGGTTATGCCTTCCCCCAAAGCCTCTAGTGGCTGTCTCATTGAATGTGCTTCTCACTGTGATTTTCACAGTGAGAGCACGCCAGCGTCCATAGGAAAGCATTGTAAATGCTTTCCTATGAGACCGGCTGAATGCGCGCGCAGCTCTTGCCGCGCGTGCGCATTCAGCCGGCGGGGCGTAACGGAGGCGGAGAGGAGGAGGAGAGCTCTCCGCCCAGCGCTGGAAAAAGGTAAGTTTTTACCCCTTTCCCCTTCCAGAGCCGGGCGGGAGGGGGACCCTGAGGGTGGGGGCACCCTCAGGGCACTATAGTGCCAGGAAAACGAGTATGTTTTCCTGGCACTATAGTGGTCCTTTAAGGTTACAAAACCATTGTGGAAAACTAACAAAGGAATTGCAAATTTTAGTTCAAAATAGCCGAGCTACAAAACCATAACAGAGTTGGAAAATACATTCAAAATTACTATTGTGGCGTACAAACAAGACAACAACATAGAAAGCAACTGTTATAAAATGTGTGCAGTCACCATAGAATGTCCATGCTAACTTTTCAAAACTTTGACCACAACTGCACCAACTTTTACCCAGCAACATTACAATTCCAACACTTCTTTTTAACATGGTTGTTCAAATGGAAGGGGGCCACATCTCACCTTTCTAAGGCTTATGGAAAATGTAAGCTTAAGATCACAATTAGATATTTATAATGCTTCCCTCTTTTAAACATCTGTAATTAAAGGGTTGCATTGTAACTTATTTAAAGGGAAACTCCAGACCCCCCATTTAAACTTGCTGAAGTGCTTTATCTGTGAAGAGTGTCTTTTTTTTTTTTATTTTACAAAAAGTGCAGCTCACTATGGAAATTGGAACTTTTATAAATTAACCTTGTTATACCTCCCCCTGCCTGTCAGACAACCTGTCCTGTTACTTCCTATTTGTTTAGCTCAGTGGGGCTAAATTTAAAAGGTAGCAATTGCCCAGAGCCCCTGCCTTGTTTTTAGATATATTCTGAATAAACAAAAGGCATAATTACATATATGCATGCTTTCATTGAGGGCATATCTACTAACCATTGATTTAAAAAAAAAAATTGGGCAGTGTCCGTTTAAAGGTGACATGTCATGCACCAAACAACTCATGCTAATTAGACTGAGCACGAGGTTATATCTATACATTGTGCTAGCAAATGTATAGATTAGAAGAAAAGCCTATTTAAAAATGTGTTTCTCTCCCAGCTGTCAATCAATGCCTCGGCAAACAAACTGATCATCAATAAAGTCTGTCATACAGGAAAAAGAGTTGAAGACGGCACTGCTCAAGCAACTTTGTGATCTAAAATATAATGCTGGACCCTATGTATTCATGCAAAACAAAAACTCTAAGCTTGGAACAATTGTTACAGAAGATTGGACTGATTAGAACTGCATCAATTATACAATTAGAATTATGGCACTATTAGAATTTTTTGTTTTCAGATAGTTACAGCTCCTCAATCCTTCATCAAGGAAAACAATGGTGTTAAAGTGTTTGTTAAGTAGAGAAGTACAGAAGTGGTAGGTATAAGAATATTTATCATTGCTCCATAATATTTCTGACATCTGCTAAAAAATGATCTAGGAGTACAGGCGGGTATTTTTCCAAAGTGCCTTACACACAACTGTTCTTGCAAAGCCAGTGCACAATGACACTATGGGGAATCCAGTTATATAACTTGTATGTGCCAAGACAGCATGGTATACAATAACTTATCATCACCTGCGCGGAAGTAGTAAGCAACTGGTATCGGATATGAGTTTGTTACTCAGGGAAATTAAATCATCCGAAAAGAACATGTAACTTGGATTAATTACATTAGGTCTCTGAGCGGATTGGTATCTAATTGTCAAGTGAATATTATGGTCACATGTACTAAAATCTTCAAATTAAACAGTTTTCCCACGCAGGGTAAGAAGCGCAAACAGTGCAGATAATATGGAAAACAGTTGCAGTAATTCATTGTTCAGCATGGTGTACAATATAAACACATTAAAAAAATAGCATTTATTTAATGGCACAAACCATAGCTACTACCATCAGGCTGTGCAAAAAAACCTCACCCCCAAAAAAACACTTGTGACAGAACCCAGACTTAGTACATATAAAAACTGTTGTTAGGCGTATGGATCATGCCTATTAGAAATGCTATTATTATTTCTACCTAGAAAGCACCTGCCTATGATACAGTACAGTAAAAACATTAAATAAGGTATCCAATAAGCTGAAAAAAATAAAAATTGTCATATAGGTCCTTTAAATTGACCAGACTGTTTCTTGGGGTTTTCCGATTTATGCATAATTTACTGTTAGGTTTGTGGAACATTGCTGAGTTTAATATGCCTCATTTATTGTGCCCATTGAACAGTTATCCATATCATACAAATTCACTGGTTTATTTTGGGCATCATACATATATAGTGAACACATTTTGACTGGCAAAGTGTCCAAGGACACTTCAGGTGACCTATCAATAAACACATCCTTACAGTGACGCATTACACATATACATAATATAAGAGACGATTACACGGACACCAGAGTATTTACTGGTGATATACAAGTTGGATAACCCAGATATTGCTTAATTACAAATACCATGATGCTCAGCCAAACTAGAGGCCAACTAAGCAGCATGAAAAACATGATTCAGAATCATGTAGGGTCCCAAAGTAAGCCAGCACTGCTATATAGTGTGTGTATAATATATACACACACAGTCACATACAGTATATACATACACACAGTCACATGCAGTATATACATACACACAGCATATACACACACAGTTACATTCAGTATATACATACACACACAGCATACACACAGTCACATACAGTATATATACACACACACACAGCATATACAAACAGTCACATACAGTACATACACATCCAGTATATACACACACAGTCACATACAGTATATACACACACAGTCACATACAGTATATACATACACACACAGTCACACACAGTATATACATACACACAGTCACACACAGTATATACATACACACACAGTCACACACAGTATATACATACACGCACAGTCACACACAGTATATACATACACGCACAGTCACACACAGTATATACATACACGCACAGTCACACACAGTATATACATACACGCACAGTCACACACAGTATATACATACACGCACAGTCACACACAGTATATACATACACACAGTATATACATACACGCACAGTCACACACAGTATATACATACACGCACAGTCACACACAGTATATACATACACGCAGTCACACACAGTATATACATACACGCAGTCACACACAGTATATACATACACGCAGTATATACATACACACACAGTCACACAGTATATACATACACACACAGTATATACATACACACACAGTCACATACAGTATATACATACACGCACAGTCACACACAGTATATACATACACGCACAGTCACACACAGTATATACATACACGCACAGTCACACACAGTATATACATACACGCACAGTCACACACAGTATATACATACACGCAGTCACACACAGTATATACATACACGCACAGTCACACACAGTATATACATACACGCAGTCACACACAGTATATACATACACAGTCACATACAGTATATACACATTCACACACAGTATATACATACACGCACAGTCACATACAGTATATACATACAGTCGCACAGTCACACACAGTATATACATACACAGTCACACACAGTATATACATACACGCACAGTCACACAGTATATACATACACGCACAGTCACACACAGTATATACATACACAGTCACACACAGTATATACATAGTCACACACAGTATATGCATACAGTCACACACAGTATATACATACAGTCACACACAGTATATACATACACGCAGTCACACACAGTATATACATACACGCAGTCACACACAGTATATACATACAGTCACACAAAGTATATACATACACGCACAGTCACACACAGTATATACATACACGCACAGTCACACACAGTATATACATACACGCACAGTCACACACAGTATATATATACACGCAGTCACACACAGTATATACATACACGCAGTCACACACAGTATATACATACAGTCACACACAGTATATACATACACACACAGTATATACATACACGCACAGTCACACACAGTATATACATACACGCACAGTCACACACAGTATATACATACACGCAGTCACACACAGTATACACATACAGTCACACACAGTATACACATACAGTCACACACAGTATATACACACAGTCACACACAGTATATACACACAGTCACACACAGTATATACACACAGTCACACACAGTATATACACACAGTCACACACAGTATATACACACAGTCACACACAGTATATACACAGTCACACACAGTATATACACACAGTCACACACAGTATATACATACAGTCACACACAGTATATACATACACAGTCAGTCACACACAGTATATACATACACAGTCACACACAGTATATACATACACAGTCACACACAGTATATACATAGTCACACACAGTATATGCATACAGTCACACACAGTATATACATACAGTCACACACAGTATATACATACAGTCACACACAGTATATACATACAGTCACACACAGTATATACATACAGTCACACACAGTATATACATACAGTCACACACAGTATATACATACACACACAGTCACATACATACACACACAGTCACACACAGTATATACATACACGCAGTCACATACAGTATACACACAGTCACACACAGTCACATACAGTATACACACAGTCACACACAGTCACATACAGTATACACACAGTCACACACAGTCACATACAGTATACACACAGTCACACAGTCACATACAGTATACACACAGTCACACACAGTATACACACAGTCACATACAGTATATACATACACACACAGTTATTACTGCGCCCAAACATTGATGTGGATTTGGCATTACAGGGGTTAACACTACATGCCCTAAAGGGAAGTTATTAAGCATTATACATAACTGCCATAGCTAGATCTGTGTGTTTGATGATTTTATTAATACAAAAATAATAATGTATGTTTACAACGAAGCAAGTGTCTATACTCACTCCCTGGCCCGGCCGCCATTTTCCCAGCTACAATAGGACGCAGCGCCGCGCACAGTATGACGGTAGTTGTATGCGGAGCGCGGGGCGTTATGGGAGATGTAGTTTCTAGCATTTTTCTGTTGTAATGGGAGGGCACTATTGGGGGTGTTTGGACTTGAAACTTTCAGGTTTTAACCTTTTTTTTTTTAAAAGTAGGGGAGAATTTTAAGCCATATTAGCAAATTTAAACAATTTTCCAAGTCATTTTCTATTACAAACAATGAGGAAAAAGCAACTGTGAATAAATATAGTACATTACAGAAGCCCGTGTCACTAATGGCTCTTTTACAGCATAATAAAAGTTAAGGGAGTGAATCAGTGAAGTACAGATAAATATACATGGGGGGCGGGTGCTATCTCCCCTCCCCCCTCCAGATAAAAAAAAAAACTACATTAAAAAGGGTATTTGTGAATCCCCACACAAACTGTCAAAATCCAAAGCGAGGAGTCACCAGGGCTGAGCCTCAGAGGTGAATTAGTTGGGTTTGAAAGGAAGGCTAAAAAAAAGTGTGATTCATGTCAGGCGTCTTAATTTCCTTGCAGAAAAATTCCATGCCTTATATGAGGCCCAAATCAGAATGCTTCGGGTCCTTAATAGATAGAATCAAACTTGGAGGAAGAATTAGAGCCCCCATACAAAGGTGCATTTATACTTGGGTCTGCAGCTCTGTCACCCCCCAATTTTGAGTATTTTATCAAGATAAATCTTTATGAAATACTCACATTCATCAAAATTCAAATGCAATCAAAAAATACAAGTATGTATTTTTCTTATCCGTGACAAAAAAAGAAAAATTGTCCTTGGGCCACCCACCATGCGTCTCATTCTTCCCCCTCTAGCCCCTCCATGTGTCACATTCACACCCACAGGCCCCTACACGTCTCTCATTCACGTCCCACAGGGTGAGTGTGGCATGGTTGGGGGGAATGAGTATTACACAATTGCAGGGGTTAAAGGGGCACTATAGTCACCTCAACAACTTTAGCTTAATTAAGCAGTTTTGGTGTATAGAACATGCCCCTGCAGCCTCACTGCTCAATCCTCTGCCATTTAGGAGTTAAATCCCTTTGTTTATGAACCCTAGTCACACCTCCTGCATGTGACTTGCACAGCCTTCCATAAACAATTCCTGTAAAGAGAGCCCTATTTAGGCTTTCTTTATTGCAAGTTCTGTTTAATTAAGATTTTCTTATCCCCTGCTATGTTAATAGCTTGCTAGACCCTGCAAGAGCCTCCTGTATGTGATTAAAGGGACACTATAGTCACCTGAACAACTACAGCTTAATGTAGTTGTTCAGGTGAGATCTATAGCTCCCTGCAGGCAATCTAATGTAAACACTTTATTTTCTCTGAAATTGATTGATTGATAGGAATACCTCCAGTGGCTGTCACTCAGACAGCCACCAGAGGGACTTCCTATCATGCAGGGCCCTAAAAAGGCAAAGACCGCGAGCTGAGCTGTCAGTCAGCTCAGCTCGCGCCCGCTCACACCGCGCGCAGGCACGGTAGTGCGCTCAGGACTTCAGAGGGCGATGTATGTGCACAGGTGCGGCGAAGCCGTGCATGCGCACAAGGGAGCAATGACGCTTCCAAATGGAAGCATCTGATTGCTCCCTGCTCGCGCCCGCCTATTTAGTCATTTTGACGAAATAGGGGGCGCGGCTTCATTAGGTGACTATAGTGTTCCTTTAATGTTATAGGGTGAGTGTGGCAGGGTAAAATGGGGAAGGGGGACAGAGAATGAGTGTGACAGGATTGGGGGTGAGTGTGACAGTGAGAGAGAAAGTGAGTGTGATAGTGTGAGTATGGCATGGGTGAGTGACAGAATTAGGGGAGTTATTGTGAGTGTAGCAGGGTTAATGGGGGTTACAGTGTGTGTGTGTGACAGATACACAGACACACAGGTACTGACACATACAGACATACTGCGACCGCGGTAGGTCCTCCACTGCTTGCAGCATCCCCTCTAGAAGCCTGTGTTTTAGTGAGTGTACCGCACTGACGTAGGCTTCCGGTAGATGAAGCTCCAGGAACTGAAGAGGATCCCGCGGAAGAAGATGGCAGGAGACGAGAGGGACAACGTCAGGTCAGTAAAACCTACCTTTCCCTGCACTCCGTTGCCACCTCACTGCAGGTATTAAAGTCACCATCGGGGGTCTTTGCAAAACATGCAAAGACCCCAGAAGATGACAGAGGTATTAGATCCCCAGTGTATATACGTAGAACTTTTGCAAGAGTTTAAATGTTTGCAGATGAATCGCTTGTGAAAACATCAGTGAGAAAACTGGGGTACAGTATTTGGTTTTGTATAGCTTTTTACAAAACTATGGTTTTATTTGAAGTGCACGGATCTCTCTATATGTACTGGTTATAACTTTTAGTAATTTCAGCAGCATTCTGTGAATTTGTACAAGTTTCTCACAGCACACATATCAGCATACCTGTCAATGTTGGAAGTATGGGATCCATCATCCAGTATTGGGGTGGGAGGACCAAAACACAAATGGTGATGTGGAACAAGCCCTCTCAGAACAGATCTCAGCATACGCTGAATGCCTTGGGGGTTCACTCTACTTCATGAATATTGATGCTATAGAACTGCTTCCTGAAACAGCAGTACATGAACCAGAATTCAGGACAGTTCCCCCATCATTTTGGAGGTATGCCAATAGATCTGATGCACTCACTCTACGCTGGTTATGCACATTTATCTTGTTTCCTCTGAAGTCATCTGAACTAATCTGGTATGGCAGGACAAGACTTGGTAGACCAATGGAAATGGTCCTACCAAGGCTGGAACAGTTGTGAAGTATGCATCAGCAAAGCTTTGTGGGTGTATGTGGTGAAAAATAATCTCAAATAATCAAGAGAGGAACACTCTTTTCTTGAATTTGATTATAGGAATTTTGTAAAGCCCTGAACTTTAATGACTGAACTCTGAGCTATATAATGTATTCACAGCATACATAAGGTACAGACTTGAGAGTAATAGTGCTTCAGCTGCACAGCATATATATATAGTATGATGGCAATGAATGATCAGCTCCTGGGCGATGTAGTTCTATTTACATTTACTCAGTGTCTCCCGAGTTATCTTTCTATCTTCACCATTCTTCTACACTGGTAATTTAGGTGCTCCACTCATTATAGATCTCACACAGAACAGGACCCTTACCTGAGAGTATGGCTGGCTCATCGTGCATTTCTAAAAGCATGTCATATCAAATCACTTCCTCCCAGTACTGAAGAAAAGGGCTTTTCTTAATGTTGCTCTTTCAGGTGTTAAGCAGATAACTCCATTATTTGGTAATTGGTAGGTATCCTTAAGGGCTGCAAAAACAATTTGCTCATCCTAAATCCAGAACCTGGTGAAGCTCCCATCGTTGATTTCTATGTCTCCTCCGATATTACAGGGGTCTCGTGCGCTCTAATCACCAGCTCAAAGCGCATGCTCCAGGCTGGCAAGCGCTGTGGAGTGAGGTAGGTTTTTTTTTTTTTAAACTCCATGTAAAGGGGGAAGGCAGGAGAGAGTAATCTTCTCCTTGCAGGAACTCTGTCTGCAAACAATTGTTTTTTAATTTTTATATATAATTCTTTATTTTTGGAGTGCAATTGTGATTGACAGAAACAGTTGTCAGCATGAAATGAGAATTTTATACATTGCTTTTTCACATTATGAACATTGGTCACCCTAGCTAGTCTGCACTTTTTTTTATTTTGCATGCTCTGGTCTCTCGAGGCTAGGTGGAGGGTCGCATGAACGGTGTGATGTTCCTTGAAGTGAAGGGAGCCCAGAGTGTGCAAACAATTTTTATGCACATAATTGACACTGGCAGGCTGGGACAGAGTTCTCGATTGCCAGTGCCGTGAGTGCTCTGCAACGGGTGCTGTCTGGGCCAGTGAGGGTGCTCTGCAATGGGTGCTGTCTGGGCCAGTGAGGGTGCTCTGCAATGGGTGCTGTCTGGGTCAATGAGGGTGCTCTGCAATGGGTGCTGTCTGGGCCAGTGAGGGTGCTCTGCAATGGGTGCTGTCTGGGCCAGTGAGGGTTCTCTGCAATGGGTGCTGTCTGGGCCAGTGAGGGTGCTCTGCAATGGGTGCTGTCTGGGCCAGTGAGGGTGCTCTGCAATGGGTGCTGTCTGGGCCAGTGAGGTGCTCTGCAATGGGTGCTGTTTCTGCCAGTGAGGTGCTCTGCAATGGGTGCTGTCTGGGCCAGTGAAGCTGCTCTGCAATGGGTGCTGTCTGGGCCAGTGAGGGTGCTCTGCAATGGGTGCTGTCTGGGCCAGTGAGGTGCTCTGCAATGGGTGCTGTCTGGGCCAGTGAGGGGCTCTGCAATGGGTGCTGTCTGGGCCAGTGAGGTGCTCTGCAATGGGTGCTATCTGGGACAGTGAGGGTGCTCTGCAATAGGTGCTGTCTGGGCCAGTGAGGGTGCTCTGCAATGGGTGCTGTCTGGGCCAGTGAGGTGCTCTGCAATGGGTGCTGTCTGGGCCAGTGAGGTGCTCTGCAATGGGTGCTGTCTGTGCCAGTGAGGGTGCTCTGCAGTGGGTGCTGTCTGGGCCAGTGAGGTGCTCTGCAGTGGGTGCTGTCTGTGCCACTGAGGTGCTCTGCAATGGGTGCTGTCTGGGCCAGTGAGGGTGCTCTGCAATGGGTGCTGTCTCTGCCACTGAGGTGCTCTGCAATGGTTGCTGTCTGGGCCAGTGAGGTGCTCTGCAATGGGTGCCGTCTGGGCCAGTGAGGTGCTCTGCAATGGGTGCCGTCTGGGCCAGTGAGGGTGCTCTGCAATGGTTTCCGTCTGGGCCAGTGAGGGTGCTCTGCAATGGGTGCTGTCTGGGTCAGTGAGGTGCTCTGCAATGGGTGCTGTTTCTGCCAGTGAGTGTGCTCTGCAATGGGTGCTGTCTGGGTCAGTGAGGTGCTCTGCAATGGGTGCTGTCTGTGCCAGTGAGGTGCTCTGCAATGGGTGCTGTCTGGGTCAGTGAGGTGCTCTGCAATGGGTGCTGTCTGGGTCAGTGAGGTGCTCTGCAATGGGTGCTGTTTCTGCCAGTGAGCGTGCTCTGCAATGGGAGCTGTCTGGGTCAGTGAGGTGCTCTGCAATCAGTGCTGTCTGTGCCAGTGAGGTGCTCTGCAATGGGTGCTGTTTCTGCCAGTGAGGGTGCTCTGCAATGGGTGCTGTCTGGGCCAGTGAGGTGCTCTGCAATGTGTGCTGTCTGGGTTAGTGAGGTGCTCTGCAGTGGGTGCTGTCTGTGCCAGTGAGGTGCTCTGCAATGGGTGCTGTCTGGGCCAGTGAGGGGCTCTGCAGTGGGTGCTGTCTGTGCCAGTGAGGTGCTCTGCAATGAGTGCTGTCTGGGCCAGTGAGGGGCTCTGCAGTGGGTGCTGTCTGTGCCAGTGAGGTGCTCTGCAATGGGTGCTGTCTGGGCCAGTGAGGGGCTCTGCAATGGGTGCTGTCTGGGCCAGTGAGGTGCTCTGCAATGAGTGCTGTCTGTGCCAGTGAGGTGCTCTGCAATGGGTGCTGTCTGGGTCAGTGAGGTGCTCTGCAATGGGTGCTGTCTGTGCCAGTGAGGTGCTCTGCAATGGGTGCTGTCTGGGTCAGTGAGGTGCTCTGCAATGGGTGCTGTCTGGGTCAGTGAGGTGCTCTGCAATGGGTGCTGTTTCTGCCAGTGAGCGTGCTCTGCAATGGGAGCTGTCTGGGTCAGTGAGGTGCTCTGCAATCAGTGCTGTCTGTGCCAGTGAGGTGCTCTGCAATGGGTGCTGTTTCTGCCAGTGAGGGTGCTCTGCAATGGGTGCTGTCTGGGCCAGTGAGGTGCTCTGCAATGTGTGCTGTCTGGGTTAGTGAGGTGCTCTGCAGTGGGTGCTGTCTGTGCCAGTGAGGTGCTCTGCAATGGGTGCTGTCTGGGCCAGTGAGGGGCTCTGCAGTGGGTGCTGTCTGTGCCAGTGAGGTGCTCTGCAATGAGTGCTGTCTGGGCCAGTGAGGGGCTCTGCAGTGGGTGCTGTCTGTGCCAGTGAGGTGCTCTGCAATGAGTGCTGTCTGGGCCAGTGAGGGGCTCTGCAATGGGTGCTGTCTGGGCCAGTGAGGTGCTCTGCAATGAGTGCTGTCTGTGCCAGTGAGGTGCTCTGCAATGAGTGCTGTCTGGGCCAGTGAGTGCTGTCTGTGCCAGTGAGGTGCTCTGCAATGAGTGCTGTCTGGGCCAGTGAGGGGCTCTGCAGTGGGTGCGCACCGTAATATCGATGCAAAAAAACGCTATAATACACGTGAAAGGGTAAATAATAAAATACACTTTAACCAAATCCTGTTATAATAAACTTATAAAGAGTGAATTGTGCTGCTTATCTATCTAACCGATTTACTGTATGAAAACTTCCCTAACACATATAATCACACCGGGCACCAGGGAACCTGCAGCAGCCATCTTTGTGAATACACAGAGCGCTAAACACCTTCCTGGCCGCCAGGCTGACAGTCCACCCTAAACTCTTTTACTTACAACAAGACTTCCGATTCCTATTGGATAACAACGCCCTGCTTCGTTTTGATTGGTTGAAACCTGTGGAATCGTATGTGATTGGCTGAGAGTTCTAGCGCCTGGTTTGAATCCTGCCGTTACGCACAGTCTGGTGGTAGTGAACCAGTCGGACTAAGGCACCTGAGCAGGGAGGTGAGTGCAGACACCGGGGACCAGCCAGCCGGTAAGGAGATATTCCCCTCCCTGGTTCTTATAATCCCCTTTATAACTCACATGGTGGGTCTGTGAATTTATTATGGCAAAGAGAGCTCAGCATACCATATAGCATGTGTGCTATAACTAGCTCTGATAAATAAAACATGTGCAACTGGCTCAGGCTTCAATTAGATAGATAATAATAATTATTGTGGGGTTTTTACATTTATTTTTGTAATTGTTTTTCAAACCTTCCTTTTTTAAAAAAAATGTATTTTATTTCCTGCATGCCTGCTTATTCAAATGCTCCCTAAACATGTGATGCTATATTACCCCTCTTAATCCTACACAATTAATATGATTAATAATAATAATATACGTTAGCTATCATCTGTGGTACAAAATGCTGACACAATACAACTTTGACTTGTTTTTTTTATTAAACTAATTTTGATTCACTAGAATGGACTTTGTATTGGTCATAATGGTGAAAATGCACTGGCATTTTTTTTTTAATTGTTTTTGCAAGATTTATTTTTCTCTTTTGGTGTGTGTGTGTTGTGGTGTGTATTTTTTTTTTATTTAACAGATGGTAAAAAGCCTGTGTTTACTTCCTGGATGATATCAGAAATCTCATGCAGGTCTCTGAGTTTGCAAGAGTTCCAAAACCTCTAAGGACACAAATGCTGTTGTTCGAGCTATAACTATTTAGCTCTGTACAGAACTAGAGTAGGCACAGTGGTAAACAGACTATTAAAGAGAACCTTAGGAAACCTGAAATTCCAACACAGTATATACAACATAATTAAGACCGATCTTAGACAAAATGTGGACCAGTTTCTTATATACTCTTCAGATTATGTCAAAGTTGGATTTGTAATAAGCTAGATAATGTATTATATCTCAATCAGCAGCTGATGGGGAAATACATTTAATTGTAAAGTGCACAAAGATACAATTTGCCATTTTGTGGTATCTAGGTTTAGGTTACATGGCATCTGGAGCAGAAATTATTATTTATTTATTTATTTTCAAATATAAGTTGGTAACAGACGCTTGAAAGATTTTTCAATTCATATCACAGTTTTGGCATAGCCAGGGCACACATTGCAAATACCCCCTACTATGTTCTATGATGGGAAAAGCCAGAACTTGTAACATTGATTGGTATGGGTTGAGTTAAAGACGTGACACTGTGCACTTTGAATGAGGCACCATTACAGCATTATGCTAATGATGTTTGGTTCCTCAGATGGTGCTACTTTTAATTAATTACCGGTACATTGCAATGATTTATTTCTATTTGAAATCGTCACTTTTATCAATAATTAGAGAAATGCAATTATCTATTGCTTGAGGGCTATAGCACCTATGATCCTGTACATAAACACCCTGGATTTGTCTGACTAGGTCAAAGAATGGAAAACCGCACACGATTGTTGTTCAAAATGAGTCTCTGGTCACTTTCCCAGCACAGACTGAAAATCTGTTCCGGGGGGGAAATGGGAGTGCTTACAAAGGCTGCAGACAAAAATAGATCTGATTTTAGACATACACCCAGTAAATAGTGCATAAATAAATGTAAGCATGTTTTTTTATTTGGGCTGTATAGACTAGAGATTTCTTATTTTTGTGTTTTTAGCCTATGGGGTGTTTTATTGTCATCTTTATGGGAGGAGAATATCTTGTGTTCCTTTAATAGTAATAAGTGGCATATACGTCCGCTTTCTTCCTGCTTTCGATGTAAAAAAAAAAAAAATACTATGGAATTTTTCTGTAAGACACTCACTAGATTATTGCAAGAAAATTGCTGAGTTTGTACATTCTTTGAACTTGAGTGGTAAATGTTTAATCTGAATTGCGTACAGTACGTGATGCAACTTTTTAATAATTTTTATATATATATATATATATATATATATATATATATATATATAGCACAAAGTTCATTGAGCTGCTATGATTATACTAATGTTACCTGTTTTAATGTTTGAATGGGGAGCTTGATATCAAGAGCTATTCGTCATGGATCTAGGCAGAGTTAAAGCCAATGATTAGTCTTGGGAACCTTTTCAAAGACCTATCCGACTTATTTGTTTGGTTTGGCCCTGTCAATTTTCTCCGATTGTGTTCTTCTTTTCTTCATTTCTGATCTATTTCTCTTTTAAGCATAAGTCAAAAAAGGTTCAATGTGTTCATAAAGATCCGATCTGTAGGAAAACTTCAAATGCCCCTACCTTTTAAAGGGACATTTTAAGCATACCAACCAATACAGCTCATTGTAGTGACTATAGTGCAAAGTGTCTTTGGGCACCTCAACAAATTTTGTCAAATGGTTTTGGAGCAGTGTAAAAAAAGGTCAGTGCCACTTTAGAATGGCATTCTAAGCACCATAAAAGAATGCCCAGGTTTACTTGATGTTATACTGTATGTGCATTAATATATTCTTTTACGTCTTCTAGGGAAAGGGAAATTATTCATATCCAACATGGCACAAAATGTAATTTCCCCATGTGTATTTTCCGATGACGAGGAGATGCCCGTCTTTGAATCCACTGCAGCTGATTGTGGGGTAGGAATACGAAAGGACCTTCTTTCTGATTTTTCTGTCATCTCACCGGGTCTAGGACACCATTCACAGGTGTGTAAGCGCATTCACAGCTTTGCATGCTACTGTCTGTGCTGTCTCCACACTTTTAATTTTTAGCCACATTAGAGGAACTCTTTGTGTCTGGTACAGAGATATGATTGCAATGCTATTCAAGCAAATTTCTTTTATTTGATGTGGGTGAAATAAATGTACATTTTAATTGTTCTTTGTATGTATGGTCCTTTAAACTTTTTTTTTTTTTTTTCTTTCTTGTAAAAACATCACCAAGAATTCCTTGGTTTTGCAAGATTGGGTTTTACTTTCTTATTTCCAGTGGTTGTTCTGTGGTATTTCCTGTAGACCCCAAACATCTATGGTGCTTTCACAATAGGACTTGGTGACATTGTGCACGTCCAGTAGCATATGGCCAAAATATTGAAAGGAAAGTACTAGTTTTCTGAAGGGCATTCCAGCATGGCAAATATCTGAGCAGGAATAGGCAACCTTCAGCACTCCTTATGATGTTCGCTATATCTCCCCTGATTCTGAGAGATGTAGTCCACAACACAGGGTGTGCTGATGTTTGCCTTCCTCTGCTGTAGAGTATCACAGAAAGTACTCTGCATAAATATTATCTGAGTTTGTAATTACTTTCAAAAAGTAAACAAATGCTGAAAAGTATTATAAACCGTTTCAATTTAACTTGTAATCATTCGGGTGCAGTATTACAATTGTATAAGCTTGGATCTAGGAGGTCTGACTATGGATAAACGTGCAGTAAACTTGGTATGTAATTCACTGAAGATTCTAAATGTGATGGAGGACTTAAGGATTCTAATTTCCTTCTTAAACTTTTCTGTGAGGTGATCACACTTGCCTTTAAACTGTGCCATCCATCAAGATCCACATGTGATGTCTACCTCATATGGGTTGCAAATGATCAGAAGGATTGGGCTGCTAGCACAACTGATCTTAATGTTTGGGTTGAAGGTCATGGGGGGACTGGATACATGTTGAATGCTACCTTTTTCTGTTCCAAATAAATTAGAATTTTGGTACTTTTTACTATTTGTTTCTATCTAATATAAATTTGAATCTTTTATTTGCAGCTACTGCCAGAGGAAGGGAGCGAGAAGGTCCTGGTTTATGTTAGGATTAGGCCTTTTGTAGATGGTGAGCTAGGGAAGAAAGAGGACCAGGTAAGGTTTTTCTTTCTTGCGATCTTTTTTTTTTTTTTTGAGGGCAGATGGCTTTAAAAACACTTGTATTTATTTAGTTCTAATAATTTTTCATACAGGGTTGTGTTTTGGTAGAAAATCAGGAGACTCTTGTGTTACGAGCTCCCAAGGAATCCTTCACTATGAAGAACACAGAACGTGGTATGGGACAAAGTATTCATAAATTCACTTTCTCTCAGGTAACTACATAAATATTATATTCCTGTACACACATGTATGCTTTATAAAGGAAGCTAACCCTTCCGTTCTCTCGTATTTAAAGATTTTTGGTCCAGAAGTGGATCAGAAGCAGTTTTTTGATGGAACTATGAGGCGTGTCATGAAAGATGTACTCAATGGGCAAAACTGGCTCGTCTACACTTACGGTGTCACAAACTCTGGCAAAACCTACACCATTCAAGGTTTGTACTTTGATATCTTGCCCTCCCCCCATTCACTTCACAAATTACCAATGTGTGAGATTCATGTTATTATTTTGTGTATGTAAGGATATGTAATTATAACTTGCTAAACCTCTTTTCCAGGTAGTGCCAGGGATGGGGGCATTCTTCCTCGTTCTGTAGCACTCCTCTTCAACAGTGCCCACGATCGTCTGTACAAAAGCTCAGATCTCAAACCACTTTCCAATGAAGTTATATGGCTGGATAGCAAGCAAGTGCGTCAAGAAGAGCTAAAGAAGTTGTCTTTGCTCGCCAACATTCGTGAGGTTGGTACACAGAGTGCTGAAATGTCCCTTGATTTTATGTGCACACGGTTAACTGGTATTTTAAAGGATACCTGTTCTTACATTTTAATTTCTTTAGCTCAGAAAAGTGTGTGTGTGTGTGTGTGTGTGTATTTTTGTGCACTATGTAGCAATTTCATGTTGTACATGTCTAGTTGCCTCATTTATTATTTTTATTTTCCTAAATCTAAAAACCAATAGATCTGCTTCTTGAACTTGTATTGAAAAAATGCAAAACTTCTTAACTATATTTAGGCATATCTTAAAATTTATTTATTTTTTTTTTTTTTTCAGGAAGAGCTTTTCATTCCCTTGAAAAATAGCAGCAACAATTCTCCAATTCCTGCAGGAACAAGTATCAGCTTTGACAGTGGTATTGGGGGTCTTTCTTCCACAAGTCATGTCAATCATACAGGCAGTCAGCTGGAAGGTACCATTGGAACTTTTACTCTATTTTGATCAAGAAGGAATGCTGATATATTAAAAGGGCATTCCACACTGTTAGTTACCAATAATTGAGTGTGCCTTTTGAAATTCAAACTTTTTAATTTCTTTCCGTCAGAGTCCTGCTTACGTCTAGGTTACCAAGATGCTGTTTCCATGGAGGAACCAATTGGTGTCCAGCTGTCCATATGGGTATCCTATTTTGAAATTTACAATGAGTTTGTGTACGATTTACTGGAACCATTACCTTCTGGGCCAAATCGCAAACGTACAACACTGAGGTTATGTGAGGACAGGAATGGAAATCCTTTTGTAAAAGGTAATATTTTTAAATCATTCTTTTCTATTCTTAGTCCAACTCAGACTGCACCTATATGTTTAAATTCATCCCCTGTTATATATGGATCATAACCTTTTCATCTTTTTCTTCTGTCCCCCTCCCCCATGCACACATTTGTCTTTCGCTGGATCTTGAGTGAACATTTCCATTATATAAAACCTACAGTCAAACAAAAAAATGAGGAGCGCTTTAAAAAAAAAAAATGAATAAATGATACTTATTAGTTGATATTAATGTTGTTCTGTTTTGTGCATAAAAAATCGGTGGGAGGAAGCACACAGTGTGATGTGACGTCTGGAAATGGGCTGACTTTCATTAACTTGTCATGTGGCTGCACTGACACCCCAATACAGCCATTTTTGCTTCCAACCATTTTTATCGATTTTAATATTTGTTCAAGAAATCAATTCTAATTTATTTTTTAAATATCCACAGCATATGGTACCCTTTGTTGCTGTCGTGACGTTTTGTTTTAGAGTGGCCAGGTTTTTAAAGTGTGTGTGTGTACACACACCACAAAATCCTTGCAGTCTTGGGGAAGCAATATAGATAAAGTAGAGGGATGACCAGCACTCACTGTTTTTCCAAAAGTTGTAGACTTTAATGTAATTTCATATTTAAAAAAAAAAAAAAAGGACCGACGTTTCAGTCCACGTTTGGGATTTAAATCAGTATGACGTGGACTGAAACGTCTGTCCTTTTTTAATATGAAATTACATTAACGTCTACAACTTTTGGGAAAACCGTGAGTGCTGGGGATATACATACACATATATATATAATTTTTTTTTTTTTAATTTTTTTTTTTTTTTTCACACTATTATTTCTGAACCATAGTTGGTCCTCTGGTATTTAGTGCAGCATTTATTATACATTGTCATAAATATTTTATTCATCTACACAATTATTGCTATTGTGTTTTTATTTTTCATGGATATCAACTGATAAGTCTATAAGATTGGGGGGGGGTGTTGGGAAAGGGTTTAATAATTATTTGCCTAATTAACAAACAAATGTATTCAACAGATCTCAACTGGATTAATGTCCACAGTGCGGAGGAAGCCTGGAAAATCATCCGGGTTGGAAGGAAAAATCAGAGTATTGCCAGCACTCACCTGAACCAGAATTCCAGCAGAAGGTAAGACTAAGCTTGTAAGGCACTGGGTTTATAATCCATGAGGAACATTGTAAATAAGTAATAATGATTTTTATTTTATTTTTTCGCATGATGGTGCACTTTAAATGTACATGAGCCATTGCAGGCATACATGTGTTAAAGGGGCTTAGTCAGTAGAATCTCTATGGAAAACATGTACTGCACTGGCTTTTGAATAAAAAAAAAAAAAACATCCAAAGGAGTAGAGGTTATGTACACTGATTTTTGGGCAATACGCAGTGCTTCAGTCATCTTTCACCTGCCTCATCTTGACATTTGCCATCAGCCAATACTTGTGATAGCTGATGGGTGATTATAATGCCAGTCTTGTCTAATTGCACATAGTTGAAGCACACAAATGACTTTTTTTTTTTGTGAGGAGATGTAAAAGAAGGCCTTGATTGTGTGGGGTGAGGAGATGGGAGGGATCAGGGTAATTTAATGTAATGAGTAAGCAATCTTACACTGTCATATCTTTCTTTCAGCCATAGCATATTCTCCATTCGGATTCTTCACTTGCAGGGTAAAAATGATATGAACCCCAAGATTAGCGAGTAAGTGTAACTGCATACATGCTAATGTATTCTTATTTTTCTAACGCTTAAAAAAAACAAATTTAAGTAAATTCCCGCAAACATTTTTTCTATAATTGGTCTTTCAGTTTATTGCTGCTGGAATGTATTGCTTTTTATTTATTTTAAAGTCAAATGTTATGGTTGTGACTTGTAGCTTGCTCCTAAGTGGGAGTGGCTGAAAAAAGTTTTTGTCTGGCTCGAATTGTCTATATATTTGTAAGATTTTTACCTTCAATCGAGACTATACTGTCACTAATCTCTGAATGTACACCATTGGAAAAAAAAACTTAAGAAATGACCTATAGCTTGTGTTGGTTTGTGTTTCATGAGCGGCTCATTTAAAAAAAATAAAAATGTAACAAATTACATCAAGATTTAGTTCAAACAAGGCTGTCATGTGCAAAGGAGAGAGCTTATAATGATTATTGATGGCACTAAGGTGGTGGCACACAGTTGCATAATAAAGGTGTGATTTCACAGGTCACAAACACATTTTTTTTATTAAACGGAGGGATAAATAAACATGGTATTGAAAATCCTGGTGAGCGCCCATTCACTTTTAAGGAAAAGATACAGCCTTCGTAGTAAGACTTAAAATGATTAGCTCTTCAAATTTTGAAACCATTGCTAATTTTTATGAATGTTGTGATGTTCTTTGTAGACTCTCTTTCTGTGACTTAGCTGGTTCGGAACGCTGCAAGGATCAACGAAGCGGAGATCGCCTTAAAGAGGCAACCAATATAAATACATCACTTCATACACTGGGTCGATGCATCGCCGCACTGAGACAGAACCAGCAACAAAAGTAGGGGTCTATCTTTCAATGCCCTGAGAATCTAACACTGGGCAATATTTGAACTTCAATTTTAAATGGTGGTTCTCTTAACCCAGTTGAGATGAGTGGTTTGTTATTGTAATTATTTTATATTAAATATAAAGACACTTATGCTATATATCTGCAGCAAACCCGCATACTTTAAGAGTTTTATAAAGAGACCCTATACAAGTAAGATTCAATAACCAGCCTGTACTGTAGGTTTGTGCTGTGAAGCCATGGCTTTAAAAAAAAAAAAAAAAAAAACAACTTTGTTGTAATTGTTTCAGGCTGCGTCAGAACATGGTTCCGTTCAGGGACAGCAAGCTGACACGTGTTTTCCAAGCATATTTTACTGGTCGAGGAAGGTCTTGCATGATTGTCAACATTAACCAGTGTGCTTCCACGTATGATGAGACCCTACATGCCATGAAGTTCTCTGCTATTGCAAGCCAGGTATGAGAGTCTTGACGTGTGTAGGGTTTGTTTTTTCATTTCCTTCCTGCTTAAGGACCATTGATGACTTGGAGGTGTATTTGGTGACAAACTTCCAGTTGACAGCTGGTGTTGCTACACTTATATTGGTTACACTTTAGTTCAATGCAGTTTTTCCCATAATGGTGGTGTGGAATCACAGGGCTTTATATTGCCTTCTATTCTAGCCACGAGTTCACTAGTTCAATGCAATGGACATTTAAACCTTTTTAGGTTTTCCAACTCTCATCCCTGTCATCCTCCGCCATCATCCTCTCTAGTCAGTCACACAGTCTCCCCCTATGTATTTGTATATAGAACCTTTATTCGATTGTGGCTCTTCTCAATGGGTTTATGTTGTGTTTTTTTTTTTTTTTTTTATTCATTCAATAAAATTTATAGTTTTTAACATTTATATTAGCTTTATATTTCAAAGAACCTTTTGTGCCCATTGGATTTTTATCCTATGGACACTTGTGTACTTTCTGTAATTGACTTGTGATATTGTTCCATACGTTCTTATACAACATTGGAAACCTTATTCTCCTTAATGGCAATGCTCTATAGCAGTGGTTCCAAAACTTTTTAGATTCAAGGCGCCCCCTTAATATTTCAGTATATTTCCAAGGCAACCCAAGTTAAAATTTCTAGGTTGTATATCTGTACAGCGCTGCGGCGTTTACTGGCTCTATAGTGTAATGTACAGTGTTTGTTTGTGTTTGAAGGGGTGCTTGTATACATTTATTGTGTTTTTAATACAGGGTTGTGTTTGTATGTAATGTTTGCATTTGATTGCAGGGGCATGTATGAATGTAATGTTCACTTTTTTAAATGTGGATGTACATTTGTGTGAAGGTGTGTGTCTCTCCCTCTCTCTTCAGATATTCATGCACATTAACACATGTGCATATAAATACACCGACACATACACACTTTGGTTTTCAAACACTGTCTATACCAAGGTGTATATCACTGAAAAATGCTGTTCTATTTTAACCCCTTAAGGACCAAACTTCTGGAATAAAAGGGAATCATGACATGTCAGACATTTACATTTGTTCGAAAATATGCTTCTAATGTCTGTCACATTGAGAGTCAAGAGACCAGGAAATGCTTCTCATTAGATTGCTGGAGCATGGTTAGTGCGCATGCACCCTATGCCCAGTGCTTGTCTGAATACTAAATTGGACATGGATCAACAATTCTGAGTGCCTGATGCGTGGAGACTGTCCCAGCATTGGATTACACATAAGCTATAGAAAGGAAACCATGTCATTTTAAAAATAAACATTTTATTTTTAAAGTCTGAGGGTTCTTTTAGCATTTTGGTCACTTGGCACTAATCTTTAAATACCTTCTTACACCTTCTCTACAGCTTGTTCAAGCTCCAGTAGTGAGAATGAATATTCCAACCATTCATTCGCTTATGAAGGAGAACAGCATGCTGGCCAACCGTAGCTGCACAGATGAAGAGGATGCTGACTTATCTGACAGAGAAAGTGATGATGATGATGCAGACATTACAATGTTTAATCGAGAGGTCAGCACTAATCCTCCTACGCAGAGCCGATTTACTATTTGGCGGTGGCTGTTTCAATCTCTGGTCTTTTTTTTTCTTGCAGGATCTGTTGAGAGTCATTGAAAGCCTGAAAGAGCTTTTAACAAAAGAGCGGCAGGAGAAATTTACAATGGAATTGAATATTCGTAGAGAGGTTTGTGATGAGATGATGGAAATGATGCAGCAACAGAAAACACAGTACAGGTAATGGCGTCTTCGATATTGGGTCAGACTTGTGTTTTTGTTTTATATAATAAAGTTCCTGATTCCTTACACTCTTTATTATATAAGTTTTTTTTTTTTTTTTTTTATTTAATTGTAGTGACCTACTGGAAGACGAGAAAGGTCTCTTGGAGGAAATGTATGATGAACGTTTGGAGAACCTTAAAGAATCGCTCAGCAATTATTACAAACGGGAGTTAGAGGTATGTGAATTACAATAGTGTTGCAAAAAATAAAATTTACAGTTTGTGTCCCTTTCCTAAAAGAAAAATAGATATATCTCTCTTGTTGCGATTCTTTTTTTTTAATTTTTTTTATTTCCTCGTCCCCTATATGCAGGGGGGGTTGTCGTTCAGATAATAGGCAGTCGGGATCTACTCTGGGCCTCTGCCTGTCCATCAGTGGTTGTGGTCTGATGTGGGGGGGAAGTTTTTAGAGTCCCTCATAGTAATGGCGATGCATTGGGGAATGTCCCAAAAGTCTTTTGGTGGTCTTCTGGTCTGGTTCAGGTCGTGACCGCTGTGTATTGTTCCACTTGAGGCCTCCTTGGCACGAACTCCGGTGCTCTGGTTGCATCCCGCCCAAGGGGATATGTGGTTCTCGCTGGTGGTCCCGCTGGTTGAATGGAATTCAGGGGGAGGCCCAGAGTGCCTAAGACCTCCGTGGCTTCATGTATGTTGCTTACAGCGTGTGGCACGTCTCCCCTCATGATGTGTAGGACGTGAGCTGGGCCCCAGCGGTACCTGATTTGGTTGGCTCGTAGCACTGCAGTAAACTGTTGTAGAGATCTCCGCCATGCTAATGTTCCACTTGAGAGGTCTGGGAAAAATGACAGGGTCATGTTTTCAAAGGGGTATGCCGATTGCTCCCTGGTGGCCGCTAGGACTGCAGTTTTGTCCCTCAGGTTTTGAAATTGGAGCACTATGTCCCTAGATGCGCTGGGTGGTGCCCTGGTCTGTCTCGGCAGGCGGAATATGCCATCTAGCGTAATCGCCCTGGCTGTTTTCGGGGGCAAGAGTGCGGTGAGGAGCCGCCTGGCAAAGTGTGGGAGCTCTGCGTCAGGGACTGAGTCAGCCACCCCCCTAACCTTTAGGTTTTTGTAGCGTCTTTTATCTTCCTGTAAGGAGAATCGCTGGTCCTGTAGTTGGTTCTGTTTTTGCAGTGCGCTTATTGCAACTTGGAGCTCAGTTATTTGAGTGGTATGTGTTGTGGAGGTTCCCTCCACTGCCTGGAGACGGCCTGTCAAATTTTTCAAATCATTTCTTATCATAGCCACATCGGCCGCGATTTTCCTATGGTGCTCAGCCATGAGGTCTCCTATGGCTTCCATAGTTACCGGCTTGGGGTCGTTCACGGGTGGCTGGGTCCGTGTCTGCACCGGTTGTTTTAAGGCTGGGGCTGGTGCTGGGTCTCCCTCCGTGTCGTCCGAGGACCCCTCGTAAAAATCCGAGCAGCCGCCGTGCAGGGACGCCATTTTGGAGCCCGCGGCTTCATGAGCCTGCCGCCAGAGGTTCCCGATATCCATGCCGGGTCGGGGCTTGTCCGGCTTTTGTTTTTTCATTTTTCTCCCCATGTGGTCCGGGGGGGTTCTGGGCTCACTTTGCGGTGGATTCCGCCGATGCCCAGGTGTGGAAAGGGTGAGTTTTGCTCTGGCTTAGTCCGGAGCTTCTCCGCCATGCGTCCGTCTGCTTCCCTGGCTTAGCTCCGCCCCCGTAAAAAGTATTTTTAATCAGCTTGCAGATCATGTTGCTTGTAGTGCAACTGATAGATATGTCAAGGATTTTTTTTGAATTTATTTATATTTATTTTTTTCCCTTGTGACAAATGTGCGTATACCCAGAGATGTTCACTAATAGGGTTTGAATTGAGCTCTATTTTCACATTTTCTTTTTTAAATAGGAACGAGATGACCGGATTGAGGAGCTTGAAGCCGCTCTGGAGGAAGCAAAATCTGTGCCAAACACTTCGATGTCTGTTGAAAGGGACACTGCTCCTTTGAGAAGATCTAAGAGACTAGCTACTACCGACAACTCTGAATTAGAAAGGCTGAAACAAGAACTTCTGTCTATGAAAGCAGAAATGCAGGCAAAGAATGAAGGTGTGGTTGGCTTCTACTTACTCCTAATGCCGTTATTTTTTATTTAACACAATATAAAGGCCAAGATATAAATTTTTTTTTTTTTTTTTTTTGTTAGGAACATTAAACATAAACAGTGAGAATTTAATAAACTATCCAGAGGTTAGCATGTTTATAAAGATGATCTTTATTATCTCTTATGCACCTGACCTAGTTTTAATAATTGGACCCATGTAATTACTTTCTAGATCTGCTACCCTATCCAATGTCTAACCACTCAATGTGCCTTGCTATTGAACTTCTGGCTTTTAATGTGTACATTTATCATATAATCCTTTTTTTTTTTTTTTTTTTGCAGAAATTGATAGGTATAAGAAAATGCGAGAGCCTCCTGTCTCTGCAAAGTCCTTTACTGTTGATGTGGACAGGAAAATTCTGGAGGGACAGAGGGTAAGTCACTTCATGTAAAATGTTTAATGTAGCAATGTATCTGAGGCTTTAATAATAAAGAGGATTTGCCATTCACATATGTTGGATATCCGTTTCAGTACTGCAACGCTGCGCGTGCAGAACTGACCATGAAATGCCAATTATTTTAACCCCTTAAGGACACATGACACATGAATGTCCTACATTCCCAATAGAATGTAGGACCAAGCTCCTGAGGTAATTATTTAAACATGAGATGAATACTGCTAGCCGAGGAAACTGGCAAGCCATGTGTAATTAAAATATTAGAGTGTCTTTGACCTTGGCTTATTTTTTTTTTTTTTTTTTTTCCCCTTTTAAGTCCTGCACCCCTTTCTGAAACTTCACTGCTTGTGTTCATAGATGTGTGTTTTGTGTAATTGTCTGTTACCAAGTTTGGTGCTGTCCTCTTTCTTTGTGAAACCTGTGAGTGCTCTATGCAAATTTCATAATAGTTCATGTTTTGTTCACACCAGAATCATAACTCCATTGCACTGGGTATTATACATGGAAGATTGTGCTATCCTACCTGGTTATGAGGGGACAGTGAATTAAGATAGAGGTCAATGATCTATTGTGGGCAGGAAGAAATGAGATTGTCTTGTTTTTTTGTTTAATTATGCGTATGGTGTTAGACTGTGGATTGTTTAACCCCTTAAGGACACGTGACATGTCATGATTCCCTTTTATTCCAGAAGTTTGGTCCTTAAGGGGTTTAAGACCTAGCTGTGGGTTGTTTAAAGACCTAGGCTAGTCTGCATGTTGAATTTCATGTAGGTCTGTGGAGGGGGGCACACCTTCTATTTTTGAGTCTGTAAATATTTCCTGTGTTTTACTTTTCCAGCATTATGTTCTGGGCTCATCTGTCAGGTGCACAGAATATCGGCATACAAGAGCTCTTTGGGTAATCTCCTTATTGCCGGATTCCTCCCTCCATTGCCTCAAGATTCTGGGGAGCTGATATGTACCGTTGCTTTAGCGAGTGGCTTTGCTTTTGCATTCAGTTTCTCGATAATGGCAGAAAACGTTGATCTAGATCTACTGATTCATGTGCATATATACAGTATCTGGACATTGTTTGCCTATGTACTTGCAATGCTTTCTGGGATTAAATCCAGAAAATCTAAACTGTGTGATGGTAAATACATAGAAATATAGGCTGGAGACTCCATTCCATCAAGGTTAATCTTTCTTACATTCAGACTATTGTGTTCACCCAAATACTTTGTGCATGATTAGGCAGCATTGACGCTTAATTAACCCTTCACAACTAACCAATGTGTATACCAGCTTTACATGGGATGGAGTCTGATACATCACTCCTTTTTGCAATGGCAATAGAGTAGATCTCTACTACATCATTGACGCAAGAAATGTATGTGAGCACATTTTGTAACTATAACAATTTAAAAATGTGGCATAGCAGACCACAATCAGCATTGATGGATTTTCTTGCAAATTTTAAGAAAAGTGATCTTGCAAATGTTTAAACAAATCTTTTGACAGATTGTTGGGAAAGAATTAAGTGCAGGAAAGATTTGAGTAGAAGAAATTCGCGGAGGCAATGTATTAGTTTAAATAGTTGGGAACAGATAATACGACCAGTCTTAAAAAGCGCTTGCAGATGATTGGTAGTTTTACAGTTAAGTAGGAGAACCTAACTTGAATCATAAGGTACATCTAGTTTAGGGTAATGAGATTTAAGATACTGGGGAATGTGACCAATTTTATTCTCAGCCAGGAAAAGCTTTGGCAGTAGTGATGGGATACATCTCTGCTGTTCAGGGACATTGTGGTACACATCGTTAGATGGTTTGTGTTTATTGTTTAAGACAGAATTGCATATAATTGTTTTTGTATCTACGCATGCTGTTTCCAAAGCAGAGCTATGCCGCTGTTTTTTCCGTTAATTTGTTAATCACAATTTACAAAGTCCTGTTTTTTTTTTTTTTTTGAAAGGTTTTCATTTTAACATACATGCTCCCCAGAACCTAAGGTACCACATCCCGCTTTTGTTTGCAAAAAAAAAATGCTTTTTTAATTATTTTTAATATATTCTTTTTATCTATATTTTTTTATGGGTGAAAATCTGATGTCTGGGTAGCTCTAGGCAGTTCTGATTTGGTGTGCAGGTGGACAGCATGACTTAAAGATTACGGATAATATTCACTGTCACTTGCATCTTTCCACAGAACGTGAGATTGCTTCGGGGAGAATTACAGAAATTTGGCGACTCCTTGCAGCAAGTGGACAGAGCATGCTGCCACACTACTGGATCAGAGAAACTCCGGCATGCACTTGGTAACTGCGATGAGATTTTATCAAAGCAGGTAGGTTGAAGCGTCCTTTCCTACATCTCTAGATAAATCATGAGTATATCTGTAATTATAGAAGTGTTTGTGTAAAGCAAACATTATCTTGTAGGCAAACAAACCTTAATTTGGTATATTTTAACCCTGTGCTGCCCAAACCAGTCTTCCCAGACAGACTATGCATTTGATTAAGAGATTAAATGTTCTCGTTCTTTGTGCAACAAATGCCTACTTAGCTTTAATATTCTTAGTCATCTTGACCTCTCCTCCTGTGTCTCATTCAAACTGAGCTAGTTTACGTGTAGATAATGGGTAAATTGTTCAGATAACTTTAAAAGTATTAAGTTTTAAGCAACACTTACTAGATTAGGGTTAATGGAGAATATCCTGCGATTGTACATTTAAAAAAAAAAAAATAGACACTGCCTTATCAGAGAAAAGGCCATGTTTATATTGCTGCCTAGGGACACGTCGTGGCAGTCACTCCGACTGCCACTAGAGGTGCTTCTGGGTCAGTGCTGCACAATGTGCATTACTGGCAATCAGCATCTGCATAGAGGCACTGGATGTTCCTCATGGAGATGCATCTCTGAGGAGATGCTAGGTAGCGCACGTAACGTTTTACAAATTAGTTGAGATCATAACATTTGAGTGCAGGTCAGCAAAAGGTAAGTAACAGATTTAAGGATGGCTGGAGACTTAAACAGTGCATTTAAAGCTGTCTTCGTGGGATTTGTGTGATTGTTCCCACTAGTGTGTTCTAGCTGCAATTATTTTAGCGCCACAGATTATATTATTTTTTTTTCTTAGTCTCAGGAAAACATGTTTGTTTTCATGACCTATACAGTGTTCCTTTAACCCCTTCAGGACCGAGGACGGTTCAGGACAGTCATCAGCATTTTTGCATTGCTGACCGGTGACGGTCCTGGACCGTCCTAACAGTCTTATGTACTTACCCAATCGCCGTCGTTTCCCCGATGGCGATCGGTGTTGCTCCTGTTGTGGGAAGACTGCCTGCAGCCCAGACAGTCTCCCCATGGCAGATTAGGACCCCTGGGGCCATGTGATTGCTCAAGAGTGATCACATGGTCACAATAGTGTCTGCCTGCAGGGGGACTACCTATGCTGACAGGCAGTCTCCCTGCTAGTGTAAAATCATAAAAACAATTCAAGTTAATTAAAAAAGTGTGTATATATATGTATGTGTGTGTGTATGTGTGTATGTATGTGTATGTATGTGTGTATGTGTGTGTATGTGTATGTATGTGTATGTATGTATATATATATATATATATATGTATATATATGTATGTGTGTATGTGTATATATATGTATATATGTGTGTGTATGTATATATGTGTGTGTGTGTATATCTATCTCTATGTATAAATAAATATAAAATAATACGAAATATGCATATGTCCATATACAAAATTACATAAATAATTATATAAATATATATACACGTAGACTTCAAATATATAAATATGCATATCTATTTAAATTCTTTGTGCGTATTTATGTAATATTTTTACATGGTTAAGTAATTTTATTGATTGCAATTTGAGGGACCTGCCTGCCAACTCAGGCCGACAGTCCAGAGAATTTAATTTGCTAGCACGGTATTTAACCCTGTAACTTTCTATGACACCCTAAAACCTGTACATGGGGGTTACTGTTTTACTCGGGAGACTTTGCTGAACACAAATATTAGTGATTCAAAACAGTAAAACATTTCACAGCGATGATCTTGTCAGTGAAAGTGACTTTTGTTTTGCATTTTTCACACACAGCACTTTTACTGATGATATTGTTGCGATGCGTTTTCCTGTTTTGAAACACTAATATTTGTGTTCAGCAAAGTCTCCGGAGTATAACCGTAACCCTCCCCTTCCCCCCCACCCCATTTATAGGTTTTATAGCGTTTTTGAAAGTTACAGGGTCAAATATTTTTACATTGAAAAAGGCCAGGTTGCTTACATTGCCCTTGAGAGTGTATGGTAGCCCAGGAATGAGAATTACCCCCATGATGGCATACCATTTGCAAAGGAAGACAACCCAAAGAATTGCAAATGGGGTATGTCCAGTCTTTTTTAGTAGCCACTTAGTCACAAACACTGGCCAAAATTAGCATTCAATATAGTTTTTTACTTTTTTTCCACACACAAACAAATATGAATGTTAACTTTGGCTAGTGTTTGTGACTAAGTGGCTACTAAAAAAGATTGGACATACCCCATATATAATACCCTGGGTTGTCTACTTTAAAAAAAAAAAATCAAAAAAAAAAAAATCTACATGTGGGGTGTTATTCAGAGATTTATGACAGATAATAGTGTTACAATGTCACTATTGATACATTTTAAAAATGTATGTTTTGAAACCACAATATCTTACTTGTACCTATAACTTGCAAAATAAAAGAAAAAAAGCATGTAAACACTGGGTATTTTTAAACTCAGGACAAAATGCTGAATCTATTTAGCAGTTTTTTTTTTGTTTTTTTTTTCATTTCAAGTCCCTTTTTGTCCTGGAAAAAAATATATATAATTTGAATGGGAACCATAAATGAGAGAGCGGAAAATTACAGCTAAACACAAACACCACAAAAGTATAAAAAGAGGCCTGGTCGCAAAAACAGTCCAGTCCTTAAGGGGTTAAGTTCAATACTATGCTTGTAATTTAATTGCATTACATGTACACTTATTAGTTCTGATTTATACTTTTAATTTATTATATTATGCACACTTAGAAATGGTATTTCCATACTGATCCATCATGACTGGCTTCTTTTTGCTATTCATTAGGAGAAGACTCTAGCAGAACTTCAGAACAACATGGTTCTGGTGAAAATGGACCTGAAGAAGAAGGCAGTCTGCATTGCTGAGCAATATCACACAGTGCAGAAACTACAGGGAACTCCGTCCGGTTTTAAACGCATCTGCAATAATGAGAATATTCAGCCAATACAATCCACGGAAAAGAGACCTTTCCTCCGTAACTTGTTGAGCAGAACCCCAGGACAGAAAGGACTAACTGAAAATGGCCCCTATAGCAGGGTCCTTCGTGCTCGTAGATCTCCTGTACTGAAGACTATTGCCTTTGGTACAAAGTTTTGAGAAATACCACTTTTTCCTCGTTTTGTTTTTATCACTGCATACTAATGGCAACCATGTTTTATTTTAGTCTTTATATTCTTATTTAGTCTGCTCTAACAAAGATCTTATGTAGACAGCTGCTTATCTATTTTTCCCTTTTTGTACAAAATTAAACTAATATAAAGGGTATGTTTTATATAAAGGTCTCGTGCATGGCGAAACCATTGCATGAACAAAACCAGCTCAGAAGCTCAGCGGTGGTTGGCTGTTCTTGCTGATTAATGAAAACAAGGAGAAAAAAAAACCAAACAATTGCATATTGTTTAAATGTTTTTCAAAGTATAATACACTAGAGAAAAATTAATAGTGCCTATCTTCAGTGTTCTATAAACATCTGTATGCAAGTTTTCTTCGTTCTTCGAATCTGGTATGAAAGAAAAAAAATATATGGACAGGTACACTTGGGTTGCGATGCCAAAGACAGCTGCTATAGGGATTATATTGTCCAGTTCCTTCCCGTGACTGGTGGGAAAAGTCCTGTGAGAGAGACTGCATAGAACCTTGCATTGAATCCCATAGAGACTGTTCCATAAAATATAGGAGTTGCCCATTGTATAAAATCATTATGCCATGCAAGATGCCAGATACTAAGTGGGTTTAAATACCCTAAAACCAAGGCTTGGTGGCTGCCTGCTATTTTGTAAATACGTAATATTCTTTTGTTTTTATATATCTCTATATATATTTTTTTATTCTGTATGCATGAACCTTTGCTTAGCTAGCTGTGTACAAATGTACCAAACTTTACTATGCATAGCTGGTGAAAGGGATGCAAGCAAATTTGAGCATTTTATTTTTATAAAATGTTTAACATATTTGCATTTGAAAGCGGTTCAGTCAGTTGGCTATTAATTCACATGTGCAATATTCCTGATGTTTGGTTTGAAGAGTTTCTAATAAAGCACATTGTACAGCTCTATGAGGCTTGTTTTGGTTGTTTTTGTACATACCTGATACACGTGTGTGTGTGTGTGTGTGTGTGTGTCTGTCTCTCTCTCTATCGCTATTGCTATCGCTCTCTCCTTGGACTCAGGAAATGCTTTATGCTTAAAATGACCCTTAAGACCATATATGTCTAGTTCTGGGAGCAGATAACCCCCACCTCAGATTTCTCTTCTCTAATCATTCTGTTCTTTCTCAGAACTTATTTGTTATGTGTACATGACGCTCATCCGTATGTCTTATCTGTACTCTCTTCCTATTACTGTTCTAAGAGTATTTGCACGTAAGCACTTACTTTTTAATGTATAAAACCCAGCTGATGAATAAAATGGCAGAGGCTTATTTTGAATACCAACAGGTGCCTGATGTCTAATTTGCGCTCCTACAAGTGCACTTGTAATAATAATTTGGTCTTTCTCTGAATATAACAAAGATCAATATTTGGATCTACATCGGCCACGAACTCCTGAAGGAGCCTGCTGGCCAGCCTCCTGCCAAGGATTATGGGCCATGTAAAAGACAATGCCCGGTTACTGCGGTGGAGCCTGGCCCTACAACTATACGACTTTTCCATTCATTATAGCACAATAGGAATGCCGACGGGTTATCACAACAGACAGAACTGGAAAAGTGATGTGAGTACTCCCCCGGACATCCCCAAGCCGATCCATTGGGATCAGACTGTGTATGCCAGCTTGTGGTTAAGGGGAAGCTGTGTGGCAGAACTCCTACTCGTTCGTCTATTTGTGTAGCGGGATAGAGGACCTAACTACACTTTTATTCCCTTTGTTCGCAAATCATGTTTGGGCTTCAGTAGAAGATTGTGCTCGTCCCATTCTAAATATGATAAAAATGAGGCTTGAGTATTGATCTGTGGGTGGGTTTTTTGTTTCTTTTTGGATATGATATTGGAACACACGGCTTGTCCATGTCAAAGGACTCCTTATCTAGGAGGGAATCAGGACATATGGCGAGTGAGTTTATACTGAAGCCAGACTTCCAGGCCACTTGTGTGTGTGGGACTTCTCACACCTTGCAGAATGGCTCAGTTGGGGTACCAGCTTGAAAAAGGAATTTGGATTGTAAACTCTGACCTCCTATGCAATCAAATTAGCCCTTTTTGAAAATGTATTTTTGGGGTGTTTTTAGAATATTGTATATTTTTCTGTAGAGGATCTTTGGAGGAAAAGACCTGTATTATTATATGGGAGACCCCATGTAGGGGTCTGTGCATATAAGCCTGTGTGTTCCAATAAACTGCCGTTAACTCACAAAACCTATGTTTTGTCTGTATGCTTTAATGGTTCCAATGGCTGAAGGAAGGAATTAGAGGAGGTAACCAGTCGTGTTACCTTTGAACCGCTACACCTTGTTTTTCATTTATTTTGTATTGTTTTTTTTTTTTTTTTTTAATCTGAATAAAATCTATGTAAACAAACAAACACGAAAAACCTGAAATCCACATAAAGCTTGTATTCTCATTTGTTACATAAAATAGAGCATTTTTAAATCGGCACCATGTGTTACTTTACCACAAACACTCAATTTACCATTTGATCACTAAAGCCAACAGAGACATTTTCTGACAAACTACCATCTTTCTATAATGCCCACCAGACTTTAGGCAGTCTCCCTTGTTGAGTTATAAGGAAAATACCAGTTTAAGATACATTTTAGGGCATATTGACCAATATTTATTAAAGCGGCACTTGTAATACATTTTTTTTATTTCCTAATTCAGAATCTGCTCTTTTCTTTGTCTGATCTAATTTTCTTTAAAACATAAGACAAAGTAGGTTCCATTTCCTGTTTTGAGGAGAATGATGCGTATTGTGGGAAAACTTCCTTTGACACCGGAAATGGAGCTGACTTAAAAGTTCCCCCTTGTGTCAGAGAATATCAGGCGTAGGAAAAAAAATACATGACAAAGTAGTCCCTATTTTATCTCATGTTTTAAAGAAAACTAGATCAGAAATAAAGAAAAGAGAGCAGATCCTGAGAGAGGAACCAATAGTGGAATGTGAGGTCTGCGCAATAGTGTCGCTTTAACGGCGCAAATATCTACAGCAGGTATTTTAGATGAGATATGACCCACATACAGGCAAACGCCATCAGATGAGACTTTGCTTTGAAAATATTCTTTTCAAATTGTAAAAATTTACTATAATTGTCTGCTGACATCTAGACATGCCCCAGTTTTACATATCACATTTTTTGACAAAGCAGGGATTTTCTTTTCTTTTGTTAAGCTACATTAGGTCATTATATGCAGTGTTCTGCATGTATACATATACATAAATAGTACTCCTTGCTGTTCTTCTTAAGATCTGCTTGTTTTTCCACACATCCTTGCAGCAGAGTGACTGGTGGGTAGTTGCCCATACTCTAGGTCAGGTAGCCATTTAATAGTACGGCCCCTCCCAATCCTTGTATACAACCCTAAATCTTTGTACTATCCCTAGTGGCGACCTGTTATCTATGATGACAATAGGTGTAGTACCTTCTTTTTTTTAGTGTGGTCTTTTCAGCTGGGGGCTGAAGCCATGCAGTGTGCTTCTCAGGCAGTAGGAGCCTCTTTCACTAGTGTAGGACTAGGCTTGTTCAGGGGCTAAGCTATCCTCTATAAAGGCTGCACGTAATTCGTATTGATCAAAGTTGGTTGAGGTGGGCCGAAACCAGCGTTTGGGTAGGCCTGTCATAAAAGAGGGCCCATCAACGAGAATAATGAAACAGATAATGCATGAAGGGTGAGGTTGGTGGGTAGGATAACTTGACTGGGAACGGCCCAGATAAGAGGGAGAGTGCGGTTTATATAGAGCCATAGTCTTCCCACAAATACACGCCTTTGGCCTTAAAACATATATACTGCATAACAGTGGCCCAGTTGGGCGCCAACATTACAATTAATTTTCTCTCACTTCTAGCACAGTAGAACACAACGACTCAAACACTGCAGTCCACCATGCAAACATCCAATCAGAAGCAGTGGCACCATATTTTGAATGGAATGGAAATTGGATTTAAAAATTGCTGCAGACTAAGGTAATGCAGTACCACCCACACCAGAACCTTGCTGTGAAGTCTTTTTAAGGTACAATACACATGGACCCATGTTATTGTACTTCGTATATTAAGTAAATCTATAATTTTTTTTATTTAAAAATAAAATTCAGAATGTATATCGCAGTTAACTTTCCATCTGAAAATTCTGACAAACCCATTATAGTCACAAGCAACACTTAGTTTGTGGTGACCTCCGAGAAGTGCAGACGCAGGCAGCACAAGCTCCCGCCTAACTCGTGGATTTTTGGGGTAATATCAGCGTCTCACTAGACAAAATACTTGCCAGGATGCACTGCTGAATCGACGGACACCTCAATCAAATCCATCAAGGCCGAGAGACTAACACTGCTGCGGCCTACTAGAGTTGAAACTGGGGAGAGACTGCCGCTCTTCCCAACACTATACTCAACAAGCGACTCAGTTGGACTCCTACCCCTCCCCCCTTTTGGACCGGTGGGGGTTATCCCAGTCCCCACTGGGTATCCGTTGGTGAATGGCCCAGGGTGAAGCACCTACAGGTGCAAAGCAACAGGATCTACATGGCCACACGCTCAAAGTAAAGATGGCGGCTACACGAAGACCTGACTGCTGGGCCCCCCACGAGGACCACATAGCAAAAGCCTTTGACCACTTCTGGGCACAACTATGGGCTAAGCTGGCACAGAACCGAGCAAACACAGACGTCTCTTGATGGCCCACGGCTCCACTTAAATTACAACATGCATCAAATCGCATTGTCAAACCAATGACCACAAGAAAGCGAGAGTGAAGAGGGCACCCTGACTCACGGGACGCAGACCCACCATCAGCCACCACAAAAGGATATCCTCCACTCATAGCCCAACACATCTGATGCTAAATTTCTGGCGCTCTTGGACGGTTCCTGTTTAGCAAGGCCAGTGGCATGCAAACGGACGACCCGGGGTCTGCTCGTAAGGGCTGGGTGCAGCCCTTACTTATTCTCTACTTTCTGATTTCAAGAAATGTCTCAGCTCAAACTTCAAAGTACAGATTGAAACGATTGGTTCATCATCACTATGTAATACTGCAGACTATATTCTAATTTTAAAAAAATTGTCAGAATCATTTCAATCACTAAACCTTCCACCAGGACACCATAATCTCCTTTTATCAGATTCCATTTGAGCCTCTTGAAGACATTCCTTTTCAATTGTTTGCTAGAAAAAAAGATACACCCATTATTTTGCACTAAATAAAATATCTTGTCATATTTTTTTTTTTTTTTTAATAACGGTGAACAAGGGTTAAATACAGTGATTGGGCAAGGCATGACTGGGGATCGGAGAGCTGGGCTCTGTTTAATTGGCGTTTTACAGATCTAAAAAAAAAAGTCAAATACTGGATCCATAGAGACTATGAAACCAGGCCACTAGGATTGTCCAAGGGCTTAACTGTGAGAATGTATAAACATGAAAATAAATTGGCATAATCTCACACTGAGCGGGAAAGTGCTGCCTGGAGATAAGTAAGGTCCTCTAACAAGAAAAATGATATCCGTAGATATAGTACAGCAGCACTAAACATAACTACCCAATAATAAAATAGCTCAATAAAACACTGCATACACTGCTGCTTGGACTATGGAAAAAAGAGTTTCTGGTGAGTAAAACGAAGCTCTCATTTAAGTTGCGTTTTTTTGGGGGGCAGTATTGTCATTTATCAGACCACTCAACCACTTACTTTTCTCCATCATTTAATCAATTCATGCATTATTTGTCTTGAAAGTCCAGTAATAATATTCAAATGATTACTGTAGCAGTACTATTGCACCTGTCTGCTTACAGAAGCCGTTTGCACCACTTATCAGACCTTCAAGCTGTACTTAGATCAATTTTGTCCTACAGTAGATTTGAAGAAAACTGGTCAATCACCCTACTACTGGGTACTTTAAAGGAACCAGATGCATTTTTGGGGAAGGCAGATTAAAAATTAGCCTGTGTGTTTACTCTGGGAAGGATGGAGTGAAAACGTCTTACGTAGCAAGTAGAAAACCTTATGACACGGTATAAAAAAAGTTTATTGACAAGTACAAAGCAGACAGGCGATGCCTGGGAGTTCTGTCTGTGCGAGACCAAATCTGACCACTCCTAGAACTGTTGGGCAGAATAATTTTGCCACATACAAGAGACTGAAAAATGATCTCCACTTCAATTGAAACAGCAGTTCAAAAAAAGTTAACTTCACTGTTCTTTTAATAAGCACCTCTATTCAAAATGTCTGCGCAGAAAGTGCTATGGCGTGACGGAGGAAAGATTAAGTGGAGATACTCTTCTGGTGGGTGTGTTGCTGGCTGAAATGGACTGTGGAAGGAAAAAGGGGACGGCAGGTGGGAGGTCATTTGATGGACTTTCATTCTGATTACGGAGCTGTAGAATCTGACGTAAAAGGGCCTTTCCTTCTTCTCTAGTCTGAAAAAGTAAAATGGATTATTAATTCGAAACCAATAGTAGAGGTATTTAAACAATAACTGAATTTTTTACATCAGTGAATAACCCCGTCAAAGTGAATTTCAAATGTAAGGTCAAAGGAGTCAAAATGGAAACATAGCTGACAGACAATGATTCCAACGTGGCTATTTTTACCTTGAATTTAAAATTCAACCTTGTGAGATGCAGGAAACCAGAGCATTGTGACCATCACTGTTTCATACATGGCTCATCTTGTATGCCATGCTACATAACCTGGTGAGTGAGATCACCCTATATCTACAAATGGATTGAATACAACTTGCCATAAATTGGATGGATATCCGTTAGTACTCCAATATTTTCCATCCATACAAGAGAGACTGGCTGTAAGGGATTGTACATGTACATCAGGAACAAAATGGGTGATACTAAACAAAGTACTGAGGAGAATTGACAAAGATTGTGAATGGTACGCCACAAATGCTGAGCTAGAAAAAAAATGAGGCCAACAAAATCAACTGAGAGCAATCAGCTGACACAGGATGTCGGAAACCTACCCGGCGCCACTGAAGAACAGTTTGCCCTATTACCGGGGGACGGCACCAGGGCACTTCTGCCATTAAACCATCACTACAGCGGGTTGTAGTTGTTATGATGGCTACTGTAACCCTTTAAATGGTTACTCCAAGCACTTTGACCACTTCAGTGATCTGAAGTATTCGTGGTGCAAGGAAACTCTATGTTTTGTTTCAGTATAAAACAATGCACATATTTGGACACTTTATGTTGCTGATGGAGGTGAAATTCTACCAATAGTAAGCCTGGAACAAGAGTTCCTGGTTGCCTAATATTAATTCTGGCATATTTTATGAAAATGATCTCGGTCAATGGCCAAGAGCGCTCTGCTGAACTGCAGTAAATAAATGAATGTCCAAGTGGCCATTCCCTGAGGTGGGACCCAGATAAGTTGCAAACTTGTAAAACAGCAGGTTGCACTACTTATAATAACCCTTTAAAATCATACTTAATATATCGAATGATAAACCGTGAAATATAGTATAGATGTAGAAAATATTTTGGGTGTAACACTGAGGGTAAGGTTCATAAGTGTGAAACAGTTTAGGAATTTAGAATTTGAAATATTTTAGCGCCATAATACACAGATTTTTTGTGCAACAGTTTGGATGCAGCTTAAAGATAACGGTTCTGGGCACAGAAGCAATTCAAAGTACTACCCACTACCCTAAAGCAGCTGGGCACGTAACAAAATGCCTAAATCATTAAATGCAGTAGATACGGTTTATTATTATATCTCACTTACTTCATTAAAATTGAAGCATTTCTGTGCACAAGCAGAAGCCTCGTCCCATAGTTTGCACTTGAAATAGTACTGGGCCAGATATCGAAATGCTGTGCTCAATTCCTGATGTTCCACTGTCTCCTACAGGGCAGGACAGAGTGAGATTATTACACTAAGCAACCAGACATGCAGTTTGACTTCTTGGTTTGATAAGTTCCTTACCCCACAGGAATAAATGTCCTGGATGTATTTGATGTAGCACTGAGCAGCCTGCTCAGATTCATTCAATTGCTCATGGAGCCTAAACATAAAAACAATGAAATGCATCGAAATAACTCATATTTAACCAGATTTAACCCCTTAAAAGTTTAAATGAAACTTTAGTTTTATATACCTACAATCCCAGAACGAGTTTTTATAAAGTAAAAAACAGTCAGATCTACAAGTGTGAAATTGATCTATGCTGAATGCCCAGAGTGGAAGAAATATAGAATGCAAGTACCTGCCTTAATACAAGCCAATTAACTTTTATAAAAAAAATAATAACTAAAAACAAGTGATTTAGTGCACTGTATAGGCTGTGGTGATATTAGTACCCTGGTGTCCCTTTAATGTAAGTGGTCAAACCATTTTAGAACAGTTTGACATGTTATCAGAGGCACAAGGCACTAGTCCATGACTTCACTGCTGTCAGAAGCTTGCAGCTCTGAGCTAAATGCTCTTAGCCAATGAGTTGGCCCTGCAAGGCTTAGCACAGGCGAGCTAATGGAAGAATACTGTAGTTGTTATGGTGCTTAGAGTTTTCTGAATGTGACACTTCCTCAAATCCTCAAACATTTATTGGGACAAGCAGTGCATCGGAGGCAAAGGGGCATGCTCATTTTATAACATTAATTACTTTACTTTAAAATATATTAATTCTATATAAAATGGGAATTGCAGCAAAAATCACTCACTTAGCCAATTTAACCAAAGCCATTTTCTCCACATCACCAACAGCATACGCCCTCCAGTAACACTGCAAGAGAAGACAGATTTACAAACTAGTAAAATATATATTTCTAACTTATGCGTGTGGTACAGCACTCACTGGTATTACTTCTCATAAACCATTATCTGACAAACTAATCCCACCATTGTACGCATTACAAAATAAAAATGGGACGTAACACTAACTAGAACCTGTTCCATGGAGGGAAACTGGGGTGCATTTGGAATTTATACCAAAGAGGGATGGGAGTGAGTGATGGCCCTAACCTATTTTTTGTGAAATGTTTTAAGCATAAAGTGCTGTCTATCCATGCAGGAAAACAAGGTGAAACCCAATTGTTGTATTGTTGCTCTCCGTATGGAAAACTTTGGGTAAGTTTAATTTCCTACGTGCTCACAGCTCGCCCGTTCCTCAGCTGTAATATATGCAATGCATGTTTCACATTTATTTACAATGTATATGTTAATCAACAATTCTTAGGAGAATCTTAAGGTTTACAGAAATGAATAAAATGTTCAGTGACTTTCACATTAAAATTAATTAAAAAAGAAAAACCAACATACTTTTGTAGCCTCTACAAGCTGGCTCAGTTTTTCATAGCATTCTCCCAAAGCAACTAGCATTCGGGAATCATTAGGTCTGCAAGGCAAGGCACGACAAGTTAATATTTTACGGGTCTGATTATACCCTTTTCTGCTTAACAAATTCTTACAAATTCTATTACCTAAGCTGGTGGGCACGTCGGTAGTAATAAAGACAGTAAAATGGCATCTTCAGGATTTCATACGTTTGTCCCAACCCATACCACGCTCGATAATCTCTTTTGTTGACTTCTATTGCATGCCTATGCCACAAAAACAAAACAAAAATAAAATGAACACTCATGGGTTAAACCATATGAAAGTGATTGGTTTAATTAAAACTACAAATATGCTGCTCAATTCAAAGCAATGTGTTAAGCACTTTTCCTGGAGAGCACAACAATCCCATGCAAATCAATCATTTTCTTTGGAGTAACAGAACTGTTAAGTGTTTCATTGTTGTCCCTGCAGATGCAAGTCACTTCAACCTGAAGTTTTTTTTTTTTTTTTTAAAGTATTAAATAATTTAAACAAAGAGGAGTCGAATATAAAGACTTCAAATTCAGCTATTGTTAATATGCAAACATTTAATTAATATATCATTAACACTGGCTATTGAGGTGAAACACTAAGACAATACATTTTGTCGTAAACATAGGATTTATTTAATTAGATTCAAAAAAATTTTTTGTGATTTCTACACTCACAGAAATCCTGACCCAACAAACGTTACTATATGTTTGTTTATACCTGTATGCCTGTATTGCGGCAGACGTATTCTTCATTTCCATGTATTCATGACCCATCAGCGTCCAAGCACCGAGATACCGCGGGTTCAGTTTTAATGCCCTTTGGAAATACAATGCTGCTTTTTCATGTTGTGAGCGGAGACTGTAATAATTCCCTGTAATAAACCACAAAGAAGGTTAGATCTTCATGTAGACTTCCTTTCTAACCAGTGACATATACTCATTCAGCACCAGCCACCACTTACCAATAACACAACAAGTCTCTACTCGATATTTGTCGATATCACAGAGGTTATGAGCCAAGAAACTCAGCTCTGGCTTCAGGCCCTATAGGGGATGACGGGAAGAATCTAATATCAAACAAACAGCTTCACAGTTAATTGGAACATTTACATTTGGTTTAGTTGGATGTCTCTGTGATTACAAGAACATTAAAAAGCATGTGAACACTCACCCGCACATACAACAGATTAGAAAATGTATCCATGTTCTCTATCCTGTATGGATCCTGCTTACGTAATTCATTGAAGATAGAGAGGGCTTTGTCAATATCTGTCACAAGCAAAACAATGTTAGGATGGAAACAAGATCAACCTTCTTTAATAATATATATATATGTATAAAGTTATTCAGGGAGAGCTGACGTTACCTCTGATGTTATGATAAGCTACAGCAATTTGGGAAATAATATAAGTGCTCTTTGAGAACCCAGCATCTATGAGGCTCTGGTACTTTTGCAAAGCTTCTTCAATTAGTTGCAACTCTGTATAGATATGTGCCAGGAAAAATTCCTTTATCCACGACTCTGGCAGGGAGAGGAACTTCAGCTAGGGAGACACAAAGCAGTTCGGATAATAGAAATGACACGCTTTTTGTCACATGAACGCAACATGACAATTAAAAGGGGACATACAATTAAATAGCTTGAACTGCAGTGAGAAAATAACGGAGGATTGTGCATGCAAGTCAGAACTATAACAGATCCACACCTTAAAGTGAAACTATATACAATAATCACTACAGCTCAGTGCATTGGATATGGCATAGTGAGTCTGTGGGTGCTGCCTCATGTTTGTTTGGCTTTTTTTATTCTCAAATAGTTTGATGGGAAAATGCTTTTCATTGCACAAGCTTTTTAATGCTCATGTGCAAGAATATTTTGCGAATTCACAATATATAAATGGACGCCATCTATTTAGTTGCTAGTGCAGGGTTGAGCATTCTTTACCATCTCCTTGTCTGTAATCAGATTACACAACTCCAACCAAGTTCCCCAGTGCAACGGCAAGATGTGTGTCGATTCCACAAACACATCCACTGCTTCTTTGACCAGGTCCAACTTTCGCAGAACCACACCATACCTGAAGAGCGAACATATGCAGAGTCTATAAATCAAAAATCACTGTTACGGCAAACAGAGCAGTGAATTTATAACTTACAGATAAAGGCCAAATCCATCCAGCTCTCTTGCTTTGTGCTTCTTACTCAGCTCCACCCGTAGCTCTCTCAGAGCTTCATTCTTCACCTGTCCTTTCTCAAGTGGACCTGAACATTACACACACACAAAACAAGAAAACCCAACTTACACTGCATTCCTTAATAGATCAGTACAATTATAAATAAAGATTTACAGATTTGTATGTAGACTTACTATCATTTTATGCATGACTTCTGAATGTAACTTTGCATTAAACATTGACCTTTTATTTGGCTCCAGTGACATCCATTTATAAAAAGAACTGTCCAATATCTCAACTAATCTTAGGTTGTGTTCAAATCAATGTTAGAATTACTGAGCAAGCACACATGTATGATAGCATAACTGTGCATTTCCGGTAATTCACACTAAAAAAGTGAAAGGGTCTCACTGTCAGTTTTCTATTTATGAAGAATAACCAGTTATGCCAGTGAATGGAAACGCTTGGTGGCACCAATTTCCAAAAGCCCACAGCAACCACTATTGTTGTTTTCAAGTGAACTGGAGGCTATGTGTGACTATTGCATGGCAAAGTGGAAAATGAGGAAGAAAAAAAAAAAAAAAAAACACATCTAACAATTCTGGCCAGGATTTTAATTCCTGTTCAGGTCACTAAATTATTAGATGGATTAATATTTCCACGATCCCTGTGTAACATTTAACCTCTGTGAAAATATTAGAAGGCCCGTATCAGTGTTAACCATTTTACAGTGAGGAGGGACAGAATTGTGACAAAAGAAAAGGATGGCTGCGTAACCCTCGGTTTATTTAAACATTTCCAACAACAATTATTTAGGAATTATATAGGGGGAAAAATAATTATGGAGGACGTATTCAGTTAATATAGTCTCCTTAACATACCTAAACTATCCACAGTCTCATCATCTTTCTTCTTTTCTCCAGACTGAAAAAGAAAACAATTAAAACATGTAGTGTTTACCATAGTTGTGGTACTTAGCCCCTTCAAACATGCATTCACTTTATTACACTAAACCTAAAGTAAATGGGAACGCAACAGCTACAGGACATTTTGTAACATACTGTTATCACTGATTGGACTGATATGAATAAGCAATCCGGAACACAGTTAAACGTCAAACAATTCCTAACCAGAAAATACACATAAAAATAAACGCGGTCTAATAATGATAAAAACAAAAAACAGAACTTCAGGAGAAAAGAAAAACGTCTTTAAATATTTAGTCTACTTTAAACGTATATCACCCTTTGGTCCATTTATGACCAACAAGAAAATTGTCTATTTAAACGTAGGACAGTAAACAAAAAATAAAATTAATAAAAAAAAATAAAAAAATAAAAAAAAAAGGATGAAACCATTTTGTTACAAGATAGTGTTCTTACCAGGTACCTGGAGTACATGTACAAGAAGTAGGCTTTTTGGCTTTTACAACCACGCAAAAAGTAGGCTGCTCTGTCATATTCTTTCAAGTCAAAGTAAGATTTGGCTAGTGTATAAGCATCAAGATCCTGAACATCTTCCTGTAAAAAAGCAATGCATGAAGTTAGGGGAAAAACATAAAATTACCTCATCTTTAAATAAACTTGTCAAAATATGATACTTAAAGGACCACTATGGGCACCCAGACCACTTCAGCTCAATGAAGTGGTCTGGGTGCCAGGTCCCTCTAGGGTTAACCCTGAAGCTGTAACCATAGCAGTTTCAGAGAAACTGCTATGTTTACCCATGGGTTAATCCAGCCTCTAGTAGCTGTTTCATTGACAGCCGCTAGAGGCGCTTCCACGCTTCTCACTGTGAAAATCACATTGAGAAGACGCTGACATCCATAGGAAAGCATTGAGAAATGCTTTCCTATGGGCGGTTTGAATGCGCGATCGGCTCTTGCCGCACATACGCATTCGGCGCTGACGTCGGCAGGAGGAGGAGAGTTCCCCAACACAGACGGAGCCCGGCGCTGGAGAAAGGTAAGCGTTTAACCCCTTCCGGCCAGCGGAAGTGGGACCCTGAGGGTGGGGGGGACCTAAAGAGCCTATAGTGCCAGGAAAACGAGTTTGTTTTCCTGGCACTACAGTGGTTCTTTAAAAATCTTATTTATATGCTACTAAGTCCGTCTCTGGTGATAGCAAACATTGTCAAGTACTGCACCTTCTCTTGTCTTACCTCTGTGAGTTCTGGGGTGGGAGGCAACTCGTTGATAGGGATGGATTCCAAAGAAAAAGCCAATTCAGATGCCCTAATAGGAATCAAATGGAAATCACCATTAGACACTTGAGTTAGTTAAGAGTTAGTTAACTTCAATCATTCAGTATTTGTGACTAAGTGGCTACTACAAAAGACTGGACATACCCCATTTTGAATATCCTGGGTTGTCTACTTTTTCAAATGGTATGTCATGGTGGGGTTCATTTTCATTTCTGGGCTGCCATACCATCTCAAAGGCAACATAGCAATTTGCAAAAAAGAAATTGGCAAATCTTATGTTTGACCCTGTTACTTTTCAAATCACCATAAAATCTGTACTTGAGGGGTACTATTGTACTCGTGAGACATTACTCTACACAGATAAGAGTGTTTTAGAGCAGTAAAATGTATGATACTGATATCGGTGAAAGGAAAGTTTATTTCTGAAAAACCCATAAAACCTGTACATGGTGGATAATGTTATACTCGTGATAAATTTCTGAATACAAATATGTGTATTTTATTGCAGTAAAATCCATGAGTATTATGACATTCACAGTTAAACTGTCATACAGAACTTGAAAAATAAAATTTCTTAATTTCTCATACTTAAGATTTTTTTCATATTAAATTTGGTTTCATATATAAATATTTCATATGAAATGAAAGCCCAGTTTCTCCTGAACGAAAAGTGTGGGCGCACTTAATATGAAAGAGGTGAATTATGGTTGAACCACTTGTAGCGCAAATTCCAGGTTTTGTTTACATTTCGTTTTGATCACAACTTGTACAAATGGCTCAGTCCTTAGGGGGTTAATCACTCACCATCTTACTAACTACATAATAAAACAACCTACAATATAATAGGAAACAGTAAGTAAAACAAGACTTATAATTAAAAAAAAAAAAATGGGATTATTTGTTGAATTCTGTTGCCTGGTCTAGGCCCACATCACAAGCATATGAGTGCACAAGCCTATCCTGGTCTGAAACGCTGCACATTATTTTGGGATTCAAATTAGCTGGTGAATATAGACCTAAACCTATATAACATATCATTTTTGGGGGTCATTTTATATGCCAGTTTATCTGGTACACTTAGCTGAATTCTAAATTCTTTTTACCAACTTACTCCAGTAGCCCAAAATTGACTCCATAGCCCTGGCTTTCACCAACTAAATCTATTAAAACTTGCATGCAGGATATATTCCGTTTTTATTATACCACCCTAAGATTACTGTAGGTGCAAAACCTGTCCGTGCCATTTCTCAAATATATAGCACCCAGGGTGGATCTACCATTACCGTGTACAACACCCAGGGTGGATCTACCATTACAGTGTACAACACCCAGGGTGGATCTACCATTACCGTGTACCACTCAGGGTGGATCTACCATTACTGTGTAACACTCAGGGTGGGTAGATCTATCATTACTGTGTATAACACTCAGGGTGGATCTATCATTACTGTGTATAGCACTCAAGGTGGGTAGATCTATTATTACTGTGTATAACACTCAGGGTGGGTAGATCTATCATTACTGTGTATAACACTCAGGGTGGATCTATCATTACTGTGTATAACACTCAAGGTGGGTAGATCTATTATTACTGTGTATAACACTCAGGGTGGGTAGATCTATTATTACTGTGTATAACACTCAGGGTGGGTAGATCTATTATTACTGTGTATAACACTCAGGGTGGGTAGATCTATTATTACTGTGTATAACACTCAGGGTGGGTAGATCTATCATTACTGTGTATAACACTCAGGGTGGGTAGATCTATTATTACTGTGTATAACACTCAGGGTGGGTAGATCTATTATTACTGTGTATAACACTCAGGGTGGGTAGATCTATTATTACTGTGTATAACACTCAGGGTGGGTAGATCTATCATTACTGTGTATAACACTCAGGGTGGGTAGATCTATCATTACTGTGTATAACACTCAGGGTGGGTAGATCTATCATTACTGTGTATAACACTCAGGGTGGGTAGATCTATTATTACTGTGTATAACACTCAGGGTGGGTAGATCTATCATTACTGTGTATAACACTCAGGGTGGGTAGATCTATCATTACTGTGTATAACACTCAGGGTGGGTAGATCTATTATTACTGTGTATAACACTCAGGGTGGGTAGATCTATTATTACTGTGTATAACACTCAGGGTGGGTAGATCTATCATTACTGTGTATAACACTCAGGGTGGGTAGATCTATTATTACTGTGTATAACACTCAGGGTGGGTAGATCTATCATTACTGTGTATAACACTCAGGGTGGGTAGATCTATCATTACTGTGTATAACACTCAGGGTGGGTAGATCTATTATTACTGTGTATAACACTCAGGGTAGGTAGATCTATTATTACTGTGTATAACACTCAGGGTGGGTAGATCTATCATTACTGTGTATAACACTCAGGGTGGGTAGATCTATTATTACTGTGTATAACACTCAGGGTGGGTTGATCTATTATTGTGATGCTGTTATTTCTCCCTATGCTGCCCCCAGCCCCGCTCACCATTTCACGCTGTGCATCAGACCCCTCTCCCTGCACAGCCAGCTCACACTGAGCAGCTGCTTCTTAATATCCCGCAAGTCGGAGAACAGACTGCCAGAAGCCGCCATCTTCCAAAACCATTATCTAGGCGCCCGGCGGCGCTATGACACCTACCTATCAGAAGAGAGCAGACTGATGACGCATTGACGCAACGGCCAGAGAGAACGTATAGTATAAGAGATCTGATTGGCTGGTGGGTAAGCCGTGACCCAAGCGGTTAAGGTTTGCTTTCTGTGCGCGGCTTTGCTCATGAAACAGTTTTTATTTAAAGGCACATTACCAGCTTTCATGGAACTACAACTCCCGTGATGCTCTGCCAATTTAAGGATGACATGTTTCAACAGACATGGGGATTTACTTTTTGGCCATTCTGTGCAGAAATTATTAAAGGGACACTATAGTCACCAGAACCACTTAAGCTTAATGTAGTGGTTCTGGTGGCTGTAGCCTGTTCCTGCAAGCTTTTAAATATAAACAAAGCCTTTTTAGAGATAAATAACGTCAGTGACTCTGCATTGAGACTCTGAACACTCCCCATAGAAAAGCATCAATTCAATGTATCTCTATGAGGAGATGCTGATTGGCGCAGCGTGAATTTTTTTTGCACATGCGCAATAGCCTTCCAATGCCTCACCATTGATTGGCTGAGATTGTCAAATTTGATGATCTCAGCCAAGAAGGAGGAGTGGAGCGGAGCCAACTGCGACGAGACCTGATGCAGCGCTAGAAAAAGGTAAGTTTTACACCTTTTTTAAAGTACGGCGGAGAGGGTGCTGTGGGCCCATAGTATGCTTTCAAAACTATAGTGTCAGGGATAAACGTTTGTATTCCTGACACTGTAGTATTCCTGTAAAGGCAAATAACCGGTAATTCACTAAACCAGTAACTGAAATGTGAAAGGTACTTTTTCGGTATAGGTAGCTGAGTTGAAAGAATATACAAGTTATAGAATTTTATTGTTTAGTAAATAAAGTGTCCAGCTGAAACTAGTGGATTGCATTCTTACCAGACAAAGCTGTATTACTGGCACTATAGCTCCCACTGCCTCCCTCATCCCTTGCGACCCCCTGGTAAAAAAAAAAAGGATTAAAAACCATTTATTTACTCACCTTCTCCCAACACCGATGTCCCTCCGTGCTGGCTCGAAGTTCTGGGTGGGTTTTAATGCGCATGCGCGGCAAATGCCTAGACCTCCCTATAGGAAAGCATTGAATCACTTTCCTACGGGGAATCCTCACTTACCGATCAATTTATTTTATGACCAGGTCGTAAGAACGGAACCCGTTCGGCAAGTGAGGAGTGTCTGTATTAGTTAATTGTATCAAACTGATGTGGTCATATAAAATGTAACAAGTGAGAAATTAAAAAAAGCATCCATATGGATACATAGTAATAGCCTTGTAAACCTTCTCCTAACCCTCAGTGATAATCTCAAATAGTAGTAACAGGGAAGAGAGCCAGTAAGCACTGAAAATAATCAAAATTTAAATATGCTTTATTAAAAAATGGCCAGTACACACAGTGCTTATAGAGAAATACTGGTTCAACCCTGTATGGATAAAGAGGGTGCTAATATCTCAAAAGGGGTTAAAAGGACACTATAGTCACCAGAACAACTACAGCATATTGCATTCGTTCTGGTGAGTAGAATCATTACCTTCAGGCTTTTTGCTGTAAACACTGTCTTATCAGAGAAGATGCAGTGTTTACATTACAGCCTAGTGACAACTTCACTGGTCACTCCTCAGATGGCTGCTAAAGGTACTTCCTGGGGCAATGCTTCACAGTGAGCATATTCAGTGTCTCCACCCTCTGCATGTAGACAGTGAACTTTCCTCATAGAGATGCACTGATACAGTTCATCTCTATGAGAAGATGCTGATTGGCCAGGGATGTGTTTGACTTGTGCTGGCTCTGTCCCTGATCTGCCCCCTTGTCAGTCTCAGCTAATCCTATGGGGAAGAATTGTGATTGGATCAGGCTACCACTTCTGATGATGTCAGCAGACAGCAGGCAGGTCAGCGGCAGACATGGGCAGAGCCAGCAGCTGCAGATTTGAACACCAGTAAGATTTTACTATATTTAGTTGGGCAAGGTGGGCCACAGGGGCTAGATAGTGGTTTTAACACTATAGGGTCAGGAACCCATGTTTGTGTCCCTGAACCTATAGTGATACCTTTAATATCATGTATTTTTCCATTTATAACCAGGGAATACCTTATGCACCTTGTGGATTTTTTATGGTTTTTAGACCACCTGGTTCCACTTCTAACTCCCAGGAAGACTCTGCTGAGTATCTCAGATTCCTTCTAAACAGGTACAAATACTTAGTACCCTGTCTATTTAACTAGTAATTGTCAAGTAAAGTATTGTCATCATTCATACCTTAAACATTTTGAAAAATAGTAAAATACACAATATTAAAGTTAGTATTGAATTCATGTTAACTAATAATTTAGGAGGTGTCTCTTTATAAAACAGCTCAAGTTTATTGTTAAAATCTCTATAATAGCTAATTAGTCATTAAAGGCCCTTACACAGATACACTCTGTGAGTATAAGACAAATGTTGTAGCTTTCAACTTACAATTGTTTTTATTTTATATTTATTTGTGCATTAACTTGCATGAAGAGGAAAAATCAGCACGGTATTCAACACCTCGGAGCACAGATTGGGAAAGGAAGAAAAAACTGTGATAGAAAGCATGTTTGGGGGAAAGCTGAAAACAAACACTTGTTGTAAAACCTTCAAAAGCAACTCACACAAGAGAGAAGGTTTCACTGATCTTCCTCTGGCTTTCTCTTCATTCGTCAAACTGCACTGGCAATAGCATGCCCTCCCTAGGAAAAACATTACGATTCTGTTACAATCAATATGACCACAGCTGCAGAATTATCCTCTGCGGAAAACAGAAGCCATGGGCCTAGCAACATCTCATGTCAGAAAACTGGAGAGGAAAATACACAGGAAACACTTAAAAAGACCTGCTAAGTAGTTTCCTGGCACCACAGATTCTTGATGGAGATAACTAGCATTAGTGTGAAACATGTGCTTCCCTCCAGACAGCAGAAAAGACTACGAAGATTGTGGAAGAGCCACAATATCTAATTTTAACTTTATTGAGATGTGTCTGTGATACAATCTGCAATGTGAAACGTAAGATCCTGTGTCCATTCCACTCGTACTGGATTTGCCTGCAGAAAGATCAACATCTCGGGCTGCATCAGCAGATCAGACACTGGAGAATGAGAACAAAAGAGGTAAAAGACCTGTCCCATAATCAACAACAAGTGCCCTATGTTTTAAATTCTGTTGTGGTCCATTCTGGGTTATCATCTGACAGTGGTCACTATTATTCTTATGCGAGGGACATATCTGATAATTCAGGGTGTTCACATTCTGAAAAATACTCTTTGGCCCTCGGCTCTGTGAATGGAAATGAAGAATGGTTTCTGTTTGATGACAGCAGTGTTTCCAGGAAAACATCACACTTCGTATTAAACAGACAGCCTTCACTGGCCACACCAAATATACTGATTTATAGCGAAGTATATTCCACTTCAGAAGGAGCCCAGAAATATAATCAAAAGACATAATATACAATATATAGGCATGTAAAAGCAGCTTTCATGTATTTTAATAAACAATATGTTTAATTAAAATGTGTTAACCCCTTAAGGACCGGACTGTTTTGGTCATATTGTATGTCAAGGACCAGGGCTGTTTTTAACACTTTAAAAAAATAATTATTATTTTGTATTTTTGCATATGGAAGTTACAGCAAGCCTGGGGTACCCCAATGGCATTCCTCAGGCAACTCAGCATATAGTACAAAGGGGTGGTCGAAGAGTCATGGACAATTTTTTGTATTATAAACGAGTTAGGGAAACTAGGAACAACATAGCATGGTATAATTATTTAACTGTGTTTGCCGATTTTTTTTTTTTTTTTTTTGTCGCAAACCACAAGGCTTATGCACCACATAGGCGAATTGAGTATCCAAAGCATAAAAGTACAAGAGTGGTATATATTGCGCTTAAACTATTGCGGTTTGATTTATACGTATATATGAGGTTGCCTTACGTTTATCTATGTACATCTGTGGTAGCTCTATATAGCA